TGCTCTCATCCCTTTGTCCGATTTTCCTGGGGTCTTATCGAGCAATGATAACGAATACATTATTCACAGCCACAAATCGGGGAACGTCACAAAACCAATGCATCAAGACGATACCCATGCAATGGTGCTTGTGACACTGAAGCCAAGAGACTATGATATTCTCACTGTATATCCTGTTTATGCATTCGATGTGCCCAAAAAGTCGAAGCCCTGTGCCGCAGGAACAAAATCGCGACGTAAGGTTTCTGTGCTGGGGCTTCTCGATAAAATGACAGGAGCCGCAGCTATAATCGGATCAGATATATCAATGGACTCGGGAAATGACCTTCGGTTTAATGTTACACTCAAGGCACTTGGAACGTTGGGCCTATGGATTTCTGACTTGGCAGAAAGGAGTATCACGGACAACTTCATGGTATTGATCCATGGGCTACCAGTGCCGGTTGAAACAGTGCAGCGAGGGATTGATCGCGAAGGCTGTATTTTGTCAATTGATGTTTTAACTGCTTGGAAGAAAATGGGTCTGGATTCCGGACGGAGTAACGAAGTGGTTGTTCAGGTACTGATGATGTAGTGAAGTGGTGTCAACACGCCCGAGGACGGCTTGAATTTTATCAGTTAAGTAGTTAGAGTTTTGCGCGGCAATCAGACCCACACCCCATGCTCCGCGCTTATCGCGTTAATATTTTTCCTGGTGAAAAAGCTCAATTGTTAATGATATCAATACTTGCTTCTCCATGTCAAAAACGGCACGATTATGATGCGGTCTTTCTTGTACAAACCCCCTTCGAGGGATATACGTTCCTTATCAAGTGCTTTATCTCGAAATAGAACCACAACTCGGAAAGCTTCACTTTACCCTCCCGGATCAGTGCCCGGCGCCGTCCAAAGAAGATGCATTACGCAAAGATACTTAGCCCGGATGGCAGAGGCAGAGGCGCAATGGGAAGGTTGGGCAAATGAAATCAAAGAAGGGAAAAGGCAGAGCTTTCTGAGCTTTATGGAGGAAAGAGGGCTGATTCATTCAGTTATTGGGGGGTAAGCTCAAAAGTTTCCTACTTTTTCATAGCTCTGACAACACGTTACTAATTGATATATTCTATTCTGTTCTTCATTCAGGGACCGCGATGCTTTGGATAAATTAATTACAAATAAACGAGTAGGGTTGTACGCCGGAATCGACCCTACTGCCCCGTCAATGCATGTGGGACATATGCTTCCGTTTATGATTCTTGGATGGGCCTACGTACATGGGATGAAATCAGTCTGGCTTGTGAGTAGCACCGGGTTTTTGAGTCCATAAAGCTGTTAGGAGCTATTTTCAGTTTTCGCCTCGGCTTTATTAACGTGAGGTGATAGTTGGGTGGTTCTACCTCAAGGGTTGGAGATCCTACCGGGCGGACGACAGCACGACCCGTTCTTAGCAACGCCTCTCGAAAAGCCTACATTGCCAACATGCATATGCAACTAAAAAAACTGGGAGCTTCATTCGAAAGATACGGAGGCAAGCACGGTTACTCGTGGGAATGGGCTTGGAGACGAGCACTAGAGAACAATAATACTTGGTGGAATAAAGAAACGCTAATTGATGTCCTGGGTACTCTGGGGCAACACGCAAGGATAGGAACAATGCTAGGACGAGAACCGTAAGTTAAACCTCACCCATGGGGACTTCTTTTTCTACGTATCATGGCTCCTAACTACCATGGGAATAGGGTAAAGACGCGCCTTGAGAGCGGAAGCGGCATGTCCTTTACCGAATTTTGTTACCCGATAATGCAAGCATGGGATTGGTGGCACCTTTATCAGAAAGGAGTTATGATTCAAGTCGGAGGCTCTGACCAGTCTGGCAACATTCAATTCGGAATTGATACCATTAAGCAAGTCTTGAAAACCTCGCCGATCGAAACTAAGCCAGGTGAAGACCCAGACTTATCAATGCCCTTTGGACTTACAGTACCATTGCTCACTACATCGACGGGGGAAAAGATTGGCAAATCTGCTGGTAATTCGATATGGCTCGACAAGGATATGACGTCAACTTATGACCTTTACCAGGTGTGTATATATATACTTTCTCGAGTGTGTTTACAAGGCTACGGGCTGACAGAAATAGTACTTCATGCGTCAACCTGATCAAGACATGGAGCGGCTACTAAATATGTTTACGTTTCTCCCAACCTCCCGCATCCCCGAAATAATCGAGGAGCATAACAAGGCCCCCTCCCGTCGGGTTGCTCAACACACTCTTGCGCAAGAATTTGTGGAGCTTGTACATGGCCCTAAGGAAGCAGAGGAAGCATCAAAGGCCCATAAAGCCATATTCCAACCTCAGGGCTCAGCATCAACCAAGTCAGACTCCAAGTCAATACCTTTATTGCCCTCTGGAATCCCGGAATTTATCAATGCTGGTGTAAACAAAAAAGCCCCACAGATGAATGCTTTTACCGCACCCACGCATCATCTGGTTCTACCTCGCTCTCTGGTTGTCGGGCAATACTTCCACAAGATTCTCTACTCTGCTGGAATGGTCTCCTCCAAACAGGAAGGGCATCGAATTATTGTCAACAACGGAGCGTCCGTTGGCTGCATGCCCAGTGGTGCGGAGCAAATGGGTGATGCATTAAGTTATGTCCCTCTCAGAACATGGCCCGCTGACGTTACAGAAAAATTCCTCATTGATGGGAGTCTGCTGATTCTGCGAATCGGTAAATGGAGAGTTAAGATTATCAAAGTTATCAGTGATAAGGAATTCGAAGAACAGGGCTTGACTGTACCGCAATCAGAACCGGAGAAAGAGTCGATAGCCGAACAGCAAAAAGATCGAGATCTTTTCGCGAAAAAACGTAGAATTGCTGGGCGACAAGTCCAACGGCCTGGTATAGCCGGAGGCTCTGCTGGCGGCCGGAAACCAAAGATTGTTTCACTCCAGGAATGGTCTGACCAAAAGGAGAGAGAGGAAGAAGCAGCACTGGCGAAGGAGAAGGAGCAACGACAGGCGTGGCCATGATACCTCATCTCTTCGTTGCTGATTTCATTTCGAGCGTTTGTCGTTATACACGGTGCATGCTGTACACTAGTTTTCTTTATTGGGTTATGGTTTTTAGTGTTTGGCGATTGGATGGCACTTTAGATCCCCCTGGGTCAAATCACCTTATGTTGTAACGCAATCTTGTATAATAATACTATATACCAATCTCACTTGCATTCTATACAGAACCTAGAGTAGGTACCTACGTACCATTTGAACTTGCAGGTGGGTCCATTGTTACGTAATAACCGGGAGCGGAACATAGATATTACGACTTATCACGTGCCGCGTCGCGCTGTACGCGTTTTCGTGTTCGTCTGATAAGATAAGCAAGCTCTATTAATGGGAATCTCAAGGGGGATTTTCTTACGTTCGTCCATCTACACATTTTATACTACCTAGCAGTTACTGTTCTCGTTCAGCTTCAATTTTTAGCACTGTCCCTCATTTAACTACTATTATTACTGTACGCTGATGTACCCTAAGCCCCCCCCTTTTCATTGCTTTCTTTAATTCCTTGTAAGAATGGGATCATCCGCCCAAACGACGCCTGCTCCCTCTCGCGTCCTCAAACGGTCAACACCAAGTACACAGAACATGAACAAGACCCAAAAATCCATCTTGGGATTCTTCCAGCCCAAATCGTCTCCTTCGGCTTCATCAACTTCCCAGCGAAGTTTCAATCTGCCAGCATCTTCTCCGTCTGGAGCTAGTCCACTCAGCGAAGCTACCACCAACTCAGTGAGATCCAAATTTTCGAAGCAGAGGCTAGATGACGATCAGAATATCACTCCAGTTCCGAGTAGCGATGCAATTGAACCTCTCGAAGAAGACACGCCAACCGCTGTGAGGAAAGTATCTGCTGGGAGCCATGAGTTCTCCACCTCTAACACATCCAGCAGACGGGTATGTTACTAATATTCCCACAAGTACCTGCTGTATTGGGTTCTTGAATATCCGGACTAACTATTATCTAGGCGAGGATGGCGGTTCAAAGTTATGAAGAATCTGAGGACGAGGATGTCGTCCAACCAGGGAGGAGGAACGCACGAGGACGGTTTCAGAAGCGAAGAAGAACTGGGAACCTCAGTAGTGACGAAGAATGCTTTAAGCCCGATGTTGATGACGACGAGGATAACTACATAGATGGTATGGCCACTGCACCGTTAAGCATAAGTTTTAACGATTGAGCTGACCCATTGCAGATGCTGATGACTTCATTGTCCCAGACGATGAATCAGAAGAAGAAGTGAAGTCATTTAGGAAACGAAAGCGTCCTTCCAAGGTACCATCTAAGAAAGAATCGAGCAGCCCACCACCTATTCCTGGTGATGACATGGACTTGGAGATCCCTCAGCGCACGTCTGGCTCCACCCAAAAGTGGCGGTATGATCCCGACAATGTAGAACCATACCAGCCTCGAAAACCCCTAGTCAAGCCAGAGACACACTCCAGTAGCAAGCAAAAAAAGGCCCATATGACGGAGCTGGAAAATCGATACCCATGGCTTGCCAATATTATGGATATGGATAAAAATCCACTTGGTCATCCTGACTATGACCCCCGCACTTTATACATACCACCTCTAGCTTGGACCAAATTTTCGCCATTTGAAAAGCAGTATTGGGAGATCAAACAGAAATTCTGGGATACCGTTGTGTTCTTCAAGAAGGGGAAATTTTACGAGCTATACGAAAATGATGCCACTATAGGTCACCAACTTTTTGATCTCAAACTCACGGATAGAGTCAATATGCGTATGGTCGGAGTTCCCGAAATGAGTCTTGATCATTGGGCCAACCAATTTGTTGCAAAGGGGTTCAAAATTGCTCGTGTGGACCAGTCAGAGTCTGCATTAAGCAAAGAAATGAGAGAACGCGAGGATAAAGGCAATAAGATGGGCAAAGCACAGAAGGAAGACAAGGTCATAAAGCGAGAGCTAGCATGTGTTCTTACCACTGGAACCTTGGTGGAAGGGTCAATGATTCAGGGCGATATGTCTACATACTGCGTGGCAATCAAAGAAGCTATTATTGATGGCTTACCAGCTTTTGGTATATCGTTCGTTGATACAGCTACAGGACAGTTTTTCTTATCTCAATTCGTTGACGATGTGGATATGACAAGGTTCGAGACCTTTGTTGCCCAGACCAGACCCCAGGAATTGTTACTCGAGAAATCTGTTATGTCTACCAAAGCCCTCAGAATATTGAAGAACAATACCGGCCCAACTACTCTCTGGAATTACCTGAAGCCCGGAAAGGAGTTCTGGGAGGCTGATGTCACCGTTCGGGAACTTGACGCGGGTGGCTATTTCGTTTCGGAAGACAAAAATCATGCATCCGCCTGGCCGCAGGCATTGCAAGACTCTCGGGATAAAGAGTTGGTCATGTCTGCTTTTGGGGCTCTTTTACAGTACCTTGAAATGCTAAAAATTGGACGAGACCTCATCACCATAGGAAATTTCACTTGGTACGATCCAATCAAGAAAGCATCCAGCCTCGTACTGGACGGGCAGACCCTAATCAACCTTGAAGTATTCGCAAACACATACGATGGCAGCTCAGAAGGAACATTGTTTCAACTACTCAACCGCTGTGTTACGCCGTTTGGGAAGCGGTTGTTTAAACAATGGGTTTGCCATCCCCTGATGGATATCAAGAAAATCAATGCCCGGCTTGACGCTGTTGAGTCCCTAAATGCAGATAGCACAGTGCGTGAGCAATTCTCGTCACAGTTGACCAAAATGCCTGATCTTGAACGACTTATATCTCGAGTTCACGCTGGTACATGCAAAGCTCAAGATTTCGTACGTGTACTTGAGGGATTTGAACAAATCGAGTATACAATGGGTCTCCTGAAGGAAGCTGGGTCTGGTCATGGACTTATCGGCCAATTGATCTCTGCCATGCCGGATCTCAACGGTCTCTTGAAATTCTGGGAGACAGCATTTGACCGCGCTAAGGCTAGAGAATGTGATATTTTAGTCCCAGAGGAAAGCGTCGAAGAAGAGTTTGACGCATCCAAGAAGAACATTGAACAATTGGAGGATGAATTAGAGCAGGTACTGCAACGGACTAGAAAGGAGTTGAAATGTTCTACCATTGTTTTCAAGGATAATGGCAAAGAAATCTACCAACTCGAGGTTCCGATAAAGATCAAGAACATACCAAAATCCTGGGATCAAATGTCCGCCACGAAGCAGGTTAAGCGTTATTATTTCCCAGAATTAAGAGCATTGATTCGAAAACTTCAGGAAGCTCGCGAGACCCATGCTCAGGTTGTGAAGGGTGTTGCTGGCAGATTCTATGCTCGATTCGACAAAGATTACTCAAGCTGGCTTGCATCTATAAAGATAATTGCCCAGCTTGATTGTCTGATTGGATTAGCCAAAGCTTCCACTGCACTAGGACATCCAAGTTGTCGTCCTATATTTGTCGATGATGAGCGCAGTGTACTTGATTTCCAAGAACTCCGCCACCCCTGTATGATGCCCAATGTTGGAGACTTCATTCCTAATGATGTCAAACTTGGAGGGGATACATCAAACATTAACCTTCTGACTGGTGCAAACGCAGCAGGAAAGTCTACAGTCTTGAGAATGGTCAGTTTAGCCTCTACACCCTGTTTCCTCCCCCTAACTAACCTCTATTAGACTTGCACGGCTGTTATCATGGCGCAAATAGGTTGCTATGTCCCTTGCGAATATGCCCGCCTAACTCCGGTGGATCGCATTATGTCCAGGCTTGGGGCTAATGACAACATATTTGCTGCTCAATCTACCTTCTTTGTCGAGCTTTCCGAGACCAAGAAAATTCTCTCTGAAGCAACTTCCCGTTCCTTGGTCATATTGGACGAACTAGGCCGTGGAACTAGCTCTTATGACGGTGTTGCCGTGGCACAAGCAGTACTTCACCATGTTGCTACCCATATAGGCGCTCTAGGTTTCTTTGCTACTCATTATCACTCACTCGCAGCTGAATTTGAGGGACACCCTGAAATTGCTGCTCGCAGAATGCGGATTCATGTCGATGATGCTGAAAGACGTGTGACTTTCCTCTACAAACTAGAAGATGGGGTCGCGGAAGGCAGTTTTGGAATGCACTGTGCCTCAATGTGTGGCATTCCATCCAAGGTGGTTGAAGGTGCAGAAGTCGCTGCGAAGCAGTGGGAACACACCAGTCGGATGAAGGAGAGTCTAGAGAAACGAAAAGGCGGTGGACTGATTGGCCTGGGTTGGTGGAGTGATGTTTCCTGGATCTTAAAGGAGTCTGCACAGGCGACTGATGAGGCTGCTTGGTCAAAAACTGGTGACCGTGGAGTTGAGATACTCCTCAAAGCCATTGAAGCATTATAATCTTTACCACACGAATACCCTTGCAGCACTAAGAGTATCTACTTTCATTGATTATCCACTATATACTTGGCGTGGATAGCAACGCTACGCCATTATATATTCACATCCCCAAGATTCTATATAATAACTTTGATTCACTGGTTCCAAGGAGCAGGATCGTAACCATCCATGTTAGCCACATACTCTTCTCCAGCCTTTACCCAGCCTTTAATGCCACCTTCAAGAATAAGGCTCTGAATATCGCTTTCCCCTTGTTCCTGAAGATAGTCGGCAAAGCAGCCTGCAGCCCGGGGCCCTCGGCCATTGCATGAACCTGTTGCGTATATCAGCCAGCTATAATAGCCAAACGGAAGTAGTGTGTAGGTAGATGGGGTATCTCACCGCAGTAGAAAACGGCCTTTTTAATACCAGCCTGCTTGAGCAGTTTGTATAGGGTTGGGCGCGATGCGTAGAAACTTTGCGCCGGTAGGTTGATAGAGCCCCGTATTGTCCCTCCCTGGAGACAAAGGATGTGAGTATGAGTATGAGCATGAGAATGGAGTGTCTGTAGGGATATTGATATATAGCTAATAAAGCATGCCCAACTCTGCTCGATATCATGTTTGGTTATGGAAGCCCCGTCGAGCCGTCGAGCCTTACCTCGTGGTCGACCCTGCGTACGTCAACTAGCACATAATCCAGCGGTCCATCACTCCTTGATAGCCATCCAAGGACTTCAGAGCGGTTTACAGCCCCAGGAGTCGCCGTGGGGTTTGGAAAGGCGGCATGCCATGGTGCGTTTGTCGTTTGCTGGGTTGCCATGGCGAAGTAACTAGTTAACTAACCAACCTGGCTTCGGGACAGTAACTATATAGAGGAAATATCCAGCTCTTCTAGTAAAAGGAAGGGAGGCCTGAAATGGTTATGAAATGTTTACGACGGAGATGTTGTTGACTGGTGCCCGAGGGGCTCGGAAGTCTACTTTCAACTGCTTCTACGGCTGATAGTTAGTCTTGGCTGGTAATTAGTTAACTAGTTAACTTAACTCGTCAAATGGTGGGTAGTTAATTTGAGCCGGCGATAACTACGTATCACCCAAAGTTGTAGACAAATCTAGTTTGATAAGAAACCCCTTGTATTTCGCTTATTGGAGCCCAAAGGAGCTAGGAGCCCCGGTGTTCAGGTGGTGAAAGAGAGGGAATACACAAGAGGGACCAGCATGATATGGCTTCAGAGAATCATGGCAAGAACACGCTTGACGAAGTAATACATTCCAGCCAGACCGGTATACCCAGTCCTTGTCCAAGGCAGGCAGCCAATGTTGGTCAAATGAAAAGAGTACTTAAACCCAATACCATAGTGGCAATTCGTGAGAGATTATTGTTGCAAATCCTCAAGTAGTTCTGCGCAAGTTAACATGGAACTAGAGGGTCTCATCATCAACCTCAGATTTCAAGGGGCTTCCAGTCGCAGTAGTCCCATTGCCGGTGGAGAATGCTCCTACTGCCCAAAGAGTGTTTAGTGATACGTCTGAGTATGAATATATTGTTCCATCAATTATACCTTTGGCGAAATCTTCGTGAAGAGGCTCTTCCTTTACAAACCCTTCACGCTTGATGGGAGCCATTCTGTCTCTCATTAGAAGTGGGTCAATATACAGGAAATATCATGACGAATAAGGGGAACTCACGCCATGGGATCGGCCTTAACTCTCCCCCTGGCCTTTCCTTTTCCTCCGCTGGCCTTTGGAGCCTTGACGGGATTGGCCTGGGTTTCTTCATTGCCGTTTGACTCCTCATCAGTGGTAGCGGTAGCACCTTTCGCCTTTGCGGAGGATTTACGGGGTTTAGTGACCTTGTCACTAGCCTACTTGCGCCTTAGAAACGTCTCCCAGCACTTAATGCCTAAAGATGCATACCTTTTTTGGGCTACCGCTGGTAGAAGCAAGTGTACCATCTTCGGTCAAGGCAGACAGGATCTTACGTCTCGATTTGTTGAAGAGGACGGAAGCACTAGCGGCATTCTTCAAGCCAGCCTTTTCGGCCAATTTGTCGTAGTCAACCTAGTGACGCGTAAGGATACGATGTTAGCTATGTGTTTAGATCTTACGCAGATCGAATGTCATCGGTGAAAATTGACGCGGTCATATAATATGGTCCATCAACCGAGACCCGGACCGCGCTTCTCCAAGGGCAATTTACCTTGATATTGTTTAGGCCATCGGTAGAGCAGAGAAGGCCTAGCATGAAGGTGCGCTGTTCACCAGCAGTCAAGGTGTCCATGATGGTTGGAACGATAGATAAGTAAACTCTAGACACTAGACCCCAAGATTGTGGAACTAGATCAGAAAATATGTCTAGAGTCAGAGGGTTATGTGTGAGTTGTTAGATTCAGAAGCACAGTGGAATGTTGTTTTCACAGGAAAACGCGTTTGTAAATAAATAATGAAAAAGGAGAAAAATTACAGGCAAGAAAGCACTTTCTCGGCAGAGAATCTCACTTCAATGCGCAGTATGCAGTTGAACAGAAGGTAGTTTGAGAGTAGATAGTATTTTTATATGAACCAAGGGTGGAATGAAAGAGAAGAGCACTTACAGTTCCTTGCCTTCCAATAAATAGGTATTAGTTATAAAGGAGATGACGCAGAAGTTGCAATTTATTATCTTGTAGGAATTCAAGATATTAGCGTTGGATGAGAAGAGACTGAAGAATAGCTGAAGAAACAGTGAGGGTGTTTATGACAAGAAGGCAGTAAAAAGAAAAGAGAGGAAGGTAGGAAGAAAAAAAAAAGCCCCTTTTATATTGTGGAAGTTGCCTACCAGAAACCCTCGAAACCCTTGAAGCTTAGATTGAGAACAAAGGAAGAAACACTGTATTAATCTAGCTGGATATCGATTATGAGCAAACTACTGCCGGTGATCAAGCTTGACTTCAGCAAGGGCAAAATGGTAGGATGCCTGCTCTAGACAGAAGCACAACGAGGGGAGGGTATCATGCATTATGGCCGGGTATTCAGAACGCATTCGAGGTCGAAAGGATGGTACTATCAGTAACCTTATCGTTCGTTGAAATAAAATCCGGGAAATGTTCCTGGAAATAACTTTATAGTGCCCGGTTGCTCTTAATTAGAGTAAAGACCTGCTCCCATATCTCGGGGAGAAATCTCGGGGTCGACCTTGCTGGCCGACTCTTCTCAGGTGCGAAGAATAGCACTTGATCTCTTCCCTTCCACCACGGCCTAGGCTGTGGATTAATGTTCATAAAGCTCACAGGGCGAACCATTGACGTGCGAGGGACCAAATCTGATATTGTGACGAGTGTTCGCTTTGGGTAGAAATTAAACTTCATAGTTTCAACATTCAATGTTGCATTACGTGGGATTCTATTAAGATATGCTCGTAGGTGTTCTCTTGACTTCTGGGTAAAAACCGGCAGGGAAAGGTACACTTGGTTCACGAACGGAGCGGCTGTGAAGGAGACGAAGAGCATCGGTATTGCCCCGCCAATGACAACTGTTTAAGATAACTATTAACAATGGTATTATTGCTTTTGGAAAGGCGGTAACTCACTTGCAGGAGCTATATACCATGGGAATTCAGCCGCATAGAAAGCAGGAGCCACCACGGTGCAGGAAACGACGAATATTAGGATAGTTGTGACTCGCATCAAGCCGATAAAAGCAATCTTCCCGGTACCGGCATGATATATCACTACCTGTTTCGGCTTTAGGCGGGCCGCTGTATAGGACCTCAGCTTATATAGCTTGGAGCAGATTGAATGTAAGTTGCATACTAACCTCTGTTTTGAGCCGGTTGTGTTTTGGCTTGAGGATATCGAAGCGGCGCACGCAATGGGCCATTCTGGGCACTGACTGTTGACCTTTTTAACGAGGCTGGCGAACTAGAGAGAGCATCTGTAGCTTTCTGGCGTATCGGTACTCTGATGGTGATATCTCGGTGAATCCAGGAGCCTAACCTGAAGCTCAACCTATGACGAGACCAAAGACAAAACATAACTCAAACAAAATATAGTACAAGCTGAAGATAAGAATTTCCCTCTAGGCATAGTAGAATACTCAAGAATAGAAGCATCAATGGCAGTAGAGACGGGGAACAGTAACACGTTTCTCGTCTCTCATTTTCTCTTTGCGCGCGGAAGCGTCCAAAAAAAAAAAAAAAAAACTCACGTGATGGCAAAGTTTCGGGATAAGCGCCGAGCCGCGAAGTCTTGGCAGGTCCTTAATTCCTCCCAGGATTAATTTCAATGGTTACCATCCATGTTGGGTTTTGTTTATTAGGTGCTCGGAAGGGCATCAAAGGAACGAAACGGTAGGACAGCACTCAGTCCCCACGATACGGGATTGCGGAGATTTGTTTCAGTCGGCCTGCCCTCATGTATATCTATATCTAGGTAGGCATTGAATATCCCATTCGACGCCATCTGGCATATTGGGCTGATTTCGTTTAACAGGTTACCATGACATGATCTATCACGAAGCTACGATTTCTTGTTGCACGGCTTACGATGACCATGGCAGTGTCAGAGCGCCCAGCTCTTGCCCTTTTAATGATGCTATTATATCTCACGTTTCTCAATCTGCTCTTCTCACCTGTTAATTGCTATACGCCCGTATCCGATGCTACTCTAAAGTCATTGCCTCGTTCAGGAAGCGACTTCGATATACACAATGGCGCAATCCTCGCTCCAATATTGCGGCCTAGGGTGCCTGGAACCCCAGGATCGATTGCTGTACTTGAACATTTCGTGAATTTCTTCAAAAAGAACCTACCAGATTGGAGGCTCGAGTTCCAGAACTCCACTTCTAGAACCCCAGTAACTGGTGATAAGCAGGTTCCGTTCGTCAATTTGATAGCTATTCAGGATCCCCCGTTCGCTAAAGTTGGCGATGTCAGTAGGCTGACTCTGGCTGCTCATTATGACAGCAAATTCACTCCGGAGGGGTTCATCGGGGCGATAGACAGCGCTGCACCGTGTGCGATGCTATTACATGCCGTAAGAAGCATTGATGCGGCATTGACAAAAAAGTGGAAGACAATGCAATTGAATCCAACTGATAATCTTGACATCGATGCGCATCAGGGTATTCAAATTTTCCTCTTAGACGGTGAAGAGGCATTTGGCGAGTGGACTGCTACAGATTCCCTTTATGGGGCTCGATCTTTAGCAGAACACATGGAACATGACTATTATCCTGCTCTCTCCACGTTTAAGACATCATTATCAGCCATAAGGCTGTTTGTCCTCCTCGACCTATTAGGGAGCAAAGATCCCGTCATGCCATCGTTCTTTGCAACCACCCACTGGGCGTATAAGCATCTAGCTCAACTCGAACAACGACTTCGTAAACTTGGGCTATTCAAATCAGACCCAGACCCCAAGAAGGGTGCTCCGAAGGCATGGTTTACAGAGGGAAACAGACCATCAGATAGGAAATTCTTGTCCTTTATCTCGGATGACCATATACCATTCATGCAGCGGGGAGTCGAGATCCTCCACCTGATACCTTGGCCATTCCCAAGAGGTATATGGCACACAATGGCGGACAACGCAGACAATCTTGACCCTCCTACTGTTGAAGACTGGAGCACACTTATCACTGCATTTGCTGCCGAGTGGATGGATCTGGAGGGATTTTTCGACACGAAAACATCAAAGCAAGCTAGACTAGACGTGGAAGACAAGTCGGAGCTGTAAGCCATTTTATGTTACATTTAGAAGTTGGTTAATATTGACATGGCGATCTTCTTTACTCTGGATACCTCTGTCTCTGCCTTCAAGTGTCTCCCTGCCAAAAGCCGACATGCATATTTTTAAGGATTAACACCGTGGACTAATAATTCTTTCCTAGCATTTAGGGGACCGTGACGGTATATTTTCATTTATCAGGCAGTTTTCCCCTTTGTTTTATATCCTTCAAAGAGAGCTTCAACCTCCAGCTTGATATCTACGGCATTTATGGCGCTCAACTCATCCGGGAAATATTTTCGGGAAGGCACTTTTTTTATTTTCTCAAGAAGCAACCCAGCCTCGGGCACTGAACCGATTAATCACAATCATTATAAATAATATTCATCTAATTGGTCCAGATAATGACAGATGCTGCAAGTTGCCGATAAAAGTCGTTGTGTTGTTATAACTCTATTACATGGTTGCTATCTAGTCAGTCAGGGGATCTTGGAGACGGCCTTAAAAGGCCAATCATCGGACACTATGTTCTAGAATATGTACAACTGGGAACCGCTTTCTTAGCGACAAAGGAAGAATCGCTTCAAATTCCAAGGAGGCTACCCAGCCAGAAGCCAGCGAGCCATGGTGCTCCCCAAAGCGGTGAGAGAGCCGATCTCAACAATCCGGGGCCAGGACAAACACCACTTAGTCCCCATCCAATACCAAACGCAACGCAACCAACCATAAACCTCCAATCAATATCTGCTACTGTAGCAGTTGGTAGGCTAAATCGGTCAGCCAGAAGTGGTGGTTTCAAACCATCTTCGTTGCCGCACTCCGTTTTCATATATAAATAAGATAAAAGACTGGGTCCGACACCGAATACCATGACAAGCGCAAGAGATGGATCAAACTTGGAAGAATCAAACCAGTTGAAGAAACCAAGGACCTTTTCTGGATTTGCCATGCCAGTTATAAGCAAGCCTAGACCGAATTGGAGCCCTGCAATGCAACTGTAGACCACGTTTGAATTGGTGTAACGGGGCAAGAGAGCTGGAACTAGGAACGAATTGACTACCTGGGAAATGGCAACGGTAGAGAACATGAATGCAACTTCATCTGTGGATGGGTAGACCGGCAAGTAAGCTGGGTGTCCGTCTGGTGAGGGCGAGACGGTCGCTCCAATTCCAAGATTTGCAGTGACCAGTGCGGTGATAAAGAAGATTCCAGTTGCAATGATAGACCGTGGTGATATTCGAGATATTCCGCAGAGCATATGTCCGGATGTGCATCCGTTGCCATTCTATATACGCAGTTAGCTATGCTGCCCAGATCTTGTTGGTCTATCAGCCGGACAGGACGCTATCAAGCTAGCTGGCTACCTACCTTCGTTCCCCAGCCAACGAGGAAGCCAATCCCAGCGAGTGCAAGTGCAGCTCCCCATGTTGCTGGCGGGGTAGCATATGGAGGTAATAGTGAAGGTGCCAGCAGATAGACCGGGACAATGCTCGATACCATTCCAAGTATCACAGGGACATTTTGTGTGTTCGGGTTTCCCACGCAGCCTGACAGGAGAGACGAAATACCGAACACTCGGCCATTGTTTTGCAGCAGCCCGTATGAGCCCTGGTATAAAAGCAGCGCCCCCAGGGACGTATTGATAGGCGTGAATGGCATCTCGATGTTCAGGATAACTAAATGTTGACAGAGCTGTGATCCTTTGGCGCGATGCCCCAGCCTCTTAAGCTGCCAGGCGCAGAACCGGCGTAGAACGAGGTATAAGAACCCGCCGCCATGCCCGCCATCATGCAGGCTGACGGCGGGGAAGAGAGATTTCGTCCATTAATATCCATGGTCAATATGCCGGAAGCCTGGCAAGGCCCGTCTGCCTGCCAGCAGACAAAGCATCGGCGAGCGCTCCACTCAAGGCTCGGGATTCGCGGCTTGGGCCCCTAGCGCTGATGGCGACTGGCGGTCCATCTATAAGTGCGGCTGCATATAAACTAGTTACCCCGGGGGCTCTGTAGAGAAAGACGGAGAGCACACGACTAGCTAGCTGCCCATGCTCCGTAGTTGAGTTGTAGCGGTGCTGTCGGAAGGAAATGGGAGAGTGGCCAGCAGCATAAGGAAAAGTTGCTGGCCAAACCAAACACCAAACGGCACTTACTCAGTAGTTAGTTGGACACAGCCTGTTACCAACAGCGCCCTACTACCATGATGGAAGAAGGATCGCACGAATCGAGGACGATTGAAAATCCCTTCGTAAAGCCCGAGAATCAGAGATGGAGTGTCTCCTTGCACCGATCCCTCGTTCGAAGCGTTTCACCTCCGCCGGCCAGGGCCAGGAAACGCCGTCGTGAAGGCCAACCCCCCCGTAGGGTCGCCGACGGACATGATACGAAGCCCGAAGATCAGCCACAGGGCGAGCTGAAGGTCGATATCGCGGCTATCGAGGCTGGAAAAGAGGATGTTGAAGATCACCTCGAGATATTCTCCGCGCGCCTCCGGGCTTCAACGCGGCCTGAGCTGCCGCAGGTCCCTCGGCTGGCTCATTCAGCGTGGAGGGACCTCTATCAGAGGAACCAGCATGAAGACGGCAGGCACTTCGTCGTCCATCAGCATGATCATCCCATTGCTGGGCCTCACTATGATCTCAGGCTGCAGTTTTCACGGACCAGTTCGTTGAGCTTTGCCATCATGTATGGCCTGCCAGGGAATCCAAACAGCAAGCGACTGAGTAGAAATGCTACCGAGACAAGAGTGCACAACGTATGGGTACGTCGACATGCCATAGTACGGCGTTTAATTCGGAGAGACGTTTTATTGACGGATGGATGTAGAATCACTTGATTGAATCAGCGTCTGCTGCATCGGGCAGCATGATAATCTGGGATACTGGCGAGTACTCCGTGCTTCCATATTACGGCAGTGATGCTCTACAAACAGACAAATCCGATGCAAGCTTTTCTACAGAGGAGCAGCCTACAGAAAGTGAAAAGCTCCGAAGAGCATTCCGTCAGGTAAATGGCTAAATCATTTTCATGACTAGAAAGTAACCACTGCATCGCACCTCTAACGACTTCATCGCAGCGGAAAATTCGGCTAAGACTACACGGCACGCGACTGCCACCTAACTATACGGTAACTCTTCGACTTACACGGGACAATGATACATCAGGACAGCCGAAAACCCAGTCAAAAAGAAGAAGAAGAAGAGCAGGTAGACAAGTGGATATCAGGAAGAGACCCGACCTGACTTCTTCAGACAGCGAAGAGCACGAGGAGAGGCCATCTTCAGATCAACCTTCATCAAATATCTCACCCTCGCATTCTGACCAGGAAGACGAAACCATACGCCAGACAAACGCGTATAGAGGGGCGACGAATTCAATCTCTTCCATCCACCAGCGGACTTGGTACTTGACCTTGGACCGTGTCAATTCGGGATTTGATAGGCGTGTGGACAGCACCCAAGCATTGCACCGGACCAAAAAAGAAGAAACGAGCCCCGGAAACGGAGCCAGTTCCCTGGGATTCGAGCCGTTCTTCGTCCGGGGACCAGACTTTGAGCGAAGTGTACTCACCGGAAGACTGGGCAGCGACGTTCTTAATGATGAGGCTGTTGTTGGCTTTCGCGGGAGGAAAGGATGGCGCCCCATTCTCGAATAATCTAACTAACGAATTCCATCAATCACAGCATTACTCCAAACCAACTCTCTTGACAGGAACCGAAGTTGTTCGTTGGAGTTCTTCTTTTTAGATTTTTTCCGGCATCCAAGCTCCGTCTTTTGGCCAAAAGCTTAGGAGCCAACATGCGCTGCCCAATCAGCCCTCCGCAATAAGTTATATAAACAGCCCAAAGTTGACGTCCCTCTTAAGCACGTCGGTCTCGGTCAAAAAGCCGGGGTGTTTTCTTACAATCAAAGAACGAGTTCTATTAATGTTTTTCCCCATTGCCAGGTGAATACAAGTGACCGCTATTTGGGCTTGGGTGGAGGAGATGAAGGGGAAGTACGAAGTACGAGTTGGATGGAGTCAAGTATCTGAGAGACGGAACAGCCTTCTTGCCAAAAGAACAGGGTACATGTGCTTTCTGGCCTGCCATGTAACCAGAGGGCTTCTTACCTGGCCTGCGTTGCTTGATGCAACCTCCTTCATGAGGTTGGTGTTGCTGTGACAGGAATAGTTAAGCTCCTCCTGCCCCCATATGCGGGACCCTAAAGTTCGCCTTACCAACACCTCGCAGAGTTGGATGGTACTAGCGCTATGATGGACATTATCCTTGCTACACATACACAGTTTATACGTCTTCATTCGCTTGCTTTCGGAGGGCAGGATAATCTGGGCCTTATTTGACGCGAGAGTGGAGAGCTTCATCTCGTGAAATGCTCCCCGAGATAACGAGAATGAAAGCACTGCGACCGGGTATTGCGACTATGTCGGTACTTAAATAGCAGACAGATCCTCTCAGGAATAAGATATTGCCTCTGCCAGCCTAATCTCGCCTGGTTAGTGAAGATGTTCTATACACTCTCTCTTTTGGCGCTTTGCGCTACCACGGCTACTGCATCTTATGGAAGCAATTTGAACTACCGCAGTCCTTCGCTTCATCATCCCTCCCTGGGTATTTCTGTACCCAAGGTGCTGAAGAGAACCGACCCGGCTATTGAGTTCGCACCCGAAAAATTGAACTTCACTCACGGTGTAGCGTCTGGAGACCCTTATGCCACCTCCGTCATCCTATGGACGAGATGTTCTCCGCAATTTGACGATGTCAACGATAACAGCACCGTGTCTGGTGACGTGCCACTTTACAACCCTGTTCCAGTTCACAAAGACACAGATGAACATAAACCCATCTCCAAGGCTCCTATTTGCCTGGAATTCAAGGTTGCCACAGATGAGAAGTTCAAGAAGGTCATCGAGAAGGGAACTGTCTATACCAGTTCCGATGTCGACTATACTGTCAAGGTAAGCCTGGTCTATATTTTTACGTACATAGTGTTCATCTATGAAGTCCCAGGTAAGATATTGACACATACAACAGGTTGAAGCCACGAAACTAAAGCCGTTTACCGACTACTACTACCAATTCAACGTCTGTGACTCTGATAAGAAGAGCCCAATTGGACGCACCAAGACTGCGCCGGCTGAGGATGACCTGGTGGAGGATATCTCCCTTGCCGTCTACTCATGTAGCAACTACCGTAAGTTTGACAATCATTACTGTAAAGTTTTCAAATATTTAACTATTTCAATAGCCTTTGGCTTCTTCAACGCCTACGGAAACCCAGTGCGAAAGGATTCCGTTGACTACGTGCTTCACCTTGGGTATGCTTCATTGATTACCTTGTTTGCTAGATCAACCCACTAACTCAATTGATTTTGCCGGTTCTAAGTGATTACATCTATGAATACCAGGATGGTCACTAGTAAGTTTCGATTACCAATAAATGTTCCTCCATGCGCATGATAGCTTACAGTCGACAACAGTGGCTCTGGAAAAGACATTGGGCGAGTTCCATTACCTGATCGTGATATCTTCACTCTCTATGATTACCGCAAGCGTCATGCCACCTACAGAACCGATCTTGACTTGCTTGCCAGTCACCAGCGCTTCCCTTGGATTCCAGTTTGGGATGACCATGGTACGATTTAAGTATATAACAAATCTGCTGCCAGAATGATTCATTAACAATACCTGCTAGAGGTCGCCGATAACACCTACCGTGATGGTTCATCTAAGCTTAACAACACGGAGGAATCCTTTGTTGCAGACGGTGGAATCAGTACTGACCAGAGAAAGATGAACGCTGTCCGCGCTTATTTTGAATGGATGCCTATCAGGTCTGTTATATTCACTTGTGTTTTGATGTCATTCCACTAACATTCTGGCAACCAGACAAGTAGAAATGGACGACAACCTCCGTATTTGGCGCAACTTCCAGCTCGGCTCCCTTGTTGATGTTATCATGCTTGACACCCGTGTGTATGATCGATCTATTACCGACCTAACTTGGAATAAGGGCTACGTTAGCCAACTTCGCGGTGATGCTAGCCGCAGTTTGATGGGCTCTCGTCAGGAAAATTGGTTCTACCGAAACCTCATCGAGTCTGCCGAGCGAGGTGCTAAATGGCGTGTCATCGGCAGCCAGGTCGGTACGTTACACGCCAGCTAATCAACATACACTCGGTGTAATCTAACAACTAATGGTGTTTCGATGCAGTATTCTCCCACTTCTCCCACATTAACGAGTCTGCTGCCTTTGGTGCTGCCCGTAACCTCAACGATGATGCCTGGAGCGGTTATCAAGCAAATAGGAACCGCACGTTCAAGACCCTTTACGATCACAAAATTCCAAACAATATCATGATTGCAGGCGACAGCCATGCCAACTGGGTGAGTGATCTTGTCTGGCTTGATGAAGTTCCATATGATCCAAAGACCGGCGAGGGTGCCATTGGTGTCGAGTTTGCAGGGTCTGCCATCTCTTCCCCATCCCCTGCTGGCCACAAAATAAACCTTGAGAACTCGATTGAGAAGTCCAAGCTACTCGCAACCACCAACAAGGTCCTGCAGTGGTCTGAACTGTACTACCGTGGCTACTTCGAGCTGCACTTTAATCAGAAGGAAGTCCAGGCTCGGTTCTTTGGAACCCCCCATATCCGTAACCGAAACCCAGATGAGATCCCTCTGGCCAACTTCACTGTCAAGGCGGGAGCCAACCGCCTTGACCGCGGCAAGGCAGGTGTTCCTGGCGGTGGCGTGGTAGAGAACGGATGGCTCAAGGGTGGAAGAGTTGTTCAGACCAACCTGACCAACAACACTGAGAGCGGGATGTGGCACATCAACAAGTAGATATAGTTAGTTATTCATTACACAGCGTACATAAAAAAAAATAAACAAAGCATAATGTACATATCCTTGGCCTTGATTGCTTTTTTTCGTGTCCAGAGGTTAGTTACCATAACAATATACCACTGTCAACATGCATCAATGCTATCCCTGGCCCCAGGCAAACAGAAAGAATCAGAATGAATGTATTACTGCTAACTCTGTCACTATAGAGACGGTGGTTAGGAAATACCTAGCTACTCCTTAGAAAACGGCCCAATCATTGTATGGAAACTAGATTCAACCTCGGAAGATCCTCCGCCTCATCGAGTCGGTCGATAGAAGATCCGTGATAATTGCTTTTTGATAGCGAGAAACAAGACTTACAAACGTTGCGGCCGTCAAGGAAGAACCACATCTTATAAGCAATGTACTAACCGGCCAACTAGACGAGCCACGGGCGGGACCTTGGGCCTGTTCCCCAGTTCTCAAATGACGTTGGTCCGTCTCGCTTGCATCTCGAGTCCGTCACAGCACATCGACATGGATCACACCAGACAGAGATGGAAGAGATGGAGATGGATAACCTGATAGCTGGTTTTGGAGTTGTGAGCTAGCATGCAGCAATCTGTGATGCCACATTCAGGGCCGCAGCCAACCAAGATTCTCAGACTCGCGGCAGATCTCAGGATGCTTTAGCTGCATGGCCGTTCTATCGAGTGTGCTGGTCTGATAGGGAATCCCTCCCTCCGGCTTCTGGGCCCAGTGGAGTTGTGCTGGGCTTATACAAATATGCGGCGGGCTTGCCTCTATCTTTTGGTTCTTCCGCTCTGCATCTCTACTTCCATCCCTCTCTCCCTCCCTTTTCTTCCATTGCGGGAGTTACAACTTCCATATCCTTTTTTTTTATTATCATAGTCTCACTCCATATTCCCAGGAAGAAGCGGTGTCTGGCATATTTGATGAGGATGGGAGGGCTTTATTAGGCAGCTACATAACTCGAGCCGAAGGAGCCCACTATTTGGCCTTGAAAGACTTACCTGTACAGAGTATCTCTGGCTGTGACTGAGGGAATATGGCAGACTACTCTGTACGCAGAATACATAATTTGTCGATTGTAGTTGGGATTGCTGGATCTTGCCTCACTGCCGTGGCATCAATTCCAGCCATCCGCGCGGTCATTGCTCGATACCAGCTGAAAAAGGAGAATGACCTCTATCAATCTCTATGTCAGCTGTACCAAGATGAGGACGGACATGCTACCGAATTATTCTCAGTGGTCAACTATGGTCCATCAAATCGATGGAGGGATGGCAATACCTCTCCTCTGCTCATGGTATCGTCCTTGATAGTAGCCGGGCTTTCCAGCTGCTATGCCTCAGTCTCGTTGCCTCGTCGCCCTGAGCTGTATTTGGAGGGGAAGCCTGTGGATTATCAGTTTACCGATACCTTCTTTGGCCGCATTTCCTTCTCCTGGGCGGGACCTTTACTTAAATCCGCTATCAAGAATCAGACTTCGGAAATAGATAACCTCCCAGCGCTCGACTATGCGACCCGATTTACGAACTTGCGAGACGTTTTTGACAAGGCAAAGAAGCCTGGTGAGAAATTCCTGGAGAACGCTTGTACGAGTATATGCTTCTCTTTAATTAGTCAGGCCCTCCTAGTTGTCTGCATGTCGATTTTTAACTTTGCGCCTCAGTATTGCCTGTTGAAAATACTGCGTTCTCTTGAGAACCGCAGCTCTCACATTCGTGGTATCCCCTAGACGCTTGGGTTTGGGTATTTGCTCTCGGAGGCTCTATCCTTCTTTCTTCAACTGTCGAATCCTGGCTGTACTGGGTTGCGCAATACCAGCTGGGTATTCCAGTATATGAGCAGCTCTCCGGGGTCGTCTTTGCGAAGGTAATAAGGCGGAAGGATGTCAAGGGCCGACAGCAGGCCAATGGACAACCTGAGCAAGGAGACAAACAGGACCATCCCCAGGGGCCATTTGAGTAAGATAGCGAATATGACAGGAAGACCAGACAAGCCACTATCAACCATATCGCCGTGGACGCCACCCGAATTGCCGATTTGCAGCCTACAACTGTATCATTATTCCCATCATTGTCAAACTGACTTTTAAAATCATATTTATTAGTGGCTTGATGGGCTGGAGAGCTCTTGGTGCTGGACTACTTGTATCAGTGGTCATAACTCCTATAAATATCTACACGGCCAAGAGATATAACTCGTCACAAAATACCCTGATGGACCACCGTGACCGTAAAATGGGAGTGGTTGCAGAAGCCCTCCAGGGTATCCGTCAGGTCAAATTTTCTACCTTAGAGAGCCAATGGGAGCAGAAAATATTTGCTGTGAGGGAAGCTGAGCTAAGTGCACAATGGCCAACATTTACTGTGAATTCTTTCTGGTCACTATCTGGATAATTGGTCCTGTTATGCTCTCGGCCGTATCCTTAGGAGTTTATACCATTTTATACGGCTCATTGTCTCCTTCTATTGCGTTTACCACTATTTCGGTGTTCACAGCCATGGAGTTTTTCCCTTGCGGTTTTGCCAGAATTGATTGCAGACTTTGTAGAAGGCTTTGTTAGCACGGAACGTATAGGAAAATATTCCGAGTCATCAGAAAGGGCTCAAAAAATGCTTCCAACTGGACATATCTCGTTTGAAAAGTCCACCGTGACGTGGCCTACGGAGAACCTTGATTACAAAGCCGAACAGTTCATGCTTCGGGATATGAACATCAACTTCCCGTCAAAGGGGCTAAGTGTGATATCAGGGAAGACTGGCTCTGGAAAGAGTTTACTTCTTGCTGCTATCGTGGGCGAAGCTGACGTGCTCCAGAGTGTTATTCGAGCCCCTGTTCCACCTCCACTAGAGGACAAATTTGACAGTAAGGCCACGAAGGCTAACTAGATAATTGACTCTGCTACTGCATTCGTTGCACAGGTTCCATGGATTGAGAATGCAACCATTAAGGAGAATATATTGTTCGGGCTCCCTCTTGACAATGAAAGTTATGAGAGTCTTATTTGCCTGTGCATTGGAGAAGGACTTTGAAATGCTTCCAGATGACGAACTTACAGATATTGGAGCAAGTGGTATCAATCTCAGCGGTGGCCAAAAATGGAGAATATCATTTGCACGAGCGTTATATTCTCGTGCGAGAATACTTATTATGGACGATATATTTAGCGCCCTTGATGCACACACAGGACGACATCTGCATATTCATGCCTTAACAGGCGAATTATCCGAAGAACGCGACAAGAATTCTTGTTACCCATCACGTCGGACTTTGTTTGCCGCAGGCTAATTACGCAGTCCACCTCGAAAATGATGCTATCAAATACGCCGGAACGCTCGTCGAGCTTCGTCGTACAGGAACCTTGAGTGAGATCCTTGTAGAAGAAGATACTAAGGAGGAGGCAAAGAAATCCTCTCCGTCTCCGGCTTTTCATAAACAATCTGCTGAAGGCGATTCTGCCAATGCTCAAACAGGTGTGCAGGGACAAACAAAAGAGCCACCAAGGAAATTCCAGCAGGAGGAAGGTCGTGAGATTGGCGTCGTGAAATTGATCAATTACGTGAAATATCTGCAGAACGGAGGAGAGCTACCACTTTGAACTGTCGTGATGTTTCTGTTCACCCTTTTTGCAACACTAGGAGTACTCCGCGTAAGTTGTCCTTCCAAGCGATAACTTTTTGCTGCCATAACACTTACAATCATAGTCATGGTGGGTTAGTATTTGGACCAGGTCCGTGGAAGAGATAGCAGAACAAAGACTAGATATCATGTTCCATGTCACCAAGCATATTGACTCCAAAAGAGTCGCCCCCCGATAAGTTATGGTTCTACCTTGGTATATGTAGCACTGTCAGTGCTATCATGTGTGGTCGGGTCTCTGCGATACGCAGTTTTCCTATGCTCATGCATCCAGGCATCACGGAGCATATTCAGGAAGCTTACATATACCATCCTTCGGACTCATCTACGATGGCTCGATACTGTTCCGCTTGGTAGAATCCTCAACAGGTTCACTTCCGACTTCAATCAGAATGATTCCAAGTTTCCCTTTGATCTTCCGGCATGGTACAAATTGTTCTACAAATCCTTGGAGTTATAGCCGCAGGTGTACTCGTCTCACCCTTTCTAATCATCTTCGCCATGATCTTACTTTTTCTACGTTTCCATTATTCCAACTTATTCCTTCAAGGAGCTCGCGAGATCAAGCGCCTCGAGAGTAATGCAAAAAGTCCAATATTCGAGCAATTCGGTTCTGCCCTTATAGGATTAGGGACAATTCGCGTATTCAGCAAAGGAGAAGCTTACATCGAACGCATGTATGCTAAGATTGACCGCCATGCCCAGGCTTACTGGAACCTATGGCTGTTTAACCGCTGGCTTGGTTTTCGCATGAGTGTCATTGGAGCGGCGTTTGCTGGTGCTACTGCAGCTTTTATTGTAATTCTTAGTTCAATTGACGCATCCCTCGCTGGGTTTGCTCTCAGCTTTTCTCTTCAATATACATCCACAGTTACCTGGATGTTGAGAAAATATGCCAATGTTTAGTTGGAGATGAACTTAGTGGAGAGAGTCTTTGAATATTCTGATCTCGAGATCGAGAATCAGGACGGCCTAGATTCTCCAGCAGCATGGCCAACGGATGGGCGATTGGAAGTCTCAGACCTTGTTGTTGCATATGCTCCGGAGCTCCCTCCTGTTTTGAACGGACTGTCCTTCACAGTTGAAAAAAACCAACGAGTCGGGATAGTCGGTCGGACCGGCGCATGCAAGTCCTCCCTGACATTAGCCCTCTTCCGTTCCCTAAAAGCTCGAGAAGGTCTATTCATATAGATGGAGTTGATGTGTCCAAGGTTAAACTTGCACATCTGCGGAGCCGTCTTGCCATCATTCCACAGGACCCGGTTCTATTCTCCGGAACTATTCGCTCAAAACTCAATCCATTCGACGAGTATTCTGATTCCGAACTTCAAAGTGCTTTGGAACGTGTTCATATGATCCCTCCAGCCGATCAAATGTCGTCAATCTCATCCATTGGGGCTCCAGAAACACCCGCCGAATCCGATGTAAGCACACCCACTGCCGTTGAATCCAGCGCTTCCAGTACCTTAGCTAGAAGGGCCGGTCTGGCCTAGTCTAACAGTGATATTCCCCTAAAAACGATGTTTTGGACTTTCAAGATGCAAGACTGGTTGTCTAAAACTTGTTGGCAGCCCATTTAGTGGACTAGTCCTCGTCTTTCAAATCTTACATCACTTTACGTTCTTTTCTTATGGCAAATAGCTTGAGGCGGGAGGCCATGTTTCCTATATCAGAATATACTTGGACTTTTATACAGATGAAGGTCTACATTTCCCTTGTTCAATGCATCCATATATAGGTATATTCCACCGTTCTATCGATAGAAACTAGGCGTCTATCTATTTGGCCTGCATAGCGGCATATTCATCCAATAGCTTCTTCGACTGCTCCTCAACCGTGTTCATTGCCAACCTCCACATCCGTGGTCCGACACTGATTCTTGCAACCCCAATATCGGCCAATTCCTGGACCGTCAGTCCTCCAGGGAGAAGGCTAACATTTAGCATTCCACCAAACTCTTTCGCGAGTCTCTCAACGTCTGCACGGGACAGGCCACCCCAGACAAAAACAGTGGTGGCACCAGCCTCAAGGAAAGCCTTGCCTCTCACAATGGCATCTTCCAGATCCTTGTGCAGCAGAACAGCGTCGGTGCGAGCATTGAGGACAAAATCCGGAACCCCCGCCTTGACAGCAGCAGCCATGACACGGCGGACACGGTCAACGGCAACATCAAGGGGAAAGAGCTTGCCGGTCTCATTGTCCTTATCTTCCAAGTTGCACCCTGAAGCACCTGCAGCAATGATTGATTCAATGGACTCCTCTAGGCGGGAGCCATATCCGTCTTGCATGTCCACGGAAAGGGGCTTGTTGAACTCATCTGCGACAGAGGCGATTCGACGGGCCGATGCGAGGTTGGTCTCAAGGTCAAGGTCGTCATCGCTTACTCCATGGACAGCAGCTACCGCGTAGCTTGCAGTTGCTAGAGCGGTAGAAGAAGAGTTGGCTGCCACTATGCGAGCAGAAGAAGCATCGTAAACATTGGCGAACACGAGGGGCTTCCCTGGAATATGCAGATTTCGCAGCTGGAGAGCTTTGTCGTTTGCAGAAGACATTTTCGACGGTAAGCGGCAGGTGTATGTATATATATATCGAGACACACAAACAGGCTTTAACAGGTAATTCCTTTCTGTAGTTGTGGATATTGATGTTTGTAGACGAGGTTGCCTCGGGGGGGGGGGGCGGCGGGGGGCAGTGAGATGCTGATTTATATAGCCATATCTTAACTCCGTTCGACATGTATGAAGCGGGGCAACTGACTGTCCGCCATACGGTGATAGTGAGGCATGTACTCCGCAGGCCCTTGTATTTGTAAGTGGTTACGAGAGCTCAAGAAGAATTTCCATCGGCGGATCGATCTTATGTCGTATTCTGGCGGGTTCGCGCCGCATCTCGTTAAGGCGAGCCGTTTGGCATCCGAGATGCCCGGCCCGAGTAGGCAATTCCTTCCGAGAGAGCCTATTAATCCTTCATGCAAGCTGTTGATGCTATGAGGTTGTTGATATCATCGGCCTTGCATATCCAAGATAGCCTATGCAGGCGGTGTTGGGACAAGTTGGGGATACAGCTGTGGCACTGTGTTAGTTAACTTGTGGGGATGCTTTAAGCCCACCTCAACTAGCTGGGCAGCTAGCTAACCTTATAGACGAAGGAGCAAACAGGCCGGTTACCAAGCGCGAGTCCCGTCAGTAGAACTACATAGTAGTTATTTAGATATTTGGCTAAATGAGCCAAGGTAGACCGAATATAAATTTCTGGTTCCTAGAATTCGGGTCTAGTAGTTAAGGCATGTACAGTCGACTGAAGAAGACCGCTCCTGGCGGGCGTTCAGTGGCTTCCAACGCTTCCTGGTGCTGGGTTCAGGCGCTTCGAGTACATTAACTACAGCACGCAGACAGGTGCGTCGTATAATCTGATCTCGGATGAGAAGTTCCCGTGCGGCTGGGAATGGGCCTCTTGCATATGCTAGACCCTGACCTCGTCTTTCTGATACCCGAGAAGACACAAAAATGCTATTTTTTTGTCATCCCCGGCCGTTTTTGTGCATATCCAATCTTCCAAATGACGCAAGTAAGACCCATACGCAGGGTTTTAGCTGATGAGAAGCCATCGCACCCACGGTTACCCAACAGGAAAGATACTTGAGGGCGGTTTGCTCCTTTTGTTGACGCTGGTTCCGGATACCCATGTGACCCTGGATTGTATTGGGAATGAATTTCCTCACACCCCTATTAAAGCTTCTGTTTTGTCGAATGTACTGCTTGCTCCGGGACTTTAAGCTCGGTTTTCTCATCCAGTCCACTGATGGGCGCAATATTAGCATACTTTTCATTTGGTACGCTTTCCTCATCGTGTTTCCACTCAGGAAGTACAAGATTCATCTTCTTCTGGCCAGATGGCTGAGCTTCCATAGGCAAACTGTCTGCAGATGTCGTGAATATATTGGACCCCCAATTGGGCAGGTACATCCTGGCTAAGGGTCGGATCATAGGAAAGGAAGCACATATGACGGCCAAGTTGACCTCCAGGTCGTTCCAAATCCAGAGATTATATCCAACCCCTATTAATGTGGCCGTGTATCATCAGTACATCCGTCCATAGTATAGGGAGACAAATCAGAGTAAGGCAATGGGATGGGCTTACAGGTAGAATCATACGATACGTAAAGTATCACATAGGTATACGCAAGCCGCACAACAGACGCTGCACAAGCACTGTTGAATGGGGATGTTAGTGAAATTTACTTAAGAGGGACACAGGTCACACATACACAAGTCCAAAACTCATAAGGATGATAAGAACCACCTTCTCTCGACCCGGTAGGTGCATTTTACATAGCGTTGGGATCGGAAGCATCCAGATAATAATGTCAGTGAGAACATGGGGGATTGAGCCACTGATGATGCGTGCGCCGTTATTGATACAATTCCGCCGTGTCGGGTCGTTCCAGTAATCTGATAAGGGCCTAGTAATTCAGATGTCAGAAAATACTAATGATGGTATCCGTTACCTGGGTTGAGAAGACAACTTGCCTGCAAACGAACAGTAGGGGTAGCGCAGTTGCTGGAGAAAGAGATAAACCGTAAGCTATTGCTTCTGATAGACAATTAGCAAGGGAGAAATACCAAGACCCCATGCCACCACAATGTGAAGCATAATCCAGGTACCCTGCCTAAGGGTTGTTGCAGTACTAGAAAAGAACCGCATGTACGAAACCAAAATCGAGGACTTGACCATTGTGGCAACAATCACAGACATGACCTGAGAACACCAGCTGGTCTATACATGACACCCGTTAGCAGCACTCTTCATTGAGAATGGGAATGGGAAAGTTCTTTGTGCAGACCAGACGGCACGTTACTCCCCACTCGGGTTTATTGTCCCAGATATGATAACCTAGACGTTACTGATTAGTGGCATTCAGATGATTGAACGTAGGCCAAAACAAGGCAGAAACCTTACCCCATCCGTGATAGACGCCAATAATATTGGAAACTGTGATTCCAGCCAAAAGAGGCTTTCCCATTGACAAGAAGGAGAATGTCAGTACCGAGCTATACTCCCAATAAATAGATGGACATGCGTCTCTTGCGTCATACCAGCGTGCTCAGCATGAGCCAGTCATCCCAACCGGCATTCTTCTTGATTTTAACTCGGACGTATGTTCGTAGTGCCACCACAGCAGACGAAATGGTGAAGCAACCGATGACGATAATCGTCAAATGAGGGCCTTGATGTTCAGGGTCGACATAATTTGGCTTTGGCCAGCTTGCAATAACCTTTGGAGGAGCAACCAGCATGTCTGAGGAGGTTGAAAGATGTTGTAGGAAAAGCCTCAGTCTGTTGCTGCGTAGGTTTGTTGAAAGGGACCACATTGAAGATTTTGATCATGCCAGAAAGAAGGACAAACCAGAACGGGATGGCGACAGAAGGGCTTCCAAGGCTACCAAACGCCTGTAGTAGGATTCGAGCAGCCAAATGAGCCACATGCCATTTAACTTCTGGAGATATGCGTCGTCACTGGTGAAGGCGGATGCAGCAGCCGTGCAGATGCTGTGACTGTACGTACGGAATCCAACTGTGATTTTTTTTTTTTTTTTTTTTTTAAGACGAGAAACGCGCAACTAACACTGGCGGTTCGAGAGCCGCCACGCCTCTGAAAATCATACAAACAACCCGGCAAAGCCAAGCGCCTCGGCTGGAGGCATCTCCGGCCTCCCGGGCATGGTCATGGGTGGTGAACTTCGGAGGTCGATGAATAATACGAAGCTCATCTAGATGGAGCTGCCTTGTCCAGAAAATGCGTTGCTTTAGAGTGTTCTCGCCCATCAACGTATAAAGCATATGCTCCACGTTCAAAAGAGCTACGGAGTATCGCATTCCCAAGCTTGCTCCAGCTCCGCCGGAGTTTGCTTGTCACGCCGCGGCAAGCTGATCTAGACAGAAGGTCGTGCAGCCATGTGTTAATCGTCGGACGTCTTCCCAATCTTCAGCGCTAGCGCCTTGCCAACATAAATATCTTGCATGGAGGATCCTTCTTGGTCGCCAGGCCGCTGATCGATCGCTTGGCTGGTGAGGTAACTGCAGAGTAAAATCCGCACTATCTCTCTCCCTCTCTCACGCCATCATGCTTCGTACGAAGTACTCCGTACACGGCGGTCCCAAGGAGATTGGGCGCTCGGACTCGCTGTCAGGTTGTTTTCGTATTGAAAAACCCCCTTCCTGCGTCTTAATCGAGACTGGAATTCCCCGTACTTCTGCTCCCTGTGCACATCATTCCTCCCTTTCGTCTCCTCCCATCCCCCAGAAGCTGAGCCATCCCTCGCCGTTGTTTTTGCTTCTTTTCTTCCGTTCTGTTTTCGATATCCATTATTAGTTACTAAAGAAAAGGTCCGTGCGTGAGGCGGCGTAAAAAAAGGGGGTCCACGTGGAAAAAGGAAATAATACATGGCGCCCTCCTTGGGGGGGGAGATTTTGCGAAGTGTTATGCAGTATATCAAACAATAGTCCCTCCAGCAGGGTGGCGAGAGGAGCAGGGGTTCTTTCTTATTCTTTGTCTATTCCTATATAATAAATATCGATGCTACATGGTGTGTTTGGAAGGGAGGGAGGGAGAGGGAGGGGTGGGTTCCTGGCATTCCGACCGGGGGGATCAGGGGTGGTGCAGGAGGAGTGACAGGATTGGGTAATATTATAGGGGAGAGGGAGTCAAAGTACTCCGTACGGAGTATGTTAATAATAATAATGGAGTGACTCGATACTGGAGATGGTTCCAATGCAAGGAGGGTGGCGGTGGGAAACCTATGAAGTGAGACTGGTCGAGGGAAATGGGGGTACATCATGCTCATGCAGATATGATGATCCCTTGCAGCTGTGTAGGGAGCTTCTCAGGGTCGTTTTCCCGCGAGTCCACGGCATGACTCCGGTTCAGCCAGAGTAATATATGCTGCCAACACATCAACAGCCCGGCCATTGAGGTAATTGATCATACCTGATGTCCAGGGTGTTCAAGCGCCTCCTTAGCGTGGGGATTAGGGGTCTCGGGCGTACAACTAGGCCATCCACAATCCACGCCTCATGAGCTATCAAGCGAGACGAAAAGCCTTCCCAAGTAATGTTTTGATCAGAGAAACCTTAATCGCGTCCGTGAAGTAACAAGGTGGGTGTGCCGAACGCCGATATCATTCTCTCTCCGGGCCTTTTCCATGGAAACCACTTAAGCCCTCCAGAGAGGGAGAGTTTTCATGTCGAAGGGGAGCGAGTTGAATCATATGTCACACGCTAGGCTTTCATCATCTACAGAAGAAAAGAAAAAATGCAGCGTTAGTACAATGATTAACAACACATCTCAAGCTAGATGGATTTTGCATGGACTCGAAATACTCACTTGAATAAAACTTGGAAGGATGAAGAAGAAAGAGAAGAAGGAAAACGAAATGCGAGGCTGGAAATTCGGTTTAAAAAGGTTTTTTTGTTAGTGCGACCCAATTCGGCCTGAGCACGTGACCGTGAAGCAGCCCCGGCATGTTTTTCTTCTGTTGACAGGACGGCCGTTTTTTTTTTTCACCAGGGAGTAGCTGGCCTCGCTCCAGCAATTGCTTTTTGTCTTTGAGTATAATCGATCGATTGGCCCTCTAGAAGGCGACAATGGTACCAGCACTGCGCTCTGCAGCTTGTCCGTTGCAATTGGGGAGAGTGCTTGCTCGCCGGCAGAGCTTCATCGAGATATCAAATTACTTTCGAGGCCGCGCAGCTACACGACCATCACACCTGAAATGCATCCTCCAGGGAGTTACCCGGTGTTATTCCACTGACAAAACGAACGAAGCTGCGAAGTTTCTAGGCCAATACTCTAAATCAAGTGAGAATCTGTCTCTCGATTGGTGTGAAGATGGCGATTCTGGTGCTAAGAATGTATGCTGACATGGAGACTTGTAGTTGATTTTCCACCCGCCTCTACCACCTTTAGAGATCTATATAAAGAGCAGAACAATGGGCGGCCAGTCACGATTCACGGATATATTGGCAAACGGAAGAAAATTGGCAAGAATATGACATTTGTCCGGTTGAGCGACCCTACCTTATCCCGAAGTGTCCAGATTGTGGTATCAAATCCGCACTCTCTCAACGCTTTGAAATCAATTGAGCCGAACAGCGCCGTTGTCGTTAGCGGAATTGTGAAATCAAAGGAAAGTCAGTCTCAGTTCCGTGAATCAGGCGACAAGTGTGAGCTTGACGGCGTGGAGATTGAGCTGCAAGATGTGCAATGTTTAAATGAGTTCCCAAAGGATATCATTATAACTCCGGACACAGTGTTTCCACCAAGTAAAAGGCATTTGCAGATCCGCAATGACCCTTCTCTTCGACAGACCTTGGCATTTAGGGCAAAGGCAAATGCAGCTTTGCGTCGAGCCCTGGAAGAATGTGAGCCACCATTCTTAGAGATCGAAACTCCAATCTTGTTCAAGTCTACCCCTGAGGGTGCTCGGGAGTTTTTGGTTCCTACACGGAATCAGGGGCTAGCATACGCACTGCCGCAAAGTCCGCAGCAATACAAACAGATGCTCATGGCGAGTGGCATCCCTCGATACTACCAATTTGCTCGATGCTTCCGAGACGAGGACCTGCGTGCTGATAGGCAGCCGGAGTTTACACAAGTGAGTGTGGTTTTGTTAATTATTCTTCAATAATACAAAAAAATAAAGTCAACTCACGCAATTGTCTAGCTCGATATGGAGATGTCGTTTGCCACGGCTGAAGATGTTATTACTACCACTGAAGCTTTAGTCAAGAAGCTATGGGCCTCCGTTATGCCTGAACCTCTTGGGCCGGAACCATTCCATCGCATGTCGTATTACGAAGCGATGGGTTCCTATGGTAGCGACAAGCCAGATACCCGTTTTGACATGAAACTTCACCGGGTTGAGCAATATCTACCTGCAGATTTCATAGGCAAGATCAGTTCTTTAAACTCCCCTGTTGTCGAAGCCTTCATAGTCAAAGGAAACGGCCATCCTGAGGAAACCATGAGAGTCCTGAGAAGCTTCATGAACACTCCAGAGGCCAAAGATTTCTTAGACAACCCCGATGGAGCTCCAGGGACCTTTGTCATTGATTCCTCGAAGCCAATGGGCGGTTTGTCTGCCGCAGGGTTTGAAGGTGCATGGGATCTGGAAACTCTGTTTAAATCAGAACATGGTGACTTGATATTTTTCCAATGTCGGAAAGATGAGCCTTTTAGCGGAGGTTTAACTAAAGCTGGTGAGCTACGTTTAGCCGTCCACCAGTATATGGTTGAAAAGGGGTTCCTCAGTCCTCCCGTCGGATTCGATTTTCATTGGGTTACCGGCTTCCCTCTCTTTTCCCCCTCGGTCGAGACAGAGCCAGGCCAAGGTGGCACCGCTGGGATAGCTTCAACTCATCATCCCTTCACCGCACCTCGGACAGCAGAGGATGCTGCCCTTCTATTAACAGATCCGACTAAGGCTATCGCTGATCATTACGATTTAGTCGTGAATGGCGTCGAGCTTGGCGGTGGAAGTCGTAGAATCCACTCAGCAGCAGTCCAAGAGTTCGTTCTCCGGGACATCTTAAGAGTTCCGCCTTCCCGCCTACAAAGCTTTTCTCATCTGCTAGAATGCCTCAGGGCGGGCTGTCCTCCCCATGCAGGCATTGCACTTGGCTTTGACAGACTGATCGCCGTCATGCGAGGCACTCAAAGCGTTCGCAATGTGATCGCCTTTCCAAAGGGCAATAAGGGAGAGGACCCAATGGTAAAGACTCCCAGTCCAATGACAGAGGACTCATTACAAACTTATCATTTACAACTACGCCAAGGTGGCCAAAGTTGACCTGGTTAGACCAGTTAGACGAATTTGTCAGGAGACGTTCTAGATTTCCCGCAAGGTTCATTTGCACTATGCAATTGAGCTTTAGATCCTCCTATACTACGATTAGAAGTTTTAGGCAGACACCCTGTATATTAGAGAATCCGTGTGCATGTTAGAAGCGTTTATGGTATCATAGGCGCAAAAAGAGATACGGGGACTCCATTGTCTTTTTATAAATTAGACGCATATTACGGAGTACCATTTGGCAGATCATCAATCACTGTGCTAATAATGGAAGCGATCTCAAAATTAGGTATGGGTACAAACCAGTTGTCGCACGGAATACATGACAGCGAGTTAACTAGCCCACATGCTAAAAGACAAAATACAAAATACACATCATTCACCAGACTAGGCAACACTTATAATTCATTTGGTTAGTGAAGGCTCTCCCCATCTCCCAGGCCGACCTAGGTACGGGAAATTGGAGAGATCTGATAACGAAATATTCCGCAGAGACTCCAAATGTCCAAGAAAGCTACCGTCAGCCTTTTCATTAGACAATATGGACTGCATTCTCCGGACTGCCCTTATTTTGGCCTCGTAATGATCTGGGCATGCAGGTCTGACTTCCCCGTCTCAGGGATGATAGGCATCGACCTGGCCAGGGAACCCTGCTATATTCTTCTCACTCCGCAGCGTCTCCATCCGCACCATATGCAAACAAGAGCACCATGGGGGACCTCGTCCGCTTTGGCCCAGAGTATGGAGCATATCCTGGGCCTAACTTCGTGTTCTGTCTTCCGCTGGCCACCGTGCTTCGGGCGGGAGGACGGTCCAGAGGCCCGCACCTAACTCGAAGGGGATATTTCCATGGATTAGATCCCGATAAATTTCGAGCTATCCGGGGGGCCGACCAAACTCACCGCATATCAAACCAAGTCAGCTGGCCGTCGCCGCTCTGGAGACATGCAGAAAGGCAGACAGATGGTACCACCTCGAAGCAAGCCAGCCGAAGAGAAGGAAAAGCTGAGGAAGGTGACGGCTGAAGGGGAGGATTCTCGAAGGGCAAGTTCTCCCTCTTCCACCGCATGGAAATGATGCAGACTCGTTGACTTGCAGGATGAGTTCGCTATCAAGATCCAATAAGAGGCCTCGAGAGCCTACCCTGGCGCTTGTTTAGAGGTGTATGATATGCGAGAGAAAGCGAAAAAGGAGGGAGAGACGGGTTTAACTGTAGTATCCCGGTGGAAATTGCCGGCCGCCATGCTCCATTTTGATGCCTTCGACCAACACTAACGCTGCAGCTCTCAACCACACCTTGATGACGGGACATTCCTTCGCATGCACCCATGTATTCCGCCTTTAAATAAGTGTATCCCCTAGAGGCCTGCAGGGCCTTCCAGCCTTCTCCCGCCTTTGAACTTTTGCCAGCCGTTTGTCGACTGCCCCTTTCTCTCCGTATATTATTTCGATCAGTATGCCTTGCTCCTTGATGATCTGTACTGGTGTTTGAATTCAATTGAGTGTTCCTATCACAAGTAACCCTCTTCCGCTGAGTAACTGTTAATTATACTCCGGGCCTTCACGATGGGTTTGGACCTGGAGGCCAATGGGGACGAACACCCCTTTCTTATGAATGAGACGGTCGAGCATTTTTCCTGGAAAGCCGTCACCGTCAATGTTAAGGATAGAGAAACAAAACAGCCCAAAGCTATTCTTCGCGATGCTACCGGTTATGTAAATAAAGGTGACTGACCGGCCACGGTTAACTTTGACTTGAGAAATGGGAGAATTGACTAATTAGCTAACATGGTGAGTGCTTTGCTTTAGGTGAACTGATGGTGCTCATGGGCCCGTCAGGAAGCGGGAAAACGACTCTATTGAACGTACTCGCCGGTCGAGCCAATAGTCTGCATGATGGGGTTAATGGCGAGGTTCTCGTCAATGGCCGGACAGCATCGAAAGAGACATTTAGACATTTGAGCTCTTATGTGGAGCAGGAGGATGTGCTTATCGGGTCATTGACAGTGGAGGAAACGCTGTATTTCGCAGCCCAGCTGTCACTCTCCAGGTTCGTGTATCGTTTGCGCATATATGAATTCAATGCATTGCTAATGCTGGGTAAAAAATATAGATCCATCCCAAAGAAGGATCGAATCCAGCGTATCAAATATCTGCTCAACTCCTTCGGTATCCAGAATCAGGCTAAGACCTTGATCGGTACCCCAATTCGCAAGGGAATCAGCGGTGGCCAGAAACGCCGTGTCAGTGTGGCTGCTCAATTGATTACCTGCCCTAAGATCATCTTCTTGGACGAGCCTACCAGCGGCTTAGATTCCACCGCCAGTTATGAGGTGATGTCGTTTGTGAAGGCCCTGGCCAGGAAGAACAATGTAAGTCGGCATCTGACCTTCATATATCCCAATGCGTCGTCAAGTATGCATATACTAATATTGAAACCAAATAGCTCATCGTTATTGCGAGCATTCATCAGCCGTCCACCTCAATGTTTGAATCATTTGATAAGCTTCTCATTTTGTCTGCAGGAAAGACTTGTTACTTTGGGCCTGGGAAGGACATGAAGGCATACCTTGACAAAACAGGACACCCGATGCCCGTTCAGATAAACCCGGCAGAGTTTGTGCTGGATCTTGGGTACGGATATTAGAGTGACCTGGCTGGGTGAGGGAGAATGTCGCTTGCCGCGCAGGAGTGGGAAGATTCAGAAGAGTCTTCGAATGTGAATCTCGAGATATCCAGGCTGACTACCTTGTCCGAAAAAGAAGAGAACATCACACTTTCGGCTAACCAGTTACAACATGTTAACATCGTATCAACCATCGTCACGTTGCTTCATCGGTCTTTTATTAAGGGCTGCCGTGACGTTGTTGCATACGGCATTCGAGTTGCAATGTATCTTGGCCTGGCTATCATGGAGGGTACTGTCTGGCTGCGGCTTGGGACTGGCCAGGAAAATATTCAGCCATACATTAATGCTCTGGTGGGTATCATTCTAAAACCTCACAAGAAGGAGTAGCTCGTCTGCTAACAATCTCAGTGCAGTTCTTTTGCTCCGCTTTCATGTCATTCATGGCGGTTGCATATGTGCCTTCGTTCCTTGAAGACCGCGCAACGTTCATCAAAGAGCGAGCCAATGGTCTCTATGGCGCAACTTCATTCGTGATATCCAATTTCCTCATCGGAATGCCATTTTTATGTATGAATTCAGCTCCTCCGTGGAAAGATATATATAACGTGCCGCAGCTGACCCCATTGCAGTCATGATCACGATAATATTCTCTGTTGTAGCTTACTGGCTTGTGAACTTCCGCTCGGGCGCAGACACCTTCTTCACACTGGTTATGTGGCTCTTCCTCGACCTGCTTGCCGCTGAGTCCCTTGTCGTCATGATAGCGTCTCTATTCCCTAATTTTGTGGTTGCTTTGGCCCTCACAGCCTTCACAAACGGTATCTGGATGAGCGTTGGCGGCTTTATGGTCGCCCCAGCAATCCTGAACGTGTTCTGGAGATATGTCTTCCATTATATAGACTACCAGGTATGTATTTGCTTCTGCTCCTTTCATCCCACGAACAAAGAAAAAGGTACCGAGAAGGCAGGAAAAGAAGAAAATATAGCCCAACTCGCTAACGAATTCCGACCATTAGACGTATGTATTCCAAGGGATGATGGTGAACGAGTTTTCTGGCCGTGTCTTCGACTGCGGCAAGTCGTGTCAGTGCATGTACGCCAGCGAGCTTGCGTCTCAGTGCCAGATATCAGGAAAGGGTATTCTGAACTCATTCGGATATGCCACCGACAAGCAGTCACAATGGGCAGGAATCCTCATTTCTATCACTGCAGTGTATCGGATCCTGGGATGGATCGTCCTGTACATGAAGAAGACTTGAGTGGTTGTGGCTGTTGTGTTATGCCGTGTTCTGGTTGCTACCGTGTAGTTTAACTTGATGTACTAAAGACTGGGAGGAGACCTCTTTAATGACCGGATATGGACTAAAAGAAACCAAAGGTCAAACAGTCCAGATACGAAGGATACGAATAATGGCTGATAGCTATGGGCTATGTATTTATCAACGTAATAATGATATATATTATCTTTGGACTATTATCGCATACAAAAGTATAGGAAGATCTCTCCTGTATAGTTCGCATGCGTGAAATATTATTGAATATTGGTAGGATAGAAATGGACAGATGCTGGCAAGTGCTCATCACCTTGCCCCCGATGACTCCTTTGAACACCTCGCCGTCACCCGGTGCACCCCAGAACAGGAGTCGAATGAATATGAGATATGATAGAGAGCCGAAAACCTCAACTCCGTGCACAAACGTGGATCGGACTCCAGGAAAAGTGGTATCAGTTGAGAATGAAATAATTATTGTCCGAAAGTTTTTACCCGCCAGAAACCCCCGAAAGTTTGAAAAAGCTCTGCTCAAATCGGGAGAACATGGTGATAGATTGGGAAGGAATAGCTTCTCTTGCGACGGGCTTGTAGCGTTCGCCGTCTTGTTTGATGGTCACCGATGAAGGCCGATGGCCAATGGGAAGCACAGTGACTATGCAAGAACCCGCGGGATATGCATTGTCGAGAAAGGCGAGATAGTGTTGGTTCGTTATATCCCGCTGGCCGTTTCGGCGACGGCAAATCCTGCAACGAAGAAAAAGGCATGGGAGGAGAAAACGAAAAAAAAAAAAAGAAAGAAAGAAAGAAAGAAGAAAAATAAAAAGCAAGGGATACCTGTGCGCCCTGCAGGCATTAATTAAATAAATGAGTGAGGAAGGAGGGTAGCGGGAGATATTTTTCTTTATATGTTGGAATATAATAAGGAGAAGGGCCATGCTTGCCAGTCTGAAAACAAAAAAAAACCAGGCAGAGCTTCGTTGGTTTATGTTTGAAATGAGGCTGAAGTTGAAGCCTACTCAACCGGAATATCACCTAGCCATATATCATTATTGACAATGGTAGCAATATCAGGACCAGCGTCTTCGACAGTCGAATAAGATGGTGGTCGGACGCCAATATCAAGCACCTCCCTTGCAACCATCTTTATATGCCGCATTACCAGTCTGGATATCGACCATGTCGGACCCAAGGCCTTAAGCTCCCCTATAAGCAGCGCAATACGATCCCGGCGAGGTTCCAGCGTATCCGACGCGCGAATGGAGCATGCGCAGAGCTGCACAAGTGCACTCAGCACCATGCCGCAAATGAAGAAAGGCGAATGCTTTATGCTTGGTGACCTCAGGGCTGCAAGGTTTGCCAGGCCATTGGCAGCCTTGATCGACTTGATAGCATGGGTTAGGTTGGAGGAAGAGTTCGTTCTGAGCAACCGTATCCAGCGTCTGGCACAGGGAATGCTCGACATGGCTACAGGGGTGGACAACAAGTTCGACTGAGGAGTATGCAAGTATATCGATGCGCAGTGAATTATCATGAAGGCACGGAACATAACTTGGTCCACTTGGTCGTCTACTGCAAGAATATCGCGCCTCGAAGGTGGGAGATGATGGAACCAACTGCCAATACTTGCATCTATAGACTCTATCTGGTCATATTCAGGGTCTTCTGGAGCATAGGTGAGGTCGAGAGTACGTTTCAATACTCTCGACGCCTCGATTGCATGGCAATAGGACGAGTACTCGTTGCTCCCGTCTTCGTCCTCGAAGATTCTGTCATAGAATTGAGCGGCAGTGGGTGATTCGGTCAGGTATATGCCGGCTGAATAGCTGAGGTCATCACATGGGAGGGGAACATCCATGATGACGCTGCTTGAAATTTGGCAAGGGGTCTGGTCGAACCCGGAAAACATCGCATCAATCATATACACCTCCCACCACGTCCGTCTTATGTTTTCACACAGGACAGCATCTTCGCCTACAACACTAGGGGCAAACGTTCTCATGTTCATCCCCAACTTCATTGCTAGACCTGCTGCCTCTGTGAAGGCTTTGACTCCCTCTGCTCGCTCATTACGTCCATGCAAGGTGATGGAAAGTAGCAGCAGAGACTGGACTTTATAGCAAGATACCTCACTTTTCGCAATCGACGAGATGACGGCCGGCCTGTATGCATCCGGGGATACGCCGGAAACAAAATGTGCGCCTATGAACTTGAGGGTAGCTTCCAGGCAGGTGGGAAGTGGATACAGGCGAGACAAGAAGTGCGCGGGCGGTAGTATAGGATGAGAGTCGTGAAAGTACGCATAGTAGAAATCGAAAAGGTACGAGTCCCCTTGTAAGTCCGTGACGCCATACTGGCTCCCTCCCGCCAGCCCCGGAGCAGCCGCTGCAGTCGCAACGGGTTTATCCACGCATATTGGGGTCTGGTTATAGAGGCCATTATGGTTGCTGTTGTTGCCGTTGCTGCTGCTATGAGTGTTATTGCTATGATGATCTGTCGTCTGCCAGGTGGGAACTGAGCTGCTCTGGTCTGAGGAGAAATCCTCCGCCGCCGAAACAGTGCCTGGAAGAGGTGTGCTGACGAAAGAGAAGGTCGAGAGTTGCGGCGTCAACTGTAAGGTGGCCGGGGCGGTATATTCGGAAGAGGGGGTCAACAGTGGCACAGGAGTATATGATACTGCATACTGGTTTCTAGAACCTGGTTTATATCCTCGACGAGAAGGGGTGTAGTGACATCCAAGCTGGCCTTTGCGGCACCGTCCACATATTGGCATCACACCGTCGCATTTGAGATGCTTCCTCCGACATGCCAGACACGCTAGCGAGGAGGGCTTCTCCCCGGATCGATTAGTAGTAGCGAAGGACATGACGGCGCATTCTGTGAAGCATAATAATAGGGACGATAATGGTCAGTAAGCACAGTAACAATTATCAACAACTGGCGAGGGTGGTCAGATTTGCTCTGGTTGTAGTCGGTGATTGTCACCACAGAGAGACGGAGCGAAAAAGCCGGACCAGAGCTGCCATGGGTTGAGCGACAAACTCCTCCAGCATCACGTACTCTCGATGCTCATTTGCGACAGTGAGCTGATCTCGAAAAGAAGAGAGGAAGACGAAGGAGAAATTGAGGTCGAAGTCTCGAAGATCGTTTTTTGCCCCCTTGCCAGCGTTAGTTATGTAAGCACTCAGCCTCAGGCCACAAGGAGCAAGACAGGTAATCTAGATAAGCACACAAGTGCAAGCCGTAAGAAGGTACGCTCGGATGGGTTATGACATCTACAGAGGAGCTAGACGAGATCTGGCCACTGGTATGCATAGAGGCTATGCAACCTTCTCTGGGCCGGCCAGCAACTGCGGTTGGTGGAACAGCTGGGAGGAGACGTCATACATGGTGAGAGCTTCGACGTCAAATAGATTAATAAGATGCAGCGAGTTAGAAGAGACCAACTGGGGGAGAGCGCGGAGGGAAGTCGCAGGAGCATATAAAGGACCATGAGCCTGCCGCACTTCCGTCCGCCTGCTGACTAGTACCAGAATCGTGATCTATTACATTTTGGAGACACTTTGTACTGTACATAGCCATGTCTGCCATCCAGGGAAAATGCCACTGCGGCGCTGTTGAATACACCGCCAAGCTTGGAGACAAATCTCATATCCTCTGGTACGGCCTCTCCCACCGTCATCGTCTTATGCTGGCCTTGCAAAGTATCGTAGACTAACAGACCCAGCCACTGTGATGCCTGCAAGCGTATCAACGGTAGTGACTTCACTCTCAACCAAGTCATTCCCAAGGCAGACCTTGAAATAAAGAAGGGTGACTTAACTAAGTACACCTACAAGGGTGATTCAGGTGTGATTGCTGGCTCCTTTATATCTGGTAGCCCAACTTGATATTGACTAGCAAGGCAACCCCGTGCACTGCTGCTTCTGCCCCACCTGCTCCACCCACATCTATCACCATCAGACTGCGTTGGGCGACGACAAGTACATCCTCCGCACGGCGTCGTTGGAAGGCAACAAGGAGTGGCCGGCCTCAGTTGAGATATACTGCAAGGACAGAGCAAAATGGCAGCCAGATGTTGCGCCAAAGGTATGCCAGGCCGGTCCAGAGTAGGTCTATTCTGTCATGTTGGCGTCAAAAGAGAAGATGTAGCAAAGTTGGAAAGTATATGGGATGAAAAAGTCTCTTTGTATAAGTCGTAAAGTCGTAATTCGTGAAGTCAAGCCAAAGTTGTAGTATCAGAAGCATCACTCTCTATCCATGGTTTCACCACTCCAAGATTTCCTCTATCCGGAGCTGACAGGGGGGATAATGGCCACCTCGTCATTGCACTCGATCATCCTCGTCTTGTCCTTTGCAGTCTCAACGTCAAGTTCTTCCCCATCCACATACTGAAGGCGAACGCTGACGGCACAGCTAGATAAGATCTTCTCCTTCATTCCTGGATACCGTGATTCGAGGAGATCATATAGCCGACACAACGGGTAGGGTGCGGGGAAGGTCTCGGTATTCTTCTTTGTATATGAAGAAGCATTTGCAAAGTAATGAAGTTGAAATGTTCCTGTAAAGCAAGTCGGGATATCTGTAGTGGCCATGAGTAAGATAATGAGTGTCAGTTTGCTTTTCGTCGGTTTTAATTGATATTTGCCTGCCTTTATCCTCCTTTTATGGCTGTTGCTAGAATTATCTCCAGTTTCGTATTTCTTTGGCGTTTTTATGCTAAAGCCGAGATAGGATGACTAACAAGGTTTTTATTAAGGTTGGCCAGTGAAAAAGCAGTATCAAATGGACATCAAATTCTAGAGAATGTGTTATTATTTACGATGTTCAGCTGTCAAATTGACCAACATCAATACCGTTAAATGCGACAGCAGCTTGTCTCAAGCGAGACTCTTCAGTCCAGCAACAATATCATCCTTCAAATCTTGCCAATTCTCTAATCCAACACTAACTCTGAGCAGCTCCCTCTCAACGGACGCGTCGCTCATGGCACGCCATTCGATGAGCGACTCTACACCGCCGAGACTGGTAGCATGGTGGAAAAAGTGCAGCTTGGATGGTAAGGCACGCGCAATCCTTTCTTCCTTCATCATTATGGAGAAAACAGGCCCATACCCATTAGGCATCTGTTTTGACAGCCACTCCATATCCTCTCTCTGCAAACTAGAATGGTTGATTTTGGCCACCGTCTTCTGGACAAGGCTGGCTTCCTCATTTGTGACGGTGGCAGTTGTCTCGGGAGCCCTGGGTTTGCCCTTGTGAAGGGCTGCGTCAAGCCAAGCCACGAGGTTAGTGGCATTCTGGCTCAGACGCTGTACACGAATCTCCAATGTTCTCAGACTTCGGGTACCAAGCCACGACTCCAAGTTTCCCATGACACTTCCGATGTATTGTCGGTCATCGGCAAGAGATAAATACCAGTCCTTTCGCTGGGTGACCAAGACACCACATAGCATGTCACTGTGGCCTCCTAGGTACTTGGTTCCTGAGTGCATGATCATATCCGCACCCCATTTGAATGGATCCTGGAGACCGGGGGGTCCAAACGTGCTATCGACAAGAACGTATGCTCCTCGGGAATGGGCCTTTTTCGCATAGCTTTCTATGCAGAAGGAAGTTCCATGTGGATTTAATGGTGACTCAAGGAGGATTACATCACCCTTCTCCAGCTGCTCGGCAGGACAATCAAGATCTATCTTTTTCATGCCTGTGAGACGAGATAAAATGCGCATGACGCCATGGCTTCCATGATATCCCTGTCCGACGGAGACATGGCGAGGGTTGAAGAAGACAAGCGCAGCATGGAGAGCCGAGAGACCGGACGAATAGGATAGACAGTGGCCGTTGACGAGCTGTGAGAGAATGGTCTCAAAGCGGGTGCTGCTTGGTGCACCACAGCGGGAATAGACGTAGCTATTTGTCCCTTCATGCCCGCCCTGCGATATTGTTTAGAATCATTATACTGAAAGCCGCACTTAACTTGGAAGTACCTACATGAGCTTCAGACTCCGGAACTAACTCGTCTGGGTTCTCGGTGTATCTAAAGGTCGTCGACAGATGGATTGGAGGGGACACATCTGTCACATTGTTCATAATGTCATCAGCATGGAGAGCGACTGTTGACCGGCCTCTGTCCTTCAGGTCCATCTTTGCGAAACTCTTTTCAACCTGTTCTGCCATGATGATATCCCTAGTCGATTGTCGACTCCGTCCTGACGAATGGATTTATATACCGGGCAACACCGACTCAGCAGTAACGAATTATTAGGTAGGTAAGGTACCTCTAATTAACATGGAAAGGCGGGGTCCTTTTTTGCCGCGGGCGGGCGATTTCCGGCCGACGCGCCGATGCCGAGGCTTGGCATGGAACCTTGGAAGACGCGAGGTCACGTGGTTAATTTACAGCCGGGAAATGAAAACGAGATGGAAGAAAAAGAAAAGGACTTTGTATATCCAGCTGTATACAACGATCTAAAGCGCTAGTGGAACGGCCTGCCATGTCAATAGATAAGCCAGCAGACAGATTAAGCAAGGAAAGCGACTAGGGAAGAAGATAGAGAAGGATAAAAAGAGGCAGCCAAGAAGAGAAGAAGGGTGGAGTACAGCGAAGGAAAGATGGGAAAGCAGGTACACATGCCTTCAAATTGATATGGATGATGAAAGAAAAGAGACATCGTCGAGCCTCGTGTCGACATGAGTGATGGATGAACAAGGAAAAAAAAAAGGGTGAGTGAGCCCGCTGATAAGAATATGACGAAGACAGGAGAAGAAGATGGAGTGACGAGCGGAAGATGAAAAAAAGACAAAGGAGAGGTGAAAAGACAGCCCGCTAAACGCCAAAAGCGCCGTACATAGTGGTGGAAATGCCAGGATCGACGATTATTTCCGCAGTGAGCCCATTCTAGATGGTTCTTTCACTGACCCAGGCACAGCCGATTGGAAACTATACCGATCTATCAAGCAAGTTAGCAATTCTGTTCACTACCGCGTGCATAGTGGTGTGGTAGGTTGTCTTACCATTCTCCGAGTCAAAGCCAATAGTGATATCGTCGTGCTCACCTGGATACTCCGGCATATCAAGGCAGACGAAATCAGCAGACTCGTCATCGCTATTCTTGGGCAGCGCAAACTTGGCATCGATAATTTTAATGCCGTATTTTCCAGAGCGGTTGAAACTTTCAAAGTTATCTGTGCTTTTAAGGACGAAATTCATGCTTCGACCGTGGCTGAAGCCTGCTAGGAAAGCAACTAGTTGGACGTTCTTTTCCTGTTGAATGATTTGGAGACGAGCCCTGGAGGCTTCCCATTTCTTGTAGATGGGAACTACCATGCGTCGACGGGCGATAGCGAACATGGAAGCGTAGCTAGAGGATAACTCTCGTTAGTAAAATGAGAATATTTGGCAGAATTGAAGAAGAGGCTAATTACCCGTCAAACAATACTTTGAATCCTGTGATGCCTTGCTGGAAATGATGCATATCTATAAACGTGAGTTAGTAAGACTTCCTAATTAAAGATGGGGAACGGAGGAACATTTACTGACCCTGCAGCGTCGCGAAGTTATACTTCCTGATAATGGGTTGCGTTTTTGAAACTGTGAGCAACTCCTTCATCTGCGCTGGCACTTCCTTTGGCACCATATTCTCGGCTACAGCTACGCTCAAGTCGTCCTGTGGTGGCCTAATCACGCTCAGCGTGGTAGGAACATTAATATCAAGGCTTATCTTCAAATCACCGGGCCCAATGTTGATCCTATCGGTGACTGAGCCCCAGCTCGAGCTGATGAAGACACGCAATTTCTCCGAGAGGACGGTACTTGGCACGCTGTGTTTATGATCTGGCCTCTCGTTGATGACTGAGGCATTGCCTTTATCGAATTTGAGAAATGTCTTGCGGGAGTTAAGGGTATTACCCGAATTGCCCAGGGGGTCAACGCCTTGTATCATTGTGAAGGACTGGATAGCGAGGTCTGGAGATTTGGATTCTGACTCCGAGGGCGTGATGCCTATGAGGAGGGAGTGCAGACTTGCGCGAAGTTCTGTGTCCTGGAAGGTAAGAAGCATAGAGTGTTCGACCCCATTCTCAAAATGCTTGAGCATCATTGCTGGTGCGCCATCATCACCGCGTAAATAACCAAACACAATGGGGGCGCCGTTGCCCAGGGTATGTGAGACGCTACTGAGGGTCTTTACTTTGGGGCTAGTGACGGCGAAGAAGCGGAAACCACGGTGAGATTCACGAGTGCCCGTCCCTTCGGTGATTTTGGTAGACTTTTCGAATAGCTGTATCCTGCAGCGTTGGGTGGGTTCGGAAGGGAATGACTTGTTGGGAGAGCTTTCGGTATACTGGAATTCATTCAAAATGTCTGCAAACACCAACCTTTCGCCAGCGGCAGGCTGCATGTCCGCTTGCACTTTGCGGGTGTATTCAACGATCTTCCAGAGCATTTTAAAGTCTGCATCCTGGAACTTGATGTCCAGCTCGAATCCGCGAGGGAGACGGAGAGTGAGAGAATGGAGGCGGACCTGCCAATCTATGTCGGCCCAAGTGGGACCCTGCTTCTTGTCGGATTGGATGGTCAGGTTGACGAGCTCGTTCTGGCTAGTGAGGGTGGCAATTACGTTCCAGTCTGATCTGTCACGGGTGATGGAGAGCATGCATGGAATGGCATACTGCTCGGTGTCATCGTCCGAGGAGCCCAGGCAAACTTCGACGAACATTCGACCGTAGCAGAAGTGGCGGTTGGTGTCGCTGATTGGCATTGTCTCGGCAATGTCGGGCTTCTTGGACGAATGGTCGATGAGCATAGACTTGGAGCCGGAGCCAGACAGCACAGATGATATACCGGGGGCGAAGAAGGGATAGCGGATCCAGATGGAGGTGTCGATGTTCTGGGAGAGAGCAGGAAGCTGGCCAGCTGAGGAAGACGAAGGGATGATGTTATTACGCTGCATGGACATGGAAAGGGCACGTAGATGGCTGATGATGGCCAGGTGGATGCTGAGGTGGCTTGCCAGGGTATCGTTACCCATTGACTGCACCATGGATAGCACGGCCTCAGGCTTCATCCTGCCAAATTGGCCGAGCTCGGGGTGCTGGGGCACGAGATGCTGGTTAATCCACCATGCCTTAGCCAGATTGATGATGGCCTGCTGCGATTGCTCGGTAACGGGCGATTGTCTTCCATTGGCCGAGTTGGGCCCAGGAGGGTGAGGAGGACGGGCGCGCATAAAGGTCTCGAGCTCAGCTCTGCCTTTAATGAACCACCAGACGCTGGCACGCACCCACTCCGAGAGGGAGGTCTCCATAATGGGTTTGACACTTTCGGCAGCACGAGAGAAAAGAGAGGTGTAGCGGTCGACATAGGCCGAGAATTCGGCCAGGGCAGCGTCTCCAACCATGTTAGCCACGTTCTTGAGTTTTCCTGAGGAGCCAGAGGAGGTCTTGGAGTGGTGGCCCATGTAAGCTGGCTTGTCAGGTTGTAGCCTGTTCGATTGCTGCTGCTGCTGCTGCTGTAGGGGTTGGGGATCATTGTACGCAGTCTGTCTGGATTCTGTTCTAGCATAAGGCGGTGGAGAGGAAGCAGGCGGTTTGGCAACCTTGGTATGAGCCGGGTTCGACGGAACAGCAGCAGGAGGAAAGTAACCATCAGGGCCCTGTCGCAACCGTTGCTTCTTGTTCTCCTCTGGCAGAGCGGCCATGACGCTGCCCCAGAAAGACAGTCCAGACTTGCCAGCTTGGGCTGGCTCCTGTGGGCTGCCTCTGTCGTCTCTGCTCTCCTGGGGTTCGTCTCTGACTTGCCTGCCATGATCTCTATCTCTGTCTCTGTCACTGTACTCTCTGCCGTAGTCTCTAACATGATCATTGTTGTCCCTGTAGTCTCTGGGGTAGTCTCTTGAGGCCACCTTCTCAGGAGAATGCTGGTGGTGGTGGTGATCCTGCTCGGCCGCGGCCTGCTCCCTGGCACGCTGCAGCGCAAGACCCTCCTCATCCCTCATCTTGGCCCGTATCCTCTCCGCAAACGAGCTCTCCTCACTGGTATCTCTCCATGACAGCCGGGACCCTCTAGGCTGCTGGCTGATGGACAAGAGAAAGTCCGAGTTCTGCGCATTGCGTAATTCCGGCGACGGCTGCAGCTGGCTCTCCTTGCTTGGGGCGCTGCTCTTCTTCTCCCCGTCTGGGCCTGAGACGGCAAAGGAAGGCAGTGTCGGCTCCCTGTTATCAAGGTAGCGAGCCTGGGAGTCTGAAGCGTCCGAGGACGAGCCGCCGTCTGCGCCATCCGTGAGCTGGGAGGCGGACGAATTGGAGCGTGCACGATAAAGCGATATCTCCATCGTCGGGGCCTCTGCCTCCTCGCCTCCCTCGCCCATGACCGAGGGCGGCCGGTCACAGAACCTCACCCGGAGGCTCTCGCAGCGCCGTCTCCTCTTCTTCAGGCCTCCTGGACCTGCCACCGCAGTGCTCCCATTGTTGTTTTTGTTGTTCTGGTTGTGGCTGTTAGTCCGGGTGACGTTGACGTCTACTGCGGCCGTGGGGGACTGAGCAGCACCAGCCCAGCGTTGCGAGACAGAGACATCGATCTTGGGCGGAAGCCTTGCTGCCGGGAATGGCTGCTGCTGCTGCTGCTGCTGCTGCTGCTGCTGCTGCTGTACGGGAGGGCGCGAGGAGGCTAGGAAGTCGTCTATCTGCTGGTCCCTGGTGGACTGCTTGGTCTCCTTTTCGCGGGAGAAGAGCTTGCCGCGCCACTTGCGGGCGACCTTGGTCTCTGCGGCCGTCAGGCTGCTCGTCTCGGGGGAGTTGAACATGATTCCTTCATGCGGTTATCCAGTCGTCTGCCGTCCGTCGTCGTCGTCCTCGTCGTCGTCGTCCTCGTCGTCAAGCTGGCTGCCGTCCAGGGGGCGATCTATGTCTGCGGCCCTGGCGAGTCGAACCGCCAGCACAGCCAGCGAATGTCCAGTCCCTCGTCACTGTCGGCCGTCACTGCTCGCTTCCGGCCTCTGTCTGCTCGTCTGCTCGTCCGGCTCGGCTGCGTCTCGTCGTCGGCTGCGTCTGCGTGTCTTGTTTCTGCTGCTGCTGCGTCTGCTGCGTCTGCCCTAGAGGTTTCGGGCTCACGTGCTTTTTTTGCTGCAGATGAAACGCCCAAGGGGCAAAGCTGGAGGCGCCGGGGAAGCCAGGCGGACGCAGCTGTCGGTGCAGAGACGAGTTTATAGCTAGACTAGACGTCGAGGCGTAGTAGTCATAATAATAATAATACTTCTTATGTAGCTGGCTATGGAGCGGCCGCTGGCGTGTCACCGGGTGTTGGGATGCAGCAGCGCAGCCAAGGGCCTCGATGCCCTGTTTAAATACAGAGCCGTGGACGAGACATCCAGTCCGCCGTGTTTGATCTGTCTTGTTTACTGCCTGCTCTCATTCCACGTTAATTAGAATCCTGTGGTCCGTCAGCGAGGGAAACGAGGCTTTGCCTGCGCCACCTTCGAACTCGCTCGCTCGCTCGTTATATTAATAGCTCTAAGCAACCAACGCTGCTCCAACAACAACAACAACAACAACAACAACAACAACAACGACGACGACGACGACGACGACGACATCACCAACGACAACGACAGACGACACCACCACCACCCCCTAGCGTCCGTCCTGCCCTCGTCCCTGGCCGTCTCCCTCGTTTGGCGGCCTGTCGATTCTCGTTTCTCGACCTTGTTGGCCTCCGTCTGACCTCGCGGGCCCCGTCTTTTCGCCCGATCTCGACTCTTCCAAGGCTAACGACTTGATGGACAGGAGGAAGCCCGCAGCTCCAAGCCACCAACAGACCAGCGGCCAGCACCAAACCATCCGTCCGGCTGTCTTTGGACGCGCGACCAGAGACCGTCCAGAGCTCGTTTCTCTCAATTGGGATCTTCTGCAGGGGAGTGGCCGGCTGGACAGGCTGATAGAATAAAGGGGAGATGGTTGAGCTTCACGCCGGCAGCTCCAGCAACATCACCACCACCACAACCGCCGCCGCCGCCGCCGCCAGGAAGACGCACAATAACAGGCGAGATGCACGCTCTGCAGCTTCGACCGTCCTCCAGCTAAAGGCCACGGCCTCCTCCTCCCGCGCAGCCATGCCTGCCTCGCCGTCGATCGTCCTGCTGCTGGTCCTGCTGCTCGCTGTCCAGGCCGGCCACGCAGCCCTCGTCCCCTTCAGAAACTGCCTGCCGGACGCCATCACCAAGTCCAGCCCCGTCAAGCTGCAGTTCATACCTCTCTACGTCGCTGCGCAGTTCAACAGCACACGGCCGGACCTCAATCTCAACGTCACCGTCTACGGAAACGTCAGCGGCACCGAGACGAAGGAGCCATACCCGCCCCCAGACGACCCGCGATGGAGCAACCCCAACGAGACACTGGGCAAGATAGTCAGTGTCAACCCGTCGACAAACACTTTTACCACCCTGTTTCCCCGGCTAGACGTCGTCAGCTTCTCAGCTGCCGGTGGCTCGGTCCAGCCGTTCTGCGACTCTCTCACCCAGGGCAAGTGTCCTCTCGGGCCCGTCTTCAACTTCACCCAGTGAGTTATTACATACATACAACGTATATAATAAAAAAAAAAAAAAAAGGTACTAACAACAAGATCAGGGACTCGACGGCGGATCTGCGGGCATTCTCGACGACATACAACGTCACTTCTTCCTACGCCTTCGCTTCTCTCCTGGCTACGCTCGAAGTCAAGGCTGGAGACGCTAGCAAGACGCCCTACAGCTGCGTGGTGGCAGACATCGCCCCAGACCTGGGTGATCCCCTGAGATCAGCCCTCGCATACGTTCCCCTTGCCATACTCTTGCTCGTTGGCGTGGCTACTGTCTACGCTGCCATCTACAGCCCCTGGGGAACCACAGATATCTTCCGCTGGACCTGCAACTATGGCCGAGACGAGGACCTCATCCGTCTCGTCACGCCCGGATTCGCAGACTGCCTGCAGTATATCCAGTTCATCATACTCACGGGCTCGCTTACTCTGAGTTATCCGGGCTACTACCAACCCGTCGTCAGCCAGATCGGTTGGTCTGTCCTCATGTTCAACCAGAGCTTCGTCAGCCATGGAAACGGCACGACGCCCCTGATAGATGGCGTCTACTCCGTCAACGGCACATACGGGCTCGATCGCATGGGCCAGTTCGTCGGCATGACTCGAGCCGCAGACATTTGGGCAGGCACCGTCATCTGGCTACTTGTCATCCTCGCTGCCGTCACGGCGATCATCCTGCTCGGTTTCGGCCTCAGATGGCTCCATCACAGCGTCAGCCACATAGCAGAGCAGGATCTGCAGTCCAAAAACACAGCCTTCACCATGGGAAACGTCGTTCGTATCGTATTCAACTTCTTCCTTCTCCCGCTAGTCTCACTATCCATGTTTCAGCTCGTCGAGGCTGGCTCCTCTCCCGTCTATGTCGTGGCCCTGGCTGTCATCTTGCTTGTCCTGCTCGTTGGATTCGCTGCATGGCTCCTCTATCTCATCTTCTGCACCCGTCCTCGCTCGTATCTCTTTGACGATCTGCCTACTGTGCTCTTGTACGGACCACTCTACAACACCTTCAGCGATGGAGCGGCGCCTTTTGCTCTCATATCTGTGCTGCTCACCTGCATGCGAGGCGTAGCCATTGGCGCCGTTCAGCCGTCGGGGATAGCCCAGATTGCTATCCTGGCCATCTGTGAAGTCACCATGATCCTCACCCTCATCGCTTTTCGGCCCTACGAGTCTCCCACTTCGATGAATGCATATCATACCATCTTTGCACTTGTTCGGTGTCTCACTATCCTCCTATGCGTTGCCTTTGTTCCCTCTCTCGATATTCCGGACCCGGCAAAGGGATGGATTGGCTACGTTATCCTCATACTACATGGCATGGTCCTCATATTCGGATTCTTCTTGAATGCCATCCAAACTCTCATCGAAGTTGTAGCCAGACAAGCTGGAGCTGGTGATGTAGGAGTCCAAGGTGAAGCCGCTAGAGGAGGTTTGGTAAAGGTACGTTCACACTCAATTGATTTTCTACATTATATCAATCAGTATAAGAGCTCACTAACCTACCTCTACAGGTATTTGGTGTCCGTCAATTATCCCGTCGCACCCCCAGGAAGCGCCACATACCGCGCAGAAGCACCAATTCCGAGGCTACCATGCTCAACGTTGACTTAGAACGTCCGTCAACTCAGCTCGACAGTGAGCGGCCCAGAAGTTTCTCAGGCAGCTCGGCTGTCCTGCTAAATCGGCCTGGCTTGGACCAGACGAGCACCGGGTTTGAGTCCGGGGCAGGGAGCCTGTTCAATGCCAGCAACCCGCGTGGACCAGGCAGTGGCCCGTACACGCCTACCACCCCGGGAGCCTTCTCAACCGGACCAGGACAAGCTTCAGGCGGCGGCGGGTCACCGCGCAGCGGCATCATGCATATGCATCTCAAACACGAGACGGCAGACCCGTACTACCGTCCGCCCCGGCAACGGCGCGCTACCCTTGAAGGCATACGCCACACCTCATGGAATAGCAGCGATATGGGCAACGGACGGTCAAGCCGTGCGGCTAACACTCCCGATCTGGATCCAGACGCAGACCATCATGCCGATGTCCTAGCTAATCACCCTGTCGGTAACGGAAGCACCCCAACGCCGGCTTATCTAGGTGCACCCAGAGAAGATCCCGACGGCGACGGAGATGGTGATCCTTCCCTTCGAACAGATTATGCAGTTCGCGAGGTTGACTTTTACTACCGGGTTAGAGGCCCTGCACTGTCGCATTCCGCTACTAGGAAACTCAAGACCGGTCCTGCCGATCCCACTGGCCCTGTATCATCGGCCGGCGGATGGCTAAAGAACCTATTCGGTGGGAAGACAAAGGAAAAAGGCAAGGGCTTCGAGGTTGTCCGAAGCTCCCGTGCACCTCCCCAGGCTGCAATGCAGCGACCACCACCACCTGAGCAGGATAAGTTCACAGAGCCTTATAAGGATGACTCTGACAGTGCCCAGGATCCAAATACTACTGCCACTACCTCAGGACCTGCTCCAGATCCTGATCCAAAAGCTTCGCCTGTCACTGAAAAGGCCAAAGCAGAGGCTGCTACAGACAACGACAAACCAGTCCTACCGCCTCTTCTGCTTGAAGACGCTATCGAATTACCCAGCCGATCAAACACTCGCAATGTCCCGCCAGATAGTACATCCGCTCATTCACGCTCTCAATCACAATCACATCCAGGAGCCCACGGCGGCATGCGAATAAGGCCACCAACTATTCCCCGCAAAAGCTCGAAGCGCGGTAGTTCCGTTGACCTACGAGACGCAAAACCTGGTGCAGCAGGGTCTTTCATAGGCGGACCTCATTCCCGCAACAGTTCTCGGGACTACGAAGCCACCAACTCCGAGGCGCTCGTTCCTCAACGGACGTTCTCAAACCGAGCTATCCAGCAGTCACGATTACCTTTTGGTTCAAAGTCGTCTTCAACACACAGTGCTCCTGTATCACTCGACTCGAATGATTCGATGGCACAACCTCATGCTACTGCTGATGGGACGGATACGACTGACCAACTTTCTTCGCCAGGACCCAGACAGAGAAACACATCAGCCGCGACTTTTGAAGCTACTCGACGAGGAATGTTAAAGGGCATGGGATATGTCCAACAGCATCGAGCAAGCGACCACATCCATGAAACCAGCCTATCCGGTGGAAGCGCCGCAGAAATCATAGGCGATCACCCTCTTCCACCTACCTCCGCTGCCTCATCCTAATTACCTTCTGCCTTTTGCCTATTCTACCGTTTGCATCTCATTCGAATTTTTTTTTTTTTTTTTTTTTCCATACAACCATCTACGAACCGGCAATTGGCAGATATTGATTCCAATACGGAATGGATCATAACATATCAATATCTCCTCCCTTTGCATACTAATGAATAATCATTTGACGAATTTCCTTTACTTTTCCCCCACTGTCTTCTCTCTTGCTCAAAAGTTGGATTTGCTCCCTGTCTATTTCTTGCAATGTCGTTAATACGTGAGGCCTTTTTTTTCAGTCCGTCTTCCAGCCAGTTGTTCAGTGCGTTTAATAGCCATTTACCCTAGCGTGTTCTTCCTCTTCCTTTCCAGCCTGTTTATCAAGAGCGACTATTTATTTGGTTGGATTCTCTTTTGGTGATCCCTTTTTTTGTGTGCTATAGAGACCGAGGTGATTACAGTATTGGGGGATCGGTGGCTATATTGGTTTCTGTTGAATTACAACAGATGTATTAAATAACTTCTATTTCAAATACAAAAGGTCTTGGAACTGAGCGAGAGACTGGTGTCATCTATATTTTTGCATTGAATGTTTTTTGATATACTACCTATATGGGCAAAACGTTCATCTTTGTTTATTTCACTCACATGGTTCGCTTCACTGGCTCAGCCAACCAAACAACCTCGCATCTTTCAAGCATCAACGACCATCGCTCGATTCGAACGACATCTGTCCTTCTAATCTTTTACTCTCGAGCTGCTCTACACTTCCTGACGATCATCTCAACGCCTACACGACGTCTTCAACCTTCCTGGCGCACGGTTTGTGGCGTTAGAAGCATCACCCACTAAACGCCGCAACTTCTGTCAACAACCACAGGATGGAGAACTCCTCGTGATCGGCAGTGGGGACCACTAGAGCTGCTGGCTGTCATAAAGTCAGCTACGTTGTCTGAACCTCCAGCTTGCTTGCTGCATCCCTCATGATTGGGAGAAAACGCCGCGTTTGACACTTTCAACACGCTGCATCACCCTCACCACCTCGAGGCGAGATATCAACTGGTTATATAGATATTATCTTGATCCACAACCTATCGCCCGAAAATCAACGAACTCCCCTGGCTCAAAATCTACGTGGAGCCTCCCTCCCGTGCCCACAGCAAATGCTGGCCCGTCTAAACAGCGGACGTTGGCGTCATCGAACACCCCCGGATAACGGGCAACGTTGTCCAACAGTTAGAAAGGAAAAAGAATACGGATATTCCTACCTTTTTTTTAAACCCTGGTTCCCCCGATGTCATTGCCTTCGGAATCTCAGGCCTCAACCCATGAAGCGCGATCCACGACTGTCCACCGCTCATTATCAGAGAGTCGCCATGACTACACGCATGCGGCGAGACGAGGAAGCAGTGGGGGCGAGGATCATACGACGTGGACACAGTTCCTGCGAGAAGATCAAGACCGGTTGATGGATAGCGGTAGTCCTGATAGAGATGACAACTCGTCGACTTCGCCGAACAGAAAACGAAGACTAAGAAGCGGTAGTAGTAGAAGCGGCGGTGGCGGCGGCGGAGGTAGCAACACTGGTATAGAAATACCAGGAGCTAGATATACCCAACCCGCTTCTATCAGGCAGCACTCTCGACCCGGTGCGTCTGCATCTCGACTATCAGGAAGTCCCAGCTTTGTCCGACCCGACGAAGAGTCGACCGAGACTCAGTCTGCTTCCTCCCCGCCTTCCTCATCGATGTCCCGCCAGCTAAACTCTCTACGGCACCGTGAAAGAAGCTTTACTGACCATCGGCTCCCACGATGGCAGCCGGACTCTGAAGTTACTGAATGTCCAATATGCGGCATTACATTTACGTTTTGGTTTCGAAAACACCACTGTAGGAAGTGCGGCAGGGTCGTTTGCGCAGCTTGTTCGCCTCATAGAATTACCATACCACAGCAGTTTATCGTCCGTCCTCCCGAAGCCCAGACACAGCTAACACTATCGAGCATTATCCAGCGCAATACAACGGACCGTGAAGGTGTTGACCTTGTTGACGATGAAGAAGTACAGCCGCAGCTTTCACCATCACAATCCCGAAGCCACCATCGCGCAACTTCGATCCATCAAATTCCTAGAAATGCTCTAGGCGGAGGGACCGAGGTTCGTCTATGCAATCCATGCGTACCTGATCCCAACCCCGAGCCCCCTCGCCGATATAGGGCGAGCAGCAGTACCTCTCATCATGAACATAGAACGAGAAATACCAGTCTTGGATGGGATGACCACCACCCTCATTCACAGGGAGATCCGCACTCCCTACCATCAGAATATCAAAGCCCAGGGATCTGGAGCATAAGTGCTGAAAGGCACCGTCGCCATATACCTTCTGTACCTTCTCGGATGGAGGGAAGAAGGCAACGGAACCAGGAATTTGAATCTAGTGTATGTTATTATATATCGGATGTTCCCTCCATTACCCCTTACTACATGATCTAACAACCTGTACAGGTTCACAGCTACAGACGAGATCCTCAAAGAAATCTTCGCGCAAACCCAACAGACGCCATTCTCCCCTCATATGGAGGTTTTGGTTATGAAGTCTCATCCAGTCTACGGGGGTTGGCTCCCCGGTATCTACCAGGTAGAGAGACAGAACCTCAATCCCAGGGTTCTCCGCCTCTTTACTCCCATGATGGATTCACTGTAAGTAGTAGACATTATATATATACCCTACAACTCCGAGTGTTAACCTGATATTCAGGATTTACAACGGAACCAGCATCACCCATCATATACAAGGTCTATTCTCCGCACAGCAGATATGAATCGCCCTCTGCCAGCACCACCATCCTGTTCACGACCTCGCCGTACTATCACTGAGCGGGATATTTGTCCCATATGCAATCATATATTCCCCCCACAATCTCCAGGCAGCGATGAAGATGCACGCGAAGCACATATCCGAGTGTGCATTGAAAGACACGCCACCAGACGCCCCGGGGCTTCCAGTCAATCCACACCATCAGAACGCCTGAGGATGCTTACTTTTGTTGCAACAGAGAAAGACTGTCTAGGCACAGACGGCGTACAGTCTGAATGCTCCATTTGCATGGAGGAGTATGAAGTTGGTGCCGAACTAGCACGGCTTGAGTGTCTATGCAAATTCCACAAGACTTGTATCCTTGGGTGGTTCGACCGTAAAGAAGAGTGTCCCGTCCATAAAGTGACATAAACGCATCTCAATATGTGTGGATTTTCCTTTGATATTGGCGTAATTTTTGGTCTATTGGCATATTAGAGCTTTAGGACTTGGGCTTTTATATCCATGGAAGCAGCGAATATTGTTAGCGGACTCTTGCCATATAATAATTGGCTTTAAATATATGATACTATTATTAAAGCGAGATAGAAACATCACTTTAATAAAGAATTCATTGGTGAATATATTGCTTGATGGTGTTGATAACTGCTGATGATGCCTAATAGTTAACTACGAGCAGCTCCCTCTAGACGACAGAAACGAGCAAGCAAGCCTGCAACAGAGAATCCTCTTCCCTTACGAGACGAGCAGTGCCACCAAGGAAAGGAGAGGAGATGAGGACTGAAGTCTTTGTCCGGGCTGAGAAAGCGGCCGATAGCACGTAACTATCATTCTACGCTCTGGTGAATCGTAGCTAACCCGTGTATAGTACAGCGCTGTGCATCTGATTGACGAAGCCTGTCATGGAAAATTTCAAAGCAGCGGTGCCCTTGTCAATAAAAGGAGCGTGGATGAAATGCTACAGCCCTGAGTTCAATGCGAAGCCTTGTTTATGGGAGAGTCGACGCGTAGCTACAACTTCATTAAGGGTGAGCCGCAGTGGCACTGGGGGGCTCAAGACGGTTTTCCTCAAGGCCTCGTAGATATCGATATCGCTTCGTCATGCGGTCGATCTGCTCGCCGTTGTAGTCAACAATACGAGTACGAGCGAGCGGCTCTCCAGGCAGCTAAATATGAAGGAACTAGCAACTTCCAGCCGCAAATCCAGATGGATGAATCCCACTTCCACCAAAATTTTAAGGCATTTAAGGCTGCTGATTCTCAATATATTCAGAGTTGCCTAGCTTATACGATAGCCCTCTGAAGGAACACTTACCCCGTTGTGCGCATTTCGCCGCCAAAAAAGGAACATTACTACCGACTGATATACGTACGCCCTGTCCTGTCGGAGCAGTTTTTGTGTCGGCCGCCGACATACCGTACCTCCGTGGATGGCGGCGTTAGGCGACCTGGTATGATCCTGCGAGAGAAGAAGATAAATACCAGAGGAGCCGTCGATACTTCCAGGTAGATGGAGGTGGAATATCCCCCTTCGAACGCATCGGCCCAGGACGCTTCGTCGCCTTCCGCCACCTCGACCTCACATAGAGGCTCACCTTCGCTAATACCGCCGCCTTCTGACTCACGAACGAATTCAAACGAAGCTACTGTAGGTACAGATGGCTCGAAATCAGCACAGTACAACAACAGCCCTCCCGCCGCAGGCACGGCTGCGGATGCGGCACCGAGTGATCCCCTCGCTGACCTCAAGCGTCCTCGAGCATGCGAAGCTTGTCGACAGCTAAAAGTGCGCTGTGATCCCGACCAAGACCATCCAGACGGCTCTTGCAAACGTTGTGTCAAGGCGAATAGACGCTGCATTGTCACCCTCCCCACCCGGAAGCGGCAGAAGAAGGCAGACAGTCGGGTTGCGGAACTGGAGAAAAAAATCGACGCGTTGACAGCTACACTGCAGGCATCAAGAGCGAAGAGCTACCCATCTGATTTAAATGCCTCTGGGCCGCAGCAACATGTTGAAAGGAGCTGGTCTGGGTCAAGCCGCTGGTCCTCTCAACGGCGGGTCTCAGGCGGTGCGAATTCATCAGGCCCCGCTGGAATGGCTGGAAGCAAGAGGTCGTCAAATGGGGATATTAGGTCGATACCGGGGATGAGGCCTCCTGCCATTCTTCAACTTCCTAAAAGCCCTTCAAGCCATGCAACTTTTGTCAATACGTGGTTGCGTGGGGAATCCCCCAATAAACACGAGAGCAGCTGGCCGGCATTTCTACCGGAGTCATCAGCAGCCCGAGGCCCGGACCATGAGTATGCAGATGTCATAGACCGTGGCATCATCGACCAGGAAACAGCAGCAAAGGCCTTTACACATTATGTCGAGAATATGGCACCATTGATGCCAGCGGTAGTATTTCCGCGGGACACCAAGATGGGTGATGTGCGGCGAGAAACACCCATACTGTTCCTATCCCTCCTCTCTGTATCAATTGCATCGTGTGCACCCAGCCTGGAACCGACTCTGACGAGTGAGATGCATAAAATATTCGCCGACCGTATTGTTGTCCGTGGTGAAAAGTCGTTAGAATTGATGCAGGCTCTCGTGATCGCTTCTCTGTGGTACATGCCACCAGAACACTATGAAGAGCTCAAGTTCTACCTCCTTATTCATCTTGCGGCTATTATGGGAACGGATATGGGCATGAACCGCCGCTCGAAGCCACAGGCACAATCATCAGAAATCATAAAGGAACTTATGAGTAGAAAAGCCATATTTGTTGACCCACAGTCGCTTGACGGTAGAAGAGCGTGGATGGGCTGCTACTTTTTGGCTGTGAAGTCCGTGCCTCTCCCTTTTGCGATAGCCGCGGATTTTTATTGTTTTTGATGTCTAACGTTTGTTATATGCAGTGCGTCTATGGGCCTTCGAAGGCCTCTTCTCACCCGCTGGAATACATATATGGATGAATCAGTCAAGCTGCTACTGGATTCGCCTGATGCATATCCCAGCGATCGGGCACTTGTTGAATGGGTCAAATTAGCCCATATCGGCGAAGAGATCGGCTTCCAGTTCTCTATGGATGACCCCTTAACAAACATATCCATAGACGAGCCGAGAGTGCAGTTCGCTCTCAAAGGCTTTGAAACGCGCCTGGATGAATGGCGGAAGGAGGTGCCTTCCAAAGTATACAGCCGTAAGATAGTCGATGACCATTCTAATTTGTTATTTCGACTATCGCTAAACATATATTCACAGCCGTAATGGAACACTATGAGCAAATTCTAAGCATATATATGCACGAAATCGGCATGCACGTTGATCACAACATCGACGATTTCAAACCGCCATTTCTCCCAGGTCTCGCTGAAGAATCACAGGCCAATCTTGGGACGGCTGCACATGTGAATGCACTTACAGCATGTCTTACTTCCATTCACCGGGTCCTTGACCTGTTCGGCACGATGGATCGATCATTGATGTCTTGCCTCCCTACCATACATTTCGTTCGCACATCTTATGCATGCGTTGCTCTGATAAAGCTGTACTCCGTTGCCTCATCACCCGGCAGCCGGCTCGCTAACGTCTTCAGCACTGCTGATTTCAAAGTCGAGGCCTTGCTTAATAACCTAATTAATCACCTCCATACCTGCAACGAGGGGAATCAAAGTCGAGTTGGCCTCAGATTCTCGCTTATAATTGGCATGCTGAAAGCCTGGTATGCGAAACGCAAGGATAAGAAAGCTGACGTTCCTCTTCCGCCCTTTCTCCAGCCACGGGCCTCAAAATCCGAGAAGACAGCACCCGCGGCCACGGCTACGGGTGTTGACGATAAGGCGAATAAGTCGGTGAGTAATCGCGACTCACAATCTACATTCTCCGTAAAGGGGAAATGCGTTCCTTGAGGTCATTACTCCATGTAAAGCGCGCAAGGCGCTATTTTTTTTTTTTTCACTGATCTGCTGATGCTTTGTTTCTTCTGCAGGCTCCTTTGAGAAACTCGAGCACTTCTAATACCCTTGGGGAGGCTGCTGTGCAATATCCCGCAAGTACCGCAACCACCAAGCTGGGAGTGCAGCAATCCCCCAACAAGGCTGCCCAGAATAATATATCTCAGCCCTGTGGTACTAATACACCTGGCCAAGCCATCGTGACCAGTCCAGGTAATATCACTACAACATCTGCGGCTACTATTCGTACATACGGCCCGAGCGGCCTTTCGCAGCCATCGTCTAGTTCAGGCGATTGGCCGCCATTCGTCAGCCAGAACCAAATGTCGACCAATCCTTACACTACGACGGCAACCTGCGAGTCCTCAATGCAACAGCAGTACATCAATCCAACCTTTGGGCAAAATGAAAACTTCGTTTCACAAGCCGGGTTCAATACTGTACCTACCACAGGCATGGACCAGCAGATTCTGACCTGGGGACACGGTACAATCCCAGACGCAGATCTATCCGCAGTGATGACCTTTCACCCCAGTTTATGGGATGAGGAGCTCTTCCAGCTCTCGCTCGAGGGCTTCGAAGGCGTCTTCTAGGACAATCGGTGAAAGAAACAAACCAAGCTTGTGAATGTTTCATACCCTGGGCGATCGAATGGATCTGGTTCGGAGTTTTTTACTCTCATGTTTCGTTCTCATTATCATTCACTTCCTTTTTGCATCTTGCTCGCTTTCTTTTTTTGCTCTGTATGCTTCTGACGTGGCATTTCGAGCCCGTTGGTTGGTGCTTCTCTCCCAATCTGCATGGAAGATGCATGAATCATGCATGGGACATTGGCGAAATCTTCAGCATGTTACGCTGCATTGCAGGGGTGCGTGGTTGACGATGCAAGAAACAGTACATATATACGCACCCAACTCCCTACTCCAAGGGACTCTCTCCTCAGTCTTACTGGGATGTCGCGGAGCCGCAGCATCCCGACTTTCTTTCACTCTCCATCCTTTGTTCTTTTTACAATTTCCTCCCTTCTCTTCGGCCGGTGTTTCCGGAGTATTGATTGGACAGGGCGTTATTTTGCATGTACTAGTATTACCAGCCGGCTATTCACCATTCGCTATGGAGAAAGAAACCACAAACCCCCTGTCTCCTCCGTATACTGCCATCTGTATTTACGTGATTAGGAAGTTTAAAAAAAAAAAAAAAATAAAAATAAAAATAAAAAATACTAAAACCAGTAATTCTTCCATTACCCGAATCGATGCCGTGGAGGTGCACTGCAGAGGTTTTATTATGCAGAAACCATCGCTTTGCGCTCGGCTTGGGTCATCCATACGGCACCAAGACAAGCCTGAAGGGAGAATGATATATCCGCCATAGATGCTGGCTATAAAGGGGGGAGGAACAACCACAACTCTTACTTCCTCGACCAGAAACATTATCGTAACCAGCCGCCGGCAACATCTCATCTCTTTCTCTTTCTCTTGCCCGTCGACATACCTGACTGTTTTCTCGGGAGTGGCTTCATCGTCATGTTCATCAACGACGAGGAACTAAATGCCATGGGCAAAATCCAGTCCAAGGGCATCTATCATGGGCTGCCTGTCTTCCCAGAGTCACTGACGGGCCTCTCTGCCATCATAACGGGCGCAAATGGCATATCTGGCCATCATATGCTTCGAGTCCTGGCTGAATCACCAGAAAGATGGACGAATATCTACTCCATGTCAAAACGGCCACCGCTAGTACCCACGAAATGGAAGACGAACGTCCAGCACATCTCGCTGGATTTCCTTAACAGTACGCCAGTGGAGCTGGCTATGGCCATGAAAGAAAATGATGTGAAAGCGTAAGTACCTGATCGCAAGATTCGGATAATTCGGGTTTTAACACACTTGCTTGGATTCAAGTGACTATATCTTCTTCTTCTCGTACATTCAATCAGAACCTGAGGATGGTGGCAGCATCTGGTCCGCTGCAGAAGAGTTGGTCAGGGTCAATAGTATGTATATGCAAGCCCGTTGGAAGGATATTTGACTTCCTTCCCCTGAATCAGAACCAGAGTTGCTCACAAATAGTGTCTAGCGGCGATGCTCTCTAACTTCCTGGATGCCGTTAAGCTTGCAGGAATCACGCCCAAGCGAGTCATGCTGCAGACTGGAGCCAAAAACTATGGCATCCATCTTGGTCCCACGATGACACCCCAAAGGGAGGGTGATCCTCGCGTCTTGCTGGAGCCCAACTTCTACTACACCCAGGAGGATACGCTCTTCAGGTATTGTGAAGAAACTGGCGCGAGCTGGAATGTAGTTATGCCGTCGTTCGTGCTCGGTGCCGTGAAAGAAGCCGCCATGAACATGATGTATCCTCTGGGTATCTTTGGGGCTATCCAGGCACACCTTGGACGGCCTCTTGTCTATCCGGGAGAACTTGCTTCGTATATGATGCCTCTGGATTTATCGTCGGCCATGTTGAACGGATATCTGGAAGAATGGGCTGTTCTCACTCCCAAGGCCGCAAACCATGCATTCAATGCTTGTGACAACAGCGCCTTCACCTGGGCTGCATTCTGGCCCACATTTGCCAGCTGGTACAACTTGCCATACCAGATTCCCGATGATGAAAAATCGCAGTACATTTCAATTGAGACTCAATATGAGCCGCCACCAAGAGGGTGAGACGATCCTTTCTGCGTATTTCGGGAAACAGGCGGATCCTGATGCTGATTCGTTATATATCTTGATAGATTTGGTCCCCGAGGCATCATCCGGCTGAAATATGCGCTCTCCCACTGGGCCACTGACCCTGAAGTCCAAGGGGCATGGAAAGTATTAAGTCAGAAGTATAACCTGCAAACTAATCCATTCCAAAGTGCAAAGGACATTCATCGTCTGTTTAGCTTTACAGATAGTGCGTTACTTATGGCATGGCCACTCCAATTTAGGTCAGTACTCTCTCTCTCTCTCTCTTTTTTTTTTCTTTTTTTCTCTTTTTTCGGCTTGTTTGCATTTTGGGAATATGGAGAGATAATGAACTTATTCTGTAGTCGCACAAAATGCCATAAACTTGGCTGGTTTGGAGCTGTTGATACCTTTGAATCTATGCGGCAGATTCTAGATGAGTTTGTTGGGCTTCGGATGCTGCCCCCTCTTCCGGGTTTCAAAGATCAATAGCATTCAACAAAGCTATACTTATATTTTACTCTTAATTTCTGTATCACCACTATGCTGGATGGGATTGTTTTTTGAAATGATCTGGCTATAAGAATCTTATGCAAGCCAGAGATGCAAGCATTTCTTTAAATAACGTGCATTTAAGGCTCGGTAAGCTCTGTCTTATAATTTGCATTGCCCTTAGGTATTAGTTAGTTGACTTACGAATGCAATCAACCAGAGAATGGTATACTATTCCACAAGTTAGACTAACTACCCCAGATATGGCTAACTTAGTGTCAGGAAGGAGGATGATCATATTGAGCTCTATCGAATGTAGCGAGATAAGATGACTAATACAAAAACTGACATTAACGTGGCCCACGCAGATAGTCCACTGTGGAACAAATCGTTGACAACTAGACTATAGAGTAAGTTCTGCTCCTGTTATCCCTCTCCCCTGTTGTATTTAGCAACGATCAGTACGGAGTATAGTTACGAATACATATACGTACCGCGATCACCCTGGCCTATCAAGTCTCTTCTAACATATGTTGTCGACTTCTCGCTTCCTTACCTTAGGGCTTTTGGACGTCATTGGAAGCCTTGAGACCCACAGACCAACTCAGCTTCAACTTTTTCTGGTTGCACTCGATCTGCGACGGCGGCTCAACTCAACCCTTGCACTGCGGCTCAACTTGGCACTGCGGCTTATCGCGTTCGCTGGAGAAAATGCCTATGCCTGACAGATCTGGATACAGAAACGTCTTTCTGCACATTGCTTCGACAGGAGACACCTTCGGAGGCTTCCACCAGGCGGGGTCAATCACTGAGGAGGTGTTCCTCTGGATACTGCAAAATGTGCTTCTAATTACAGAGCAGCCGTTGACTGTCACCCACCGGGCTTCGAGTCGAGTTGTCGCCAGTACTACAAATGTGGTTGAGCTTGGGGATTACGATGTCTCCTCTGCAGGTATGTTCTCTTTCTCTACTTGTCGATCACATAGACATACATATTTATATTTAGCTTATTTTCTTTTTTCATAGGGGCCATCCAAGTGACAGATGAAGCCTCTGTTTTGCGAGTCCCAAGCTTCTCTGTTTCGGGCAGAGACAGTTCCTTCCGGGCTGGCGTCCGCGCAAGGGACGGAAAATGCGTTGTTTCCGGACTAATCAACACATACGCACAGTTTGGCGCGTGGGAGGGATTCGAGGCCGCACATGTGTTTCCCCTACAGCACGAAACTATATGGGTCGAACACGGCTTTGGCCGTTGGGTTACAAATATGGAAAATCAGGTTGGAGGCTCATCGATACACTCGATCCAGAATGGATTGCTACTAAGAAGTGATGTCCATCAATTTTTCGATGCGTATAAAATTTCCATAAACCCCGATGTAAGTTGATTAGAAAGCGCCGCTCACCCCCTCCAAGAAAATAATAGATATCATATTGCTGTAGCTAACACAAATATAGGACGGATACAAAGTTGTGTGCTTCGGCCCAGATTTGCTTGGAGTTGATGGAAGAGTCCTCGACCCAATCTGTCGCAACCCTAACGACAGTGGCCGCGTTTCTGACGAGATTTTAAGGTGGCATTTTCGGCAGGCCGTCCTCGCCAACATGAAGGGCTCAGGGGACCCTACCTTCGAGCATGATTTTCCCCCAGGCACGGATATGATGGCGGACATTCGGGAGGGCCCATTCAGCCAGAAACGATTTGAGATAGAACTCGCTTCACGGTTGCAAGGCTTCTCAAGAGAAGAAGAAGCCTAGAACATCTTGAAGAGCAGCAGGGAGTTCTCTGTAGCATAAAGAAAAGCGGTTAACAGAACACATGAATTTATACCCTACAGTCGATAAATCATCCGTTGCGGGAGCAATAACACATATCTTATCTCGAAAGAAGAAATGCATCAAGACATCCCATGCTGTTTTCATCGGTCGAAGACATGGCCCTCCGATTGATTGCCTTGCCCAGGAGAGGTGCGTATAACTGGGTGTGCAAGTTTTTCTTATACCAAGGTGATGTTGCTCTCCTTGGCGGCGAGGGGAATGACAGAGGCTACCGCAGGGCTGGGGCTGGCCCTTCTCCTAAACTGTTGGGACAAGGAGGGGAGACCTTGATTGCGGCAGAGAGACCCATTATATATCTGAAAGACAGAGAAAAAAAATGCTAGTTATACCGAATTGGGGAACTACAACTTAGCTAGCAAATAGTTACCGAAGGTAACATATAACTAACCAATCATTGGGACAACAAACCACAGTATTAGAACAAGAGATAAAGCTACACTGATGAGCTTTAATTCATCGACAGTGAGAGATCTTCTATATTTGGCATTTGCACAATGCTGTCGATGATTTGCAGGTTCTGTAGCCTGCGGCGTTGTCTAACTATTGAAGGAAATATCTATTTCGAGTGCCCAGGCGAGTTTGAAATCTGTAGGCAACTTTTAAACGGAACATATGTACCAAGCTAGTAAGTTGGTCGCTGCTAAAATGAGAAGACCAAATTTATGACTTTGAGATGAGCAGAAAATTCAAGTGTCCTCTAGAAGTGAGGATAGTCGATGGATTTAAACCACAATTCCACCAAGCACATTGCAAACGGTTATCACGATACCCCGTATAAAAAACAAAGATTCAGTGGACTCAAATAAAGATACACAAGTAATTGCACCAACATTCTTGCTGTCAGGATATGTTTTGTTGGAGTATGGCTTGCAGATCTCGAACTAAAGGGCTTGATCAAGCTTGGATTTCCCCATAGCCCAACCAACTAGTTAACTACCTAATCACTTTCACTTAGATGAAAATGAAATTTCTATGTGTTTCTGTGGAATTCTTAAGATTTGACATATCAACAAGGTTGACCGTCATACCAAACCACGGCAACTTGCGCCACGTCACCCAACATAACTGCTCTGGGCTAGTAACACTCCCTTACCTTGATTTGGCCAACTGCCTGCGCCTCCCTCTCCCAATCCCGCCAGATAATGGCATCACGATACTTTCTGTCTCGAGTATACTCCCCGTCTCCTTTCATGGGATTGTAAATAGAGGAAGAAATAAGCCTGAGAATAATACCTTGAGCGTTATCGTGCTGGATCGGATTTGCGTTGAAGTTACCTCCTTGAACATTGTCAGGATTACTGGGAATACTACATTGATACTCATCCCTACAAATGCATGTTGAACGGAGGGTGACAAAGTCAGTCCGTGCCTAACTAGTTAGTTAAATTGAGCCTATGTCTGATAGGCAAATAGAATTCCAAAGAACTAGCAACCTCGAAGTATCAGCCCAGACATTTGGACATCGAACGAATACCCTGTATCATATAGACGATAATATAGAGTATCTGCACGCTTACATGCTGACCTCAGAGAGCGTTATTGTTAGTTACCAGAGGCAAAGAGAAGGAAAATAAGATCTAGTAGATATTCCCCTACATTACCTTTAACCTGTGCTCTGGAGTTAAATCCTCGATACCAGGGTAAGGTAAGGTATGAATCAGGCCAACACTTCAATCGCCACAGGTTATCACCTGCATGGTTTAAACATATCCTCTTTTTCAGACTTGCATGATGATTATGCTTCTTTGAGTTGTGAAAGTGTTCAGCAGTGGGTGGACCTAGGAATATGGAGAGGAAGAAGAAAATTGATGTGCTAACCGGGGAATATACATAAACCCCAAGCCCGATGTCACTGGGACCTAAATAACTACTGCTTCCCACACTTCAGAGCTATACTTCAAGTAAATTGCCTGCACATCGGGTATTACTCCTATTTGCATACCGTTATCCATCCATGTCTGAACAAATAATTGAACGATTCCCGGTGTCGGCTGGGCCTGATGCCATTTTTGAAAGTTTCAAAAAGAATGGAGTAGTTGTTATTGAGAACTTCGCTAAGAAGGATCAACTGGACCGATTCACTGCCGAAATCGACCCTGCCCTGCAGAAGCTAACGGCGGGATATGCCTCTCGCATAGATGGTGATGAACCAGTAGATGAATTCTTTGGGAAGAAAACCAAACGCCTTGGCCAATTATCAACTGTTAGCTCTGTCTTCCGCCACGAGTTTTTGGAGCATGACTTGATGCATTCTCTTTTGGAGCGAAACTTTATCGATTATCCTCTAGCCGGATATTGGATGAATACAAGCGATGTCATCGAAATTGGACCTGGAAGCAAGCCACAACCTATCCACCGTGATCTAGAGCTGTATCATCCATTTGTTATAGGAGGTCCCGCGATGCCAGAGGCTATATGCAATTTCATGGTTGCTCTCACCCCATTTACGGCGGAGAACGGAGCGACGGTGTTTGCCCCCGGGACCCATCTTAACGAGAGCTTTGAGAGGCTCGAGGACGGAGGCCTGCCAGGTGGTGACAAGACTATCTCAGCTGTCATGAACCCAGGGGACTGCGCCTTTTTTTCAGGAAAGGTCATTCATGGCGGTGGCACCAACAGTACAACTGATGAGTTCCGGCGTGGTTTGTCCATGAGTTTTATTCGAAAAATATTGTCGCCAGAGCAAGCACACCCGCTTTCAATTTCCCGTGAGATTGTCGAGACCATGTCATACCGAGGCCAGGCAATGCTTGGATTCCGAAGCAACTGGCCTGCAATTGGAGATGAGCCAGCTATCATCTGGTCCTATCAAGGGTCGGATATTGGAAAGAAGCTGGGGTTGGGAGACAAGAACTAAGGCCGTCGAAGTGTTATGTTATAGTTTTCCCCTTGTACAGCCCTAGTTTCACAGCCTTGAGGTCTGCGACTGTGACTCAAGACTCAATCAGTTCCCTTCGACAAAATCGATTTTTCCACTGTAAAAGTCGGTTGAATAATCTGATGGATAATGGGGCGCTGAAACATGACATTTGCTGAAGGTATACGGTATCTATTCGGTATTATTCATAGCAAAATATGTTTGCAACAATCAAATTCCACTGAGAGCCCTCTGCATCGAGTCTCTTCCAGATGACTTTCGTAATTCCCGCCTTGAAGTTGGCACTTCCTGAACATTTCATCTACTAACGCCCGGGCCATCAATTGTTCACGTGAGTAGTTCGTGAGAGCCGCATCCAAGACGTCAAAGCTTTCAACGTCAACCAACTTGAACTTCAGGATCAACCTCGAATTCTCACGGCGAGTTCTCTTCTTCTGGGCTGTATTTCAAGGTTGTGGGGGTGATTAACCTTGAGACCACTGCCCGAAGCTACCTGTTACTAGCTCACACCCTGACTGACGGCGTGTCTGCGGGCAGACAGCTTTGCTCTATAGCAGAAGGGGCATCCTATCACCGTGGACACACACTACACCAGTGTAGCATATTACAATAATATGACATGTCGTGGCACTTTCATTTAATCGGTTAATACAACAGTGACCAAAACTGCTGCTAACCAAGGTAGAAAAGTCCATAACATGGCTTATAACCGCCGCTGGAAGAGGCCAAGTGTATTCGGTGCTTATGAGACAAGTAGGAATAGGAGGATAGGTAAGTTCAAGTACCAGTCAAGCGATGTATCCTGCATTATTTTAATTCTCTAAACTCTGGAGGGCTGCAACTGGGTGAGCAACTAATTCAGCCTTGCATTTTGGATTTAGTACAAGTCATCATCTCTATAATCTACTGCTCCATGTCTACTGGCATAATTTTTGGATATGCTGCCCTAAAACCAATCCTTATCAATGAAGGTGTGTATAGCTATCTATGCACGGAAGATGAAGCTGTCCCAGGAATGAGGGCATGCTACAAGCAGGAGTTACGGTACGCTACCTAGTTCCATAGTTTGCTCTACAATCCACCACTAACCATCAAACTAGATTAAATTTTATGTTCACTGTATCAGCAATGGCATCAAACCTCTTTGCTTTACCAAGTGGCTCCATTTTAGACCATTATGGCCCTCGATTTACGGGCGGAGTTGGTGCTATTCTCATTTCCATGGGGTCCCTTTTATTTGCATCCGCTTCCCATTTTCCTTATGACAGGCATTTATTCGGATATACTCTCATGGCAATGGGTGGTGTATCTGTTTTTACGTCTTGTTTACATCTGTCAAACGCTTTCCCGAACCACTCCGGCCTAATACTGGCTATTTTGACCGGTGCATTTGATCTCTCGAGCGCTCTATTTTTAGTCTTTCGCAGCGTTCACAGCACAAGAGCTTCACTGAAGTTTTTATTTCTTCTATACCTTGCTGTGCCAGGACTTATCCTGGTAGCTCAGGTATTTCTAATGCCGCCAAGACCATACAGTACTATTGGAGAGCTCATCGGACACACTCAAGATATTTTGGCCGAAGAAATGGAGAACGAGAGGGCTAATGCTGTCTCAGCCCTTGATCCAGATCAGCAACCTTCCACATATCATGATACTGTAGACAAACTCAAGGCTGTCCTTGAAGATTACGACTACGATCATATCAAAGATACCTGGATGTTTCCCTCGGTGAAGGAAACAAACTGGAGACAGAATACCAGCAATCAATTATGGGGCATCCTACACACCTTGCCGGCATCAGAGCAAATTAGTTCATGGTGGTTTATTCTACTGGCAGTTTTTGCGATGGGCCAGTTTCTTCGGATAAACTATTTAATATCCACCCTCCGTGTACAATACGAGTATCTCTTATCTTCTCCCACGCTCGCCAGATCGTTAAATCAGCTATTTGACTGTCTGCTGCCTCTCGGAGGTATCGTCACCACCCCGTTTATAGGGTTATTTCTCGACTATGCCACATTACCATCCATGCTGTTACTTCTTGTTGGAGCGACAACCATTATCGGCATTACAGGCTGCATCCCTAACAATCTAACTATGGGATACATTAACATCATACTCTTCACATTATACCGGCCCTACTTTTATACGGCAATTTCGGACTACGCAGCAAAGATATTTGGTTTCCAGACCTTCGGTAAAGTCTATGGTCTGATAATATTTGCAGCCAGTATAGGGAGTTTTCTTCAAACTCCGTTGGAAATGATCACTTTGAGGAAGTTCAATGGTGACCCCTTGCCGGTAAATGTACTACTTACGGCTGGTACATTTTTTGCCGGGGGAGTTCTTACTCTGTTTGTTTGGCATAAGTCTAAGCTTTTCCATTCTTGTTTAGACCACAACGTGGATATCGAACCGAATTATGGCGATTTACCGATGGGAAGATCGAGCGTGGCCATTGAGGATGACTATACTGCCGCTGAAGAATATTATGCAAGGCCAACCGACCCCCTTCTTTTTTCTTTTGATAAAATGGGCCACGCTTCATCTTATAACTCCATACCACATGATGCTTAATACAGATAATTCTTCGAATAGAAAACTCAAAGTAAATAATACATACAGCCCCCCATGGGCTGACAAGCTCTCTGACGCGATTGTAGATGCAATGATTATAAAATTCTTGATAATAGCACAATGACCGCTAGCTACTACAGGAAATAAGTTGATGTGATCAAGAAAGAACAGTGATGCCAACAATTCAGTCAACTTCCAAGAGCTGATACTTCCCACCCTCACCAGCCGGGCCCTTGTACTCTTCCAAAGCTCGCTCAACAGCATGCATACATCCGATAACCTTCTCCTCGTGCCACCTTCGCCCGACAACCTGGACAGCGATAGGAAGACCGTGCATAGCATCGGCATCATAGTACTTCCAGGCACCCCGAGAAACGGCACTGTCAACACCCAAGTTCTTCAACACCCGCTTGTACACATTCTTGCCCTTTTTGCCATCAGGCCCAACAAGAGCATCCCTCTTAGCGTCAACATGGCCGACTGGAATGACACCGGCGGAGTAATCAAGCATATTCCAGAAGAAAGTGTAACCACAGGCACTGACAGCGTCAGTCATCGCGCCGTGGGGGAGAGCAGGGGTGGCATTGACAGGGCAAAGAATGAAGTCGAAGTCTTGCTCCTTGGCGTTCCACCAGTCATGCCAGGTAGCACGGAAAGTTTCACGCTGGGCGACAAGCTTCCATTGCTGAGTAGCAGTTTTGAGGCCAAAGTCACGGAGAAGGTACGCCCATGTTGGATCACGCTTAACGTAGCGAACAAAGAGGTAATAGGCATATCGGAATGGCCAAGAAAACCAAGAGAAAGTGGTTAGGTGGGCAGCACCCGGATCAGAAGATTCACCCGTTTGCAAATGGGAATTGAACGTTTCACAACCATCAGAGTTCAGCAGAAGAGACGCTAGGTTAAGACCCATTAGGGAAGTAGCAGTCTCTGGCTCCTTAACCTCAACGATTGTGTGCCCGGCTGCGGTCAAAGCAGCAACTGTGGTGTTTATTCCACGGGCAACTGCAGGAGTTGGTGGTACAACGCCTGAGGGCTTCATGTTAGTGAAAAAATTGTGGGCTAAAGGCAATTAGGAGGGCAAAGGGAACAACTAACCGTCCGACCTCATAACACCAATTCGGAGCTTCTTCGTCTTAGCCTCGTCTTCTATTTCGCTCCTCCAGACGACTGGATGAACTGTGGTATCGTACTTCCATGGCTCCATTCCAATAATGGACCGAGCAAAGTAAGTCAGATCATTGAGTGTTCTTGCCATAGGGCTGAAAACACTAGGAACGCCCTCCTGTCCCGCCATACTAGTGCTGACGCCGGCCTTCGGCCATCGCCCAGTGCTGCAGCGGAGAGAATAACAACCACTCCATGCAGCAGGGAGACGGACGGAGCCAGCAACATCAGAGCCGACACCAATACGGCCTCCCATGGCCAAGAGAGCAGCTTCACCACCAGAAGAGCCACCAGGAGTGAAAGCAGAGCCATGAGGGTTACGGCAAACTCCCCAGAGATCATTAGTAGATTCAAAGGAGAGTAGTGTGATCGGAAGAGCAGTCTTTGCATATGGAACGGCACCTTGAATCATGTCAGACAGGGAAACTGCATATTGCGACTACCGAAACCACATACCTGCGTCTTTTAACAGCCTAACTAAGGCACCATCCTTTGCAGCTGGCTGACGGGTATATCTCGTATAGCCCACAGAAGTGTCGAAGCCACCAACCTGGATGGAGTCTTTCAACGAAACAGGGATACCAGCCAATGGCCCCTGAAGGTTGATCCCAGACTTTGCCCATTCCTCAGACTCTGGAATCAGCAATTCCGTTATACAATTGCATCGTTCCTGTGCCTTGATGGCGATCTTGCCATAAGTATGTAGTACATCGACGGGGGCGAGCGCGCCCTTGTGGACGTCTTGGACAAGCTCTTCGATTGGCTTGTCGATCACTGAATGGTCAAAGGCGGAGAATGGAGCATGGTAGATAGAAGGCAGAGAAGCAAAGCGCTGCGATCTTTGGTTGCGCTTGAAGTCGCTGTTTGTTGGTTCTACTTAGTAACTAGCTAGGTACCCGAGGTAACAACCGAACAAAGGAGAGGGGAAGGAATTTTAGGTAATCAGCTTACCGAGCACTACGGTACTGGAAGTAGTCGAAAGGAGGAAGCATCTTGACTAGGCTGTGGCATGCAATGGCGCTGTCCAAAAACGTGGCTGGCTTGCAGCTCGAGGTTGCTGGTGGTTGTTGCAAGGACGGGGAGGTTGGTGAGGAAATGCGGAGAAAGATGCGCGGCTGTCGGGGTTGTTATTTATGCTTGGGCGGGCGGCTCGGCGCTAAGGAGTAGCCGCGCTAAGCCGGCGCAGAACGCCGAGGCCATTTCGGCATTAGACGACATGACATGACAGGGTGTTCTTTGTATATTTCTACTTCTACGACAGGAAGAAGAGATGGGGTGATAGGTGGTTAGTCTGATTGGAGTGACAATGATGTGAAGATACCAAAGGGCCATCTCAGCATCCCCTTCAATGAGCTGCCGGCTTTTGCTGCCTTGCCCTCTTCGAGAAATTCATCACACCAGCGGCGGATAAGATTGCAAATGGAGTCTACGGCTGCGTTCACTGATTCCATGTCCCCTGCAAAAACCCTGATGATAGTCTCGCCGTCCATATCATAATCGATTCTGCCTAATTTTGCAACTCGTTAACCCTCTCTGATTAAAGCACTCAGAATCATTAGTTGAACACTTACAGGCAGCTTTCTTTGCCCGAGCAAACGATATGATCAGCTCTTTCCCGTCCATGATCATGGAAGATATTGCAGCTGGAGGACTGTCAGCAATATATGGCAATTTTTGAAAACATGGTGATGGTTCACTTACATGGCATGTAAATGAACGAGATATCCTTCCAATATGCTCCTCCGTGAGCTTGGATGGATGTTAGCTTATAGACTACTACCGTGGTAAAGCAGATAACTTACACATTGAAAACTGGAGTTTTGTTCCAATAATGTTACCGGTCTTACTCTCGTTCCAAGTTATCAGGAGCTGACCATCTCTTTCGGTATACGCCCAATGATGTGCATACACAGAGTGCACCTGTCGAAGCATTGGGTGTACATGCTCTGGCTTGATCAGGCTATGCATTATATACGGGCCTTGGATATCATGCGCCACACCGATGGTCACCACTGGCATGTTTGATTCGGTTCCTCCTATGAACATCCAGTTATAAAGATGACCAAATATGTTTGAACGCATGATTGTCCCAGATGAGTAGCCGCTAAACACAGGCACAGCAGTCGAAATATCCTGTGTGAAATTATACCCATCCCAGAATTCATATGCGCTGCGATTTTGTGGCTCGTATTTTTCAACCCTGGCCAAATAGATATCCTCACCAAGCTTTCCCCAGACATAGAAATAATAACTCTCAAGAACTGAGCAGAATGAACCAAACGCTGGTTCGCTATCGGTGAAGAGCAGCTCATCGTGCATGATCCGTTCGGCCCTAACTTCCTCTGTATGTCTGTTCCTTACCGCGATGGCCAGGCTAACTCCTTGAAACGCGGTCTCAACGATACCCTCGGTTGAACGGGTCTGTATGTATTTCTGGAACCAGATATAGCCTCCAATTGCATCAGGTTCAGGCTTGCAGAAACCACCAGGCATTTCCAGTACGACTTTGTGGTTATGACCTTTCTCAAGCTCTTCTTCGTTTTTTGTGAGAGGCAGGAAAGGCACCATACCCCTGCTAATCGGCATAGCAACGTTCGCTATGGGGTTCACTTCTGGATCAGAGACCAATGCTAGTGAATTTGCGGCTTCGCCCACTACTTCTCCTTTTGCGTCTTTCCATATGGTTTTACCGAAGATATGATAGACGTTCCCTCTGATGGTAAATGATCTACCATTACCTTGGGAGTATATTGGCTTCATCTCATCATTTAACTCACCCAGGTAGTAAAATGTTGCAATCTTAGGAGGATACTCCGCGCTATACTCCTCTGACCCGCCAGTGACCAGGAGATTTCCACAGGGAGTTTCCACTTGTTCCACGAGGCTGTACTTAGATTCTGGCTTCATCTTTCCTTGAGGCGGATCAATAGAAGGTAGCATGATGAATGCTATCAATATTAGCCTTTAAAGAGTTCAAATAAATAAATTAATATCCAGCCCCAAAAATAACAATTAGCTTTATGGATATTCCCTGACCAGCCGGGTATCTTAAGGATAGCCTTCGGTACCAGGTATATGAACATGACTATAATCCTTAACGTAAAGGAAATATTGGAGGCGAAAGGACTCAGAAGGTGTCATAGCAAGGGAAAGAGCCGTAGAATATCAGGAGATCTCGACATCAAAATGAAGTGAAAAGTAACTTACTATATGAGACCTTATTATTTCAACTTAGTCTTATTTGAGAAGGAAGAATGATTGTACCAAATCAATAATAATAATGGCTGGATGCAGAAAGCCGGAGAGCATGGGAGAAGCTGTGTGGAAGGAGTTAGAACAAGGAAGACATTTTATAATTATTACAACTATCTATCTAGGTTCCTTTTCTGTTTGTTTATCTCGTCACTCGGCGAGTAGATGGTGCACATAGAAGTAAATACTTAGCTCCATTCTATATATATGTAGTAGTACCTCTGAATAACATTGACTTTATGACAATAAAACCCATCCTTTAGTTCACAGAGTTACCCCACATGCCAGAATCAGTCGAATTTACCTGGTATCTACTATGATTGTCCATTAGAACCAGAAGGATTTTATCTAGATTTATACCTTTTTTTTTTTTTTATATAGGCTGTACCCCTGTAAACTCTAACGGCTCCCGGGCCCAGGAACCGGATAAACATTTAAACTTCCGGCTCTAATTTATTCCGCAAAACTAACACGTGACTCGCCACTTCGACTTCGCCGAATCTTCAAAAGTCGAGAAAGTCGAAGAAAGAGAAAAGTGATCGAGCCTCAGTCAATCAAGCGAATTCTTCAGGAAGAAACGCGGTCTCCGTCACGGGTATACCCTTGAATTGTTCTCGGAAAATACTCTCTCGCAGCCACTCTTCAAGCTTACGCACCTTCGAAAATGGCCAACTACCTCGCATCTATCTTCGGAACAGAGCAAGATAAGGTAAGCACTCTTCCCCCCGGACCCAGCTCCCTTGCGATGCCTGCATCACAGCCGCCTTCCTGCAGACAGGAGCTAATATCAGGCCCGCCGCATAGGTTAACTGCTCGTTCTACTACAAAATCGGCGCATGCCGTCATGGTGACCGCTGTTCGCGAAAGCACGTCAAGCCGTCGTACTCGCAGACTATCCTCCTACCGAACCTATACCAGAACCCGCAATATGATCCCAAGAATAAGATGAACCCCAGCCAGCTGCAGAACCACTTCGATGCCTTCTACGAGGACTTTTGGTGTGAGATGTGCAAGTACGGTGAGATTGAGGAGGTGGTGGTGTGCGAGAACAATAACGACCGTAGGTGTATCTCCTGTCCATTTTCGTGTATACTGCAGTGCGCAACGAAGTACGCTGGCTAACCACGGACACCAGACTTGATTGGAAATGTATATGCTAGATTCAAGTACGAAGACTCTGCACAAAAGGCCTGCGATGCGTTGAACTCTCGCTGGTACGCTGCTCGACCGATATACTGCGAGCTATCGCCCGTCACGGATTTCCGAGAAGCATGCTGCCGACTGAATAGCGGCGAAGGGTGTGTGCGAGGTGGATTCTGCAATTTCATCCACCGCAAGGAGCCCAGCGAGGAGCTTGATCGGGAGCTGGAGCTTTCCACGAAAAAATGGCTGAGACTGCGCGGCCGGGACGAGCGGAGTGTTACTCGCAGCCCAAGCCCGGAGCCCACGAGGAAGCGGTACTGACCTCTTTCCAGGGCTGGCCTCGTACATCTTGGGGTTTATTTCCTTTAGAGGGGAGAGGAGCGCACTTAGTCTGCTGGTTTGGAAGCAAGGCGTTTGGTACCTTTCTTTTTTCTCTCTTTTCTACGAAAACAGATAATATACTCGGGTCATGGATGACACTCGGAGAGTCTCCCTCCATACAACCTTGAGAGGATAATGTATGCTTTAGATATACGTGCTGTCTAATGCAGCACATTGCGTCATAAGCCGGGAGCAGGCACAGCAATGCTCCTCGGGTCCTCCAGCTCCTCCACCAGTTCCTGTTCCTGTCCAGTCCAGGCACCGCGGCGAGGTTTCGGATCCCGCTGGAGGGTGATCCATGGGCGAGAAAGGCGACTTTCCCGCTGCATGCTACAGCTAAACTTCCGGAACGCTCCCCTTATTATCCATCCATCGTATTTCTTATTCGTCTTGTGTCTTCGTTTCTTATTCCTCTCGTCAGTCGTTTTCCTCTTCTCGCCGATTCACGCAGACAGGCAGCCTTGTCCTGGCCTGCTCGTGACCCTATGTGGGGGATTCCTCGAGGTCGGCGGGAGCAGGTCGTTCGCAGGCGCCGGCGTCGTATGTAGGCGGCATCCGGTATGACAGAACGCAGACCCGGCCAGCCTCAAAACACTATATATATATCATGCTGATGGCTATATAGCTGGCCTGCTATACGCCGTGTCAGAGCGGTTTCAAGCACACAAGCGCCGGACAGTTCGCGGGCAAGCCAGACTAGTTGGTTGTTTTAGCTGCTGGCCGGGTCCCTCTCGTCCGTTGGGCAACAACCTGAGGTTAACTAACGAGCTAAATAAATATCCACGCAGTCAAGGCGGCTTCGAGGTCGAGCCCCTTACACCTTGTTGATACACCGGTCTTTTTTTGCGGCCGTCGTTTGGCAGCGGGCCCTCGTGTGATTCTCTCGTCCTCGCTGGCGTTCGACTTCTTGCTGCCTCTCGCTGCCTGGGCCCCCCTGCCTAGGCAACCATGCGCCCGCAGCAAACGACCCCTGCATCGCAGCCTGTTTGCGCCTCGTTCGTCTGCTGTTAAAAGCAGGCTGAGCCCCTCCTGACTCGGGAGGGAGTGGGAGTGAGCAAGCCAAAAAAAAAAAAAAAAAAAAAAAAAAAAAAAAAAAAAAAAAAAAAAATACACAGAGTGGAAACAGATATACCCCAAGCACGGCGTTCTGGAAAGGCGACGGTGAGGCCTCGAGGACGTCAAATGGTTGCTCTTATAGAGTACAACACAATGGGGTCAAAGCAGCCCGCGAAGGACTTCGACTGGGGCTATCTCATACAGCCGGACAAGAGTCCCTCGCCGCGGCTGGAGCAGCTGTGTCTGGGACTCGCAGGCGTTATCGTAAATATACCCCGTCCTCTCGTCTTCTTTTATTTTTGCCTGATGATAATATCTATATATCGTTATAAAAGTATTTTATATGACAGACTAACGGTGTAAAATAGTCTGAACTCGATCCTTCATCTTCTACAAAGGAGCTTACTCCTGAGAAATTGGCTGCCTTTTATCGTGCTGTAGGAGGGAACTATGATAGCTTGTTTCTGAACACTCCCAGTGCATCTCTTTCGTTTATATACCAGTCTCTGGGTTGCTTTCATACCCTCCAACCGACCAAGAATGCCTTTGAAGCACCGTCTATTCCCGCGTTGCTGCCACATGGCTATATCAGATGGCAGACAATCCAGCTCTTGCTTTGCCCCGAAGAGCACACCCCTTTTCTCCAGAGAGCAGTGGAAATGTTTGATATAGTTGACGTCCATGAAGGATACTTGCTTCCCAAGACCATTCCCGCGTCTGCTTTCCCCACACAGCCAGATCCTGATATGGTCAAATGGCATGAAACCGTCAGTAATCGTCTTGAATTAGAGTCTGCTGCCACTACTCCGCATACACGGCCGCCTGGTAATGCGCATCCTCCGTCGTGCACACGGGGGACTCGCCAGTCAAGGAACGAGGAAGACGGTGATTATTTCAACCAGAGTCACTACTATTCACCCACTGGTAGAAAGGGGGCCACTGCATCGAGACAAGGCTCTAGAGAACCTCATAGCCGTATCCCACACCCTTTACGGTATACTGAGGCAGCCGACTATACTGGCGACGCTGGACCCAAGACAGCCGGCTTCGAGCGTCCCCCATCAGCTTCTCGATCCAAGACATCCTACCATTATCGTGGCCATTCCAGCCCACCGAGTGCGTATAGACGGTCATGGGCACATCCTGAATCATCAGATGGTGACAACGAAGGGGTTGCTATCGCTGAAGATATTCACTCACATCATCATCACAGCCGGATGGGCGAACCACGACACCATCACCACCACCACCACCACCACCATGGACACCCTGCCCATGAAGAAATATTCCCTTCTCGCTCCTCCCACGTACGACATCATTCTCACGAATCTATGCATCGCCATCGACAGCCTTCACACAAGCCCATGCACGAGTCACAAAAGAGGAGAATAGATGAGGAGGAGCCTGAGATCTACTACTCATACCCTCCGCCCAGACACATTCCCGAAATCAAACCGACAACCTACGACGACAGTGCAGCAAATGCATTCCCTTCACCAAAGCATCATAGCCACCATTTTCACCCTAGGTATGTTGACCTATTCGATGACGATGGCGTTCCCAACTTCAGTCACTCCACTCCCGGCTCTCAGCGCGGCTCAAAGTCCAGCAATCCAGCGGAGAACCCACACACATCTCCTCCGATATCCCCTACCACGACAACTGATCAGTACAGCGAGCCAATGCACCCAGATCATCGATCACGCTTGCACCGTCACCAATCCCTTCGTGAGCCAAGACAGAGGAAAACAAGGGGGAGACGGGGCACTGAGATTCGTCCTCGCTCTCACTCTCGCGGGTCCCCATCTCGTCGCCAGCATCATTATTACCAAGATTACAGACATGCAGATGACCAGATACATTCGTCTCGAAGTACACGAGAGCGAGAGCGGGAACGAGGACGGGAACGAGATATAGAACGCTCCCGGTCCCGTCCACGACGAGGCGAGGATGAGATGTGGAGTGAGAGCGATAGCAGCATCGACATTTCGGACGACGAATACGCTGTTCCCACCACGGCCGCACAAGCACAAGGACAAGGACAGCCGCCGCCATCATCATACACTGCTCCTCCGGCACCCATGCCTCCTACCGCCGGCCCGATACCGATCATTAATTCCAGCGGAGGCCAGCGGGAGACCAGCAGACGAGCGAAATATGCTGCAAAGTTGGAGTCTACTATTAAAAGCGGGCTGAGGAACAGTTCTGGCAGTAGCAAGGAGAAGAGAAGGAAGAATAGGAATAGTGGTGAAGGACAGTACGGTAGTTATCCAGGGGGTAGGCCACGTTCGCGGTCTACGCATCGGAGACGAAGTTAACTGTATGCCATTGTTGCTGTGGCTATGATATATGATGACGGCCGACCCAGTTTTACTACTTTTTATTTCATTTTATTTTATTTTTTTTCTAATTCATTTCTTTGTATTTTTGGTCTAGGAAGGACATCACCTCTCTTGTTTGGCGTGGGAGCCTACGGGGCATTTATAGGGAGGATGCTGGTAAAATGTTGAATGCAGTATCTAACCCTGGCATATTCTATGCACTGTTTTTTGTTGCGTGTAATACTATCTAAAGGGACTATGAAATAAAAAGCCATGGCCTAAGGGGTATGATGGATTGCATTTTCCGTCAATCAATAGGAACAATTGAGTATAGGAGACAGTAAATAATAGTTGTCCATTTTCGATGACCACTTTTGCTTCGATTCACACACGTATAACCGCTCATCTTATTATTTGGTTTCTGCATTTTTTTCTCTCTTAGTATATGTAAAGGGAAGGAATGTCAGTAAATAAGCATTTTGTTATTTGTTGATTAGGAGACGCTCAGGAGGGAAAAAAAAAAGAGTAAAAGAGGAAGACAACGCCGACGACAGCAGGTTTTTTCTTTAGTATGAAATAGGAAACTTTGCACGCAGACAGAGAAAAAGGATTAAAACGGGATACTGTAGAGCAAGGCAATGGCAATAGCATGTCAATGTTCCAATGACATGATGATAGCCATGAGAGGGGTGGTGAGAATGGCAGTGGAATATGCGAAGAAAAGAGTCCAGCGTCTAATGCTCGAGGATGCGAAGACTGCCCTGGACGACGACGTTCTCAAGGATGGAGCCTGGGGGGATGTCAATGGTGCTGCCCTCGGTGGCCACAATGATGACGGTTCCCTTGAGGGTGACACCACGGCCGAGGTTGACAGCACCGGAGATGGTGAGGTGGTCGAGCTCGAGGATACGGGGGATGCTGGGGATGTGGTTCATGAAGTCGGAGACCTTCTTGAAGTCTGTTCCGAGCTTGATCAAGGGGGCGTCACCGAAGCGGTTGGGGTCGATGACGAGCTGGCCGTGTTTGAGGGTGTAGAGGTCAGACTTGACGAGCATGAGGTCCGAGCAGGTCTTGACGGGCAAGAAGCGGCGACGGGGCACGTTGACGCCGTGAGCGTTCTTGAAGTGGCGGATGGCAGCACCGACGGCAGTCTCGAGCTGGATGATGGAGATGTCTGCCTCGCCCTTCTTGTCGGCAGGGATGGTCTTGCCATTGGGGATGATCTCCATCTGGAGGCCGCCCTCTTCGACAACACGCTTGACGGCGCGGAGGTTCATCCAGATGTTGTTGGTGTTGAAGTACTTGAACTTCTTGATGGACTTGAACTCGTTGACGTGCTCCTTGGGCACCTGGGCGATTTCAAGCAGACGGGCCTTACCCTCGTAGTCGATGATGGTACCACCCTTGACGTCAGCCTTGGTCTTGTTGGTGAGCTCCATGATGTACTCGGCGTCGTTCTTGACCATGTGCTCGAGGATGCGCATGTCGACGACAGCACCCAAGTTGTCAGCGTTGGAGAGGAAGATGATCTCGACACCGCGGTCGAGCAGCTTGTCGAGGGTGCCCGAGTTCATGAGGGACTCGAAGACGTCTCCGTGGCCTGGGGGGTACCAGTCACTGATGGCGGAGTCGTAGCTCTTGGGGGCCGGGAGAAGGGAGTCCCTGAGGATACGGGGGTATCTGGACTGGTTGAAGGTGATGATGTCGATGTTGTGGCCCTCGTACTTTTTGATGATGGACTGGGTGTCGTCGTCGGTGTTGAAGGAGTTCATGAGCACCAGGGGCACGCTGACGTTGTAGGTGCGGTTGAGGTACTCGATCTGTCTGACGGAGAGATCGAGGAAGGACATGCCCTCGCGGACCTCGATGACGGACTTTGGTCCCACGCATCCCATAGAGGTACCGAGGCCACCATTGAGCTTGACGACTGCGAGCTTCTTGAGATACTCGACCGAGGCGGACTCGCCCAGGTCGTCGTACTCGACCACCTGGTTGGGCTGTGGAGGAGCAATGCGGTCCCAGGAGAGGACGTTGCCCTTGGCCTTGTCGTTCAGGTATCTGCGGAAGAGCGAGAAGAAGTTGTCCATCTCGGCCTCGAATCGCTTCTTTTCGGCGGGATCCTTGACGGTGTCACTAAGGGCGTTGAGGGCGTTGCGCATCTGCGCGGCCGCCACGTTTGTCGAGGCGCTCTCGAAGGCCTGTCTCTGTTAGCATATCCGTACATAACACATCTATTGCCATCATTGACCACAGTAGATCATCGTAGACCATCGTAGACCGTGGTTGATCGTGATAGGCGATGCTGGCCGTCGAGGAGGGTCAGGGTATCAACCCCCCCGGCCACGAGCAGAGTACGCCACCACCACGGCCCAAAAAGCACCACCAACAGCAGCCAAAAAAAAGAAAGAAAAAAAGAGAGAATAGAGGACTCACCATGTTGGACTGAGACTTGAAATGGTGTCTGCTCTGGCTCTCATCGCGTCCCTCTGCCCCGGGAGCCTGGAGATGGGTTGCAAATGCCCTGCCACTAGCCATGTCGAGGGAGGCCGGATAAACAAACGACGGGCGTTTTAGTGTTAAGCTCGGAGCTTCGAGTAGCTGCTGCGGCAAGGAGTCAATTGAGCGAGATCAGGCACCGGCAGGCAATCTAGAGACGGACAGACGGAGACGAGCTGGTCAGCGAGAGCGTTGGTGCTGGTGTTGGAGGTGCAGAGAAGGGGATGAGGTCCTTTTTCGAGGGGTTGAGGACGCTGCAGGCGAAAGGGACGGCTGGGCAGGGTTCCCGGCCGGTTTGGCCAGCAGGGCAGACGCAGACCAGAAGCAAGGCAGCAGAAGATACACGAAGACGGCACGGCTTACCTGGTGATGGCGATGCTGAGGGTGATGGTGGTGGTGGTGAGGGTGATGGTGGTGGTTGAGAGTTCGGCTTTCTACAGAATAAAATAATATCGAGGCTTGCCAGCGAGATATAAATAAGTAAACGCCTATCTTACGTAGCTCAGGGGCAAAGGGGAGCTCGCTGGGTCTGCTTGATTGTCTACGGGCGTCTCCTTTTTCCTACGACGCAGCAGCAGCAGCAGCAGCAGCATCTCCTGCTGGCGCTGCGGCCTTCCATTGCTTCTTCGGCCGCGTCTGCTTCTTCTTTTCTTCTTCGTGGCGAGTCTGCGTCCTCTTCTGCTTCTTCTGCTGCTGCCTCTGTCTCTGCCTCTAGCTGGCTGCTCGACCAAATCTGCGCCCCTGGACCCAGAACGTGAGAGGCTGCGCTGGTGCTATTTATTTCTCTGCTGGGCCCTGGCTGCGTCTTGCCGGGGAGAGGGATCCCCTTCCAGCAGCACCCCTGGCTGGATCGACTGCTAGCCAGCTGCAGGATGGAGAGCTCGAGACAGCCAGCGGAGACTCACAGCAGAGACACGGCCGAAGATCGAGAAATGCAGACGGACGCCGTTGGAAGTCGAAAAGGACTGACTTTACTTATGGTTATATTAACCACTAGCTGGCTCCAGACTTGGCGGTTTTACTTCTGGCGCACACAAAATTTCAGGTCGACCAAGGGCCCCGGGGGCAGCGGATGGCAGTCGACCCAAGACAGCGACCAGAGACAGGCCAGGTAAGCGGCAGAGAGACAGAGACATCCATCGCCCTTCAATAATAATAATGGCCCCCGGGGAGACTGCAGACAGCTGATCTGGGCGGGTAGAAAAACGACCGAGGCGCCATGGCTCAGCACGGCGCGAGACGATCAGAGAGCTCGACCAACTGGCGGCAGCGGGAACCCCAAAGGGAGCCCCGGCCGGCTGCGAGTCCTGCGTCAAGCTCCAGCTCCAGCTCCAGCTCCAGCTCGACCGCCTCGCTGACGTCGACACCCTTCGAGCGGCCGCGGTGGAAGCCGGGCAGCAGCAGCAGCCGCCGCGGCGAGGGAGGAGCAGGAGGCAACATCCGGGGCTTTCGTGGCTGGGAAGCCGTTGACTGCGGCAGCGGCAGCTTGAGGACGCTGGGTGCCCGATACCACGAGTCTCCTCCCTCGTCGTCTTCCAAGGTGCAGACGCCCATTCACCCGGCCATCGTCGAGCGGAGGAGGCTGTACGTCGGCAACATGCCTTATATGGCCAAGAAGGAGGACGTCGTCGAGCTGTTCGGCGGCCAGGGCGGAGACGAGACCACCAGCCCCTACAATATGTACGTCTAGAACTTCCCCTTCTTCTTCTCTCTCTTTCTCTTGCTCTCGTTTTCAGGCTCTTGTTATTATTATTCCTCTCAGTTCCTAAACTAGTACGCCGCCGGTCTTATCCCTATCGGGTGTGTTGTGTGTGTGAAGAGAACGCAATTATATATCAAATGAACCCTTTACGGGACGGAATCCATCCTAATGGTTCCGCCGACCTCAGTCCACAGACCAGGCTGAGCGGGCCATGGCTGATTTAAACGGTAAGCTCGTCCTGGGCCGTCCCGTCAAGGTCAATCCGGGAGTTCCCAGGGCAGACCTGCAGCCGCCGCTGGGCCGGCGAGACCTGGACCTGGACTCGCCGGAGCCCAGGGAGGAGTCAAACGAGCAGCAGCAGCAGCAGCAGCAGCAGCAGCCGGCGGCGGGGACTTACCCTCCCAAGTTCGTCTTTGAGCGGTGGACTCGAGACGATGCGTCCAAGCATTGGTACGGCTACGCTGCAGAGGGTCGCCGTCTGTTCGTCGGTGGCCTGCCTCGGATGCGTAACCAGCCTACCGTCGACTACGAGATCCGCAAGGTCTTTTACGGGTTTAACATGTATGTCTGTTTCTACATATCTTTCCCCCCCTCCCCTTTTCCCCCCTCCTCTCCCCTTTTTTTCGGTTGCATTAATGCGTCTGGGCTTGGCTGGGTCAACTATTAATTAACCGATATCCTATATAGTGAGGCAATAAGTAAAGTCATAATATCTAATAGGGACAAACTGCCCCTGTCTGGCAGCCAGTATTACTACCTCTTCGTGGACCTAGAGTCTGCAGAGGAGGCCGACAAGGCTCTCAAGACCCTGGACGGCGTCAGCGCCATCTACGGCAACCGGCTGCACATAAGAAAGGCCAGAGGTAACTCTCGCAAGCCGTCTGAGCGAGACCGCTGGCGGGCAGAGAACGAGAAGAAAAAGGACGAGGAAAAGACTGCCGCTCAGGACCAAGATCACCTCCTTGATGCTCCAATTGAAGCCGAAGGGATCACCCAGTCACTTGTATAGCCTTCATCGTCTCCTGGTTGGTTGGTTGGGCTGTTCCATACGATTATTACTATTATTAATCTTTTAAAGATACGCTTCTCTTCTTGGTTATTATTTTCATGGACTGATATAAAAAGAAAATACCTTTGGGGAAATAAGTGAGTCTAAAAAACCTTTTTAAGTGTAAAAATTACGGTCCTTCACACGTAAATTCTGACTCGAACGGGTATCTTCTTCTTTCCCATATATATCTACTATCTACCTTGAGACAGAAGAAGATTCTACAGCAATTCTCCCTCCTCGATTGGCTTGAAGACTTTTGTTAAATAGTCGGGGTCATCCTCGTCCAGGTCATCATTTATTGTACACACGTATGGCAAATAATCTTGTACTTGTTCCAACCCAAGAGTATCGCCTGATGCAGAAAGTTGCCGACTGTCACCACCTGTTTGAATGAATACGTCTTGCGAAAGACGGCAGTGATTGACATATTGATATAGCTGAGCTTCTTAATAGCTAGGACGCCATGTTCGTTTGGTCCGCTCTTTTTTTCTGACTCTCTTCACTGTATCGGATTTGTCCATGGGCAGTCTCCACAGCAATCGCCCAGTGGTTCTTGCTCATGTCGCAGTTGCCCTCTTCGTCCACAATTAAGTCCAAGGGTGGACGCATCATGGTGGAGCTTCTCAATAGGCCACTCGAGGAACTCCTCGCCCGCTGAAATGCCGTTCTCCTCCAGGGTATCGTAAATGAGGGTGTAGGTCCGCGACATCTTGATGGTGGAAGGTAGAAATGGTGACTTGGAATCAACGCAGGGAAGAAAGATAGAAGATTAGATAGACATTGACGCGATATCCAAAGGTGAGAATAAAGTTCGGTTTTGGCAGCAAAACACAAGTGTTGTCACCTGATAACTTAGTATCCATGGATGGATGTCCTGCCAAAAGGAGATTTTATTTGAACATTCCAACATCAAATCTTTGTCCATACGAAGGACAACTTGCCTCGTGGGCTACCTAGGCACTTACTACGTATTCGATACACTTTGGAGCACTTTCGCTGACTCGGCCTCTCCCCGGCGTCGCATCATGAAGCACTCTTCAGTTCCGGTTCCATCACGCGCTGATGTCATGGCGGCATGTGCACTCCGTGGTCCTTTGGCAAACGGCATCCCATACAATAGTGATATCTGGGTCAAGTACGGTACTGGCGTGACGGAAGCCGAAGCGATATTGCAGCAGTTTGTGAACGAAAATGCAGATCACAGCATCGTATACACGCCAAAGGTTTATGACTACTTTACCGGGCAGCGAATAAGCGATATACCAGTAACATATATTGTTATGGAGCGAGTATACGGCGAGGCTCTTACATCAAAAGAGGATGATACAGTCCTCGAAAACATTGCTGCTGCTGTCCGCCATATCTGGGAGCTTCCGTTACCACCACAGGCGTCCATTGGACCATTGGCAGGGCAGGTACCTTATAACCGGTTCTTCTCAGACTATGGTGCAGGCCGGACCTTTCAGTCGACTGAAGAGCTCCAGGCCTGGATTAATGAGAAGCTGAAGGAAGAGGGATGGCCTGATAGGGTCGACTTACCCTCGGAGCGGTGTATCTGCCACTGTGATCTCTCGCAGTTTAATATCCTCCGTGGTAACCCAGTTATTATTATTGATTGGGGCATGTCGGGAGTTTACCCACGCATCTTCGACGAGTTCGCCCTATTTCACCAGTTCAATCTCCGAGGTTCCAAGTTTGCTAAGGCTCTTCATAAGAAGCTTTTCGGGAACAAATTGCCTAGACACCTACGACCGCTAACGATTGTATCAAGAATTAATACCTGGGGCTCGTAGAGAGAGTCCATGCAGGTATTCAATATCAATATCTAGTGCTTGCATAGCTCATGACGAAATTTCGCGGCCGGCTTCCACTGGCAAACTGACTAACTGACAACTTCTGGTGGTTTCTATGTCACCATGTCTTGCAACATGCAAAGAACCAGTACGACTTACCACTTTGTCGAGCAGCCTTCCACCGCTGTACCGCAGCCGATGGGAGCAGATCGATTTGAGCCAGCCATGAATCTCAGTCAGAGTCTTCAACTTGAAACCAACGGGGCCCGCGCTCGTTTGGTGTGTCTGGAGATATAAATACGTGCAAGAAATATTAACTAATCAGCGTATATATCAATTAGATAGGCATCTCATCCATTTATAGAGAGAGCATGAAGCTAGCCGAGTCAGGAATATTTATATTCGTGAAATCCCTATTTTGATCTACACCAATGGACACTGACTAAGTCGTACGTTTGGCCTTCGGCCAGTCCTGTTGGGATATTGCGAGGGGATGACGCTGCTTGTCACAGTCGGGGCGCCCTAATCACCCCCTTTTAACTACCATGATACTTAGAAAATGTGGAATATAATATAAAAACATGGTATTTCTCTTTCATTAGTTACCTTCCAAGCAGTATAAGAAAGAAAAGAAAAAAAAAAAACAAACTTGCTACTGACATTACCTAAAGAGCCATATGGAGGTCAAAAGTGAGTAGAATAGGAGATTGGCTGACATGACAGTTGAAACAGAAAACAATAATATCAAAATGGAGGCCGAAAGAAAAGAGGTATCGCAAAAAACAGAAAGATAGATAGCATAGTGTACGAGATTTGACCGGGTTTTTTTTCATCCTCTCCCTCTCAATTCTCCTTCTCATCTCAATCAAGATGCGCCCACGCCGCTGACGCTTCGTTTTGATAGGAAACTTCTACGTGGCTTTGGAGAGTCAGCGGTGCTCTCTTCTGGACCAGTGTTGGAATGGGAAGTACCTGGTCTCAGAGACGAGGACTCGGAAGACGTAAAGACAGTCTTGATAGTCACAAAGCCATTTCCAACCTTGACGTTACGCTCCTTGCCCGCGTTAGACCCTTGGTCGTCCAGGAAGAAGAGAGCTTCTCCCAGGATGTCGTCAGATCCAAAGACGGCGTGGTCCTTGACTTGCAGCTGGAACTGGGCGTCCGCCGTGACCGAGTTGATCTTGATCGTCTCGTGGCCGGGGTCGAATTGCACGACTGATTCAGTCTCGGAGGAGGAGCCGTGGGCCTTGTGGGCTTTGGACTTGTGGATTTCTTTCATCCCTTTGCTGGTCTGCTGCTTGACTACTATTCGGACGTTAGTGGAGCGTGGGTAGCCGGTGGCAGAGACAATTGTGATGTTAGCTGCTCCCGTCTCGCCTTTGATACTAGATACGCCGAGGCCGGCCTGAGAAGCGCTGCTGCGTGAGCGCGAGTGTGACATGACGGGGGATCCGGATGGTGAGTCTGCTAATGCTCCGGCGCGCTGAGGGGTTCCTGGTGCTGACACTTCCACACTGGGTGTGTGGCCGTGAGTCCCGTTGGTAGCAGTGGCTGCGGTGGCGGCTTCCGGCTCGGCCTCAGTCTCAACTTGGGCACGGCTGGATCGCTTGAAGCCGTGCTTAAGGAAAGACGCTCCCTTGACTACTCCACCTCCGAGCATGGTGACTCCCTTGACAGGGGCTCCAACAATCTTTCCTGGAGCTGCAAAGGTCCCGGAGAACGTGGATGAGCCTTGTCGAGAACGGGTAACGTAGGCTGGCTTGAAGAGCAGCTTCAGTCGGATTGCACCAGACTTGCCATCGAGAGGAAGGCTGATCTCCTGAGCTTGGAATGGATCCAGATGGGTAAGGTCAATGCTAGTGCCTCCCAGATAATCCGCCTTGTCACCAAAGTCCCAGTCGTAAACGTCAGCCCGGAAGTTAGCTGCAATTCTAGACTTGATGGGCGTTTCGAAGAATTCGTTCCAGGCTGGGTGCAGCGTCTTCTTCTGGACCTTGGTCTTGAATACTTCCTTGTCTCCAAGCTTGAACTTGCAGTATGGGTCACTGAATCCGTTTCGATCTGCTGATGGCAGATCGGCAGCATCCAGGATGTCCACCCGAAGATTTCCCATATTGTTGATGCTCTCCGATGGGTCAAGCTTCATCTTAACCGGGAGATACTTCAAGCTCACAGTAACCTTGCTGTTAATTCCATCGGATCCTCTCAGAACAAGCTCAGTTGGTTTATACTATCACATTGTCAGTCAGTCAGGATCCAGGCATCTAGTCAGTAGCAAAACGTTAAAACTAACCAAAGATTGTTGGAGAGTGGTCAGAGTTGGTCCAGAGAGCTTGGCGATTGAGTGATCTTCAGAGTCGTCGTTGGGACGGTCATGCTTGGCAACAAGGCGCAGGGTGATCTTGGAGAACTCCATTTCAGGAACGAATGCATCGCCAACTATAACGAATTGGTCAGTATTATTGGTCAACAAACGCTTGATTATATGGTTCCTTTCTTACCATCGCCAAATACCATGTGCTTAGATTGAATAGTAGGCGAGGTATAACTTGGGTAAAGGTTGTCATCCATCAAAACCTCAAGCTGGGTGCCAGTGCTTGAGAAATCTCCTTCCTCTAGCTTAAAGACAATCAAACCAGATTCTATCGTTCGTTAGGCTCCATTCATTGGCAGTGTACCTTTGTATACAATAAAACATACCATATTTGTGCACATCTTGTGGAGTGAGGCGGATCTTCGGTACTTCCTTCTCAGCCTTTTCGCCATTGACCAGGCCGTCAGTGCTTGGACGAGCATCACCGTTCGTGGTAGCCTCAGCGTTAGCAGTAGTGTCAGCATCAGTCGGCTTGCCTTCTTCTTCAGCGGCTGCGGCTGCGAGCTCCTTCTGGGCCTCGAGCTCGTCGGCCTCTTCATCAGGGTCAACGACGTTCAAAGTTGGGTAAAAGGCAACAGTGTAGTTGAGAATCCCTTTCTGGTGACTGCGGCCATCGAGCTTGAGAGGAGTGGACAAATCTCTCTTTTCATCATGAACCTCATATTCGCCATCCTCTCCCTCCTTGATGTACTCGCCAACGTTTAACTCGACTAAACCAAGAGGTCGGTCCTTTCCAATGGATTCATCATCCATGACTTCAAGGACCAGCTTCTCGCGAGCAGAGTTGACGGGAACATAAAGGACCTCGTCCCACTCGGGGTTCAAGTTGTTCAGCCAGGTGACAGTACGGCGAACTTCCATTCCAGACTTCATGACACGTAAGTAAGGATCAGATTTGCCCATGGTCTCGACATTTCGGAGATCCTTTGCGTTCTTTATGTGAAGTCTCATGACACCGATAGGGTTGATGTAACCACCGGTGCCTACGACACCCTTGAGAGCAACTGGCTTCCATTCTAACCTCATCTTGACACGACCGGTTTTGGCACCAGCAAGTTCGAACCATTCTTTGCCTTTATCCATCATCTTCAACATGTCGTTCAGCTTGATCTGTTGTTTTCCAAGAATGGGGTCGGTAGCAAGGTCACGGTCATCCTTGATCATCATTCCAAGGCGAGCAGTCTTACGATCAGTGATCAGGATTTCCTTCGAGGGGTCGGGGAAGATGGGGTTGTTGGTACGCTTCAGCTTCTTAGTGATGTGGACTTCCTTGCCATTAAGAAGCAGGACAGCATAAGGGTTGAGCTGTCCGATAAAGGACTTGCTTCCGTCGAGATCCTTTGCCTGTTCAACGGTGAACTTGGCAATACCGGTGTTGAGCTCTGGCGGGGGCTCAATGGCACCGCCATCGGTCTTCTTGGAAGTAAGGACGGGGAAGAAGCGAACGTCTGCCTGCATGACACCACGGTTACGGCCGTTTTGCATAATATCGAGGTTAAGGTTCTCATGCACCTCCTCAGTCTCAAGAGATTCGAGGGAGAAGGTTGCGGTTCCGAGTTCGACGTCCTTTCTGAATTCGTTCCAGTCAAAGACTTGCAGGGTGAGGGCATCGGTGAACGATGTGATAATGACATAGAGCGTTTCGTTCCATTTGGGGTTCGAAGTGTCAGATACCGTCTTTGTCCTACCTAATTCGGCTCGGCTGTTGATGGAGACCAGAGTGTAAGGGTCTGGGGTGCCAGAGAACTGGTCGGCCTTCTTGAGGCCGTTGGCTCCGTGGATGGTAACGGCAAGGACACCAATGGCCTGGTCGACTGGGTTGCCAGCGAGCATTTTAGCAATTTCGACGGGGAAGACATTCGGGTCGTACATCATCGGGGCCAAATTCCCGTGGATCTGTTCCGTGATGAAGGTTTCGAGACCAGGAATGAAGTTGATATCGAAGCCTAGGGTCTCACCACCAATGGGTTTACAGACGTAGTCGATCTCGGGCTTGCCCAGGAAAGAAATATCAATACGTTCGACGTGTGGAAATTGGATTTGCAGCTTTACTTTTACTCTCATCAGGCCGGAGAAGGCAAAGTCCTCCACGATGACATCGAGACCTTTGCTGACAATGCCCTTACCGACACGAACTTCAAGTACAACCTTGGGGTTGATCTTGTCCTTGATCTGGCGAGCAGTCAAGTCCATCTTGTCAGCAGGGGTGAAGCTGAATTTCCAGTCCATGAGGACGATATCTGGTTCAGTCTTGGGGTAGGTTTTGACATGCTCGAGACGAGGTGGTTTGCTACCGAGTGTAAACGTCTTGAGACGCAGGCTGTCAAGGAAAGCTGGGGTAGAGGTACTGAGGACCTGGTCCACAGAGCAAATGATAGAGTGAGCAAGATTGGGAGCATAGATGGGCCAGAATTTGGCGAGGAAGCTGTTTATCCATTCGAGAGTCTCGGTGTCCGTCTCGAGCTTGTTCTTAGCCAGCTCTCTGGTAATATCATCACGGAAGTTTCGTCGAACACGGCGAACAGAAGTACGGTAGTAGGTACCACAAGCGGCCATGACGAGGAACACCCATCCTAGGCCACCACCGAAGAGAGCAATAATCCAGGAAGCCAGGCAGGCAAATATGATAACTGCAGTGTTGTGGTACCAATCTACACGGTGATGTTAGTTACCAAGGCCCCTGCTCAGATAATAAACAACACCGCCTGGATGCATACCTCCGAAGAACTTATCCTCAAGCTTCCCCTCTAGGAGAGTCGGAGGCAGTCCGGGCTCCTCACCGGTGCCGTCTTCTGCAGCCGGAGCAGAGAATTGAGGAGCCCATCCAGTTCTACCGGGAGCGAATTTCTCCTCTTCGGTGAGTTCCTTGACCTCCATCTTGGGCTTGTCTGCTTCGTCAGCTTTTTCCATTTCAGCAGGTTTTTCCGTGCCATTTGTAGCCCCCTGAAGATAGAAGAAGTTCCCGGTCAGTTTTTTTTGAAGTGAATTGAGGATGAAAGAATGGAAATGAAACAGTGGGCCAGTGAAAGCAGCAGTGAACAACGCTGAGGGATCCCTTTCAACGTACCATATCCGTAGCTGGAGCAACGGCATCAACTGTCTTCCCATTGACAGCCTGACTCCCGTTTGTTCCATTCGTGCCATTCTGCTGGAAACCAGCAGGTATCGCCTACAGATAGTCTGTCAGACTCCATTCAAGGCAGCAGCAGCATGTATGTAGGTACATTGGCAGGCGAGGAGGAGGGGGGGGAAGAGATCTGGACGCACCATCTTTGCCTGTTCAGCTTTCTTCTCTGGCGACGCATCTGGATCGAACTGGAACGCAGGCACTCCGGCCTTCTTGCTCTCGTCCACCAGCTTCTGCTCGATGGTCTCCGGCGCCGGGCGAGCAGCGTCGGTGGCCGGCGACTCTGCCTGTGTAGCCATGGCCGCAGGCAGCAATTGGACGTTCCCCCTTGGTTGTCTTCACGTATCGATGCCGTTCAAGTCGCAGCAACGAGCTTCATACGGCGAGCGGGCGAGAGACGGGGAGTAAGATGCAAGACAGCGAGGCGCGGGGGTGGAAGTGCAGCTGCAAGGGGAGACGCAAGCTCGCAGGGCGGACTGCCGCTGGATGGAGTGAGCGGCTGTCGTTCTGGCTGGGGATGTTTGACGATGTTGACTGGGTTTTGGTGGTTGGTTCACTTTTTGACGACGGCGGAGTTTGGTCCTACACAAGCACAGCAGACGGCACCGCAGCTCATTTCACAGACGCATACGCACACACGCACACACAGCCGGCAGAGATGGGGGGGGAGAGAGAGCAATTAAGTTCTGGCTGAGTTGGCGGAGCTGGAGATAAATAATAATAAAATAAGTCGAGGGAAAAAGCAACGACCGACAAGAGTTGAGGGCCAAAGAGGACGGCCGCGATCTCACCAACCAACACCCCGGACAAGGGCGGCGATGTGGAACCTGGCTTGGAGAAGCAGAGGACAGAGAAGAAGCAAAAGATAGGCGGACGATGGGGCAGTTATACACAGGTTCTCTTACACAGGGCGGAGGGCGTGTGAAGACTGCAGATATGTACTCATATCAACTTGCTACCGATGTCGACTCCTCGACAATAATGCCATCAGCCATCACCGCAGCATTGAGTGGACACAGCGGACGGGATAGACGAGACCGGTGGGCGTCCTGGTGGCAAGTAACATGCTAGTAGGAAGCATCCCTAGCGATATATCAACTCCATCTCCATCGAGATCGTGCTTTTTGCGCCAGATGCGAGCTCCGAGCTTGCAGGGAAGCAGCTTCTGGTCCCAAGCAGCCGATACGATGACACGCAACCAGGCCTCCACCTCACCAGCCACGCTCTCTGTCTATGGTCAAGGGCGACAGAGAAGACATGGGAGAGCGGGTTGACCGCGGCAGACGCCCCCTCGCCTCGATGATCGTGAAATTTTGTCGATATCGTGATACAGGCAGCTTGATCGTGGCTGATGCCCCCTTCGTCTTGACATACTTCTGACCCCCTTACTGGCCCAACCAGCAATATTTGCCACATCGTGGGCTTCAGGCAGGCCACCTTCTCCACCTACCTGCCAGTCGGTTGCAGCAGTAACGCTGGCCGTGCGTCCCTTTTTTTTTTTTTTTTCCATTGACTTTCTTCGGACTGAGGGAGCCCAATTAATACTCTGGCTGGTAGAGTTAGTTCTCCCTTCGAGTCGGGAGATAGAAGCAGACCGAAACCATGGGAGGCAGACGGAGACCGGGCCAGGGTGCAGAGCAGGTGAAATGGCATGGGTAGCCACGGCTCTGGTTCAGAAATATACCTTGTGCATATATTGGTTATTATGACAGGTTCCTGGGCAAAAAAAAAAAAAAAGGGCGTGAGCTGCATCAGGGCCTCTTCCTTACCCTTGACTTGGATGGGATGGAAAGAGGGAAAGGACACAAATATTATTATTTGAGAAGGGAAAAGGGAGAAGAAAAAGAAAAAGCAATAATGTCCTGTTTGAGGCATGCGAGTCAGTGCGAGTCAGATTGAAAAATGACATGCGTCGACGACGGGAAGAGAGGATGACGGAGAGCACACTTGACCAGCTGTCCTTCTTCTGACCGTTCCGTGTTTCAGACAAGGCCTGCTCAGGCGATGCCGGGTACCTGCTTCTCCTCCGAGATATCTATCATTATCACCTTCCATAGACCGCTCCGGGGTTGAAGTTACTCTGTCACGATCTGCCGATCTTCGCTATAATAACGTCATCGTCGTTTTCATCCCTTGGAAACAATTACTATGGATTTATCTCCACCCAGACATTGAGAACTTGGCTGGAAAGGGGTAGAAAAGGAAGAATATACTATATTGCTCTTCATTACTACATCGACTAATGGGATATTCTTTGGCGCCTGGTTTTTTTTTTTTTTTTTTTTTTTTTTTTTTTTTTTTTTTTTAAAAAAAAAAAAAATTTAGCTTCTTATTCATTGTCCTCGTTAAGTCAAGCAACCTCTTTGCTTATCCCGTTCTGATCACTCCAGCTGCTATCAGCTTCTGGATCTTGGTACGCACAGTAGCGTTCTTCATGTGCTCCCGAAGGGCAGCTGGGTCATTCCGGGCTTGCTGGAGAATGGCCTGCATAACTGGATCTTGGACAATGGCCATAATCTAAAGTAGAAGAAATATTTATGTTAGTGATCACCATTGACTTCATATCAGATTTAATAGTGCAACAAGGGATTTAGGGCAAAAAGAAAAAGGAAAAAAAAAAAAAAAAAAAAAAGGGCACAAAGAACATACCTCTGGGTCCCTTTGGATTCTCTCAGCTGTTTCAGCCTCAGTCTCACCAGCACGCGCACTGAACTGAGCCTCAAGTGCCTTCTGCTGCTGTTGCTCAATCTCACGCTGGTTAGCGCCATTCTCGTCATGCTCCTGTGCTTCGGTGCAGACATCCAGGCACTTGTTGTACTCCTTCATAGCAAAGAGAGCCTGAGCCTTTCTCAGGTAGGCTCGGACGAACTTGGGGTCCCGCTTGATGGCCTCGTCACAGTCCTGGACTGCCTGCGGGAACGCCATCAGCTTGATCAGGGCGGCCGCGCGGTTGCTGTAGCCGCGGTGGTCATCCGGCGCACGCTTCGTCATCTCGGTGTAGGCCTCAACCGCGCCGGGCCAGTCAGCTTCCTTGAACTTCTTGTTGCCTAGCTCGCGGGCCTTTTCAGCCTCCTCAGGGTCGAGGTAGGCCTCTTTTTCAGCCTTGATCTTCGCCTTCTCTGCAGCACGCAGCTTGGCGAGGATCTCCGGAGTACGATGCTCAGTCAGGGACTTTTGGTAGTTAGTGATGGCGGTGGCCAGGTCTCCAAGCTTCTCGTATGAAGATCCGATTCGTCCAAAGGCCCTAAAGCAATATCAGTACATACATATTTTATATGTCATAGGTTAATGTTCCAGGTATACATACTTTGCGATAATCTTAAAGTCAGCAAGCATCTCTCGACCCTCGGCAATGGCCTTCTCGCAGGTTGCAATGGCATCCTTGTACTCTCCCTTCTCAAACTGTGCGGCACTGAGGTTGGTCAGGTAGGTAATGTCGTGGTATATATCCCATGCCTTGCTGTAGTGTTCAATTGCAGCATCAAACTGTCTCTTTTTGTAGTTCTCTGTACCCAGCTTCTTCTCCTCGTCAGCTTCAGCCTTGGCCTTCTTCTTTGCAGCGGCCTCCTCATCTTCAGGTTCAGGCTCAGGTTCAGGCTCGGGGGCCTTTTGAGCCGCAGAACGTGCATCAGGCATCTCCACATCCTCCTCCGCCTCTTTTGGTCGACCGCCAGTAGCACCATCAGCCTCTGGGGGAGCACCAAAGGACATATCAACACCAAGCAGGACACCCATCACCTGCAGGAATCGGGGGTCCCGCATCTCATTGCCGATGGAGTTTGGGTTCTTTGCAAGATTCTGCAGCTTAGCCATGAACTCTGAGTCTGCAAGGAGAGGCGCAGTCTTTGGGTTGCTGGCCAGCTTCCGTATTAGATTTGGGTCGTTGAACATGTTTCCTAGTCCCGCAGTGGGATCACCAGAAACGCCGTCTGCCTTCGCTTCAGCATCAATCGCACGCTTCACGGCCTCTAGACCGGCTTTGGCCTGCGCATTGTTTGAGTCGAGCTTCAGTGCCTCTTCATACGCATCATGGGCACCCACTATATAACCACAGTTAGAACTAGAGCTTTCCCTTTATTCGCCTGTGAGCCGCATAGCCACTCACATAAATCTCCCTGGCCGTGCAAGGCAGCTCCCTTACGGCCCCAGCCCTTGGGCCAGTCTGCCTTCAGCTCCGTCGTCTTGTTTGCGTCTTCCAGCGCCTTGTCAAAGTCCTTCAGCGAGGCATAGGCCCCCGAGCGGTTTGAATACAGGACATGATTGCTTGGATCGAGCTCGATGGCCGCAGAGAACTTCTCACTGTCTCATAACCGATCAGTTCGTGCTCATCCATCGTTCGTCCGGGTCAAGCGTCTTTCTGGGTACTCACACAGCTGTAGTAAAGTCCTTGGCTGCAAACGCCTTATTTCCCTCAGCCTTCAGATCGTCTGCCATGGTCACTTGTCTATCGCAGCACTAGAATAAAGGTCACGCTTGTCTGTGTGTCTGCCTGTCGAGAGAGGGTCCGTCCTGTGAAAGCCTTCGTCGTCTGTCTTGTATATTTATCGACGTGGGAAAAGCTTCTGGAAATTTCGAGCTTCTTTTTATTTTTGCTTTTGCTCCTGGAGGGGAAGGAAACGAACTTCCTTTTTTCTCTTTTCGCCTTTGACAACTCCGACCACGAAAGACGCCCGGCAACCAGCAAGCTACTGTCCTGTAGGTATCAACGGTTGCAGTCACTCCTTAACGCAGTGGACGTCCAGCGATGAGCCGCTCTCCCAGGCCCTTCCGGTGATAGTTCGGCCCTCCTGCGCATCCCGATCCTGGTTAGGCGCAAGACAAACCTGACGGAGTACAAAACAGAAAGAATAAGATATATAATTGACTATGGCTTCGAGTGCTGGCCCTTCACGAGTAAAGGCATCGTCCGGCGATCCGCAAAGCCTGGCGATGAAGCTGTACGACCAGTGCCTTTCCAGCTTCCCGGCAGACCATCTCTTCTACCAGCAGGACTTGCTCGGCCTAGGAGTCATACCAAACGAAGACCTGGCTCTGCTCTTAAGGTGCACTCAGATTCTAGTTGACCAGAGCTTGCTTCGTCTCCTGCAGGCAAAGGATGACCGTCTTGCATGGAAGATCATCGCGCAGTCAGATGCCGAAAAGTTAGTGACTCTTTGCCCTTTTGATATGTTTATCATGCTTTATCTACTAACACTATGATAGATTACAGAATCTCAACGGCGAGGAACGTTTGGTATACAATGTAATCCATTCGACAGGGCGGAACGGTATCTGGACCAAAGTCATCAAGACACGGACAAACTTACATCAAACTATTATGAACCGATGTCTGAAATCTCTTGAAGCGAAAAATTATGTCAAATCCGTCCGGAACGTCAAATATCCTTCAAGAAAAATATACATGCTATCGGGCCTACAACCCAGCGAGGAAATAACTGGAGGTGCATGGTTTACAGACGGCGTGCTAGACGCAGATTTCATTCGTGGTCTCAGTGGCTGGATTGAACACTGGGTCAGCGCAAGGAGCTGGAACTCCCCAGGAGCTGAAGACCAGCCCAAAGGGAAGAAGCGGAAGTTGCCGGCCGATGATTCGGAAACACAGTACATCCCATATCTACCGTCATACCAGGGTCATCCAACCACAGCTGATATCACAAAGGCCATAAATGGATCTGGGCTCACACCTGTAACCATGGACGAAGGAAGCATTTCCCAACTCCTGCAGATGCTCTGTTACGATGGAAGGCTGGTCTCCCTTCGAGATGGAGCCGCATATCGAAGCGTCAAAAAGCCGAATGAAATCTCCCTCCAGCGTGACCTGGGCCTTCAGGGCCCTGACGGAGGCGCTAATGAAGGCTCCTCCTTGGGGTCAAATGGCATGACGGAAGCCCCCTGCGGTCAATGTCCTGTATTTTCCCTCTGTCGCCCAGGAGGGCCTGTCAACGCCGAGAACTGCGAGTATTTCAACGAATGGCTGAAAAGCTCTGCATTATCTTTTTAACATCATTTGGTATCTCATTATCAACCACCATTTTTCGACATCATACCAGTATCAGAACCAGGCAAAAATTATTCGGAAAAGTCTAAATAACCGCATCAGCAACATCATCTGGGCATATTTTCATTTCTGCTCTAAATAACATAAGAAAAAGCGACAGGACATGTTTGTCCTTATTTGGTGTATTATAACATAGAAAGCATAGCGCCGGAGTCAGTGTTTGTTCTTTTGGTTGTCTTTACAAGGTTGAACGAAGCTACACCATGGGAGAAAAAAGGTAAATATGTTCATGGTTTAAAATATCTGAGTGACTTTTATTATCTACCATTTTTTGAATAGCAAAGCGTTTGAGGGTTTCAAGTATTTAATTAAGCCACAATCGAGGATACTCTTCCAAGCCCTGGGTCATATCACGTTAATCATTAAAGATATCTACACTATCATAAGTATTATACACCCAAGATGTAGTTATAAGAACACACTTCCTCATTTGCCCAAATTCTTGCGACACTCATCACAATACCAAGTTCCTAAGGGCTCTCTGGTAAGTCCTACACATTTCCAATGAAACCACTCGTATGGGCAGTTGTCATTATCACAAGCCACCATGTCTCCATGGCTAACGCTTCGACAAGTGCAATACGTCTTCATGTCTTCACCTCCTTCTTCATCATCATCTTCATCCGCATCCTCTTGTGAAGACCGTGCCATCTGTCGTCGAGACATATGAGCGTTTTCAGAATCAGACATATCAGCACTGCTGAGCATCGATTCTTCTTCTTCATCATCCGCTATACCTGACGCTGGAGATCGAGACTTCTTCCTCCCATTGCCGGATACGGGTTTCAAGCGGTTTGCACTCGAGGATCTCTTTGTCGGCTTTCCAGGTGCATTATGCGCTTTTATCTTGCGTACTTGCTGGTGTGGTGCAACCTTTTTTGTAGCAGGTTTCTTCACTCCGGTTGTTGAACGGGGACCGGCGCTACCTGCCCGTGATACTCCCGGAGTCCCGGCCTTAGGGGTCCCAGGGCCAGTTGATGACTGCCGCAGGTTTGAGGGAGCAGCAGGCAGCGTACTAATTGATCCATTTAATCGTCGCCGTTTGCTATCAGCTGCTCCAGCAGATGATTCACGGCGCTGCTGATGTAGTGCTGTGGCCGCTGGTGTAGCCGGTGCCGAGTTGCGAGCAGCAGCTTGGGTAGCAGCAGCAGCCCCTACCGGTGCACGAGAATTAGTAGTATTGTTCAGTCTCTGAGCAAGGTTATATTGTAAATTCATGTTCCCTGATGCGGCATTCAATGGGGTGGAATAAGACCCTTCATGGGTAGCAGCTTCAGGGAATATAGCTTTAGGAGTTTCACGAAATGAGTCCTTATTCTGGAAGAGAGAAGGAAGCGGTGGATCGTTCGAGAGAAGACCATCATTTTGAAGCTCGCGGATTTTCACGTCGAGTCGCTTGATATGTCGGTCCAGCAGAATGCTTGCTTTATCGCTCAGGATAACCTTCTCATCCTGTAATACTTGGCACCGGTCCATATTTTGGAGGATAGTCTTGCTATATGCTTCTTCTTTCGGGTTCAAGGCATGACTTCCATTTATTTTGATAAATTTCTGTAAACTTCCGTCCCTCGAGTTAATAATCGCGCGACAATCTTGTATTATTTTATCTTTGGCTTGGATCTCCTCCATGAGATGGTTTATTTCTGCTGGTAAGTTTGCCACTATTCAATAGAAAAGCTGTCAGCCAATGACTCTACTAGCCAAAGTGAAGTAGTGATATACTGCACTTACCATTGTGGACAAACTGCTCGAGCACAGAGGAGCAATCCTCTGTATGTGCCATGGCAAAATATCAAACACAAGTCCCTGAGCTCCTTGCTAGCGTGGGAATCCCTGAAAAGCAGATAAGTTAAGTTTCCTGAGTAGGCAAAACAAACACGCAGGCCTCCGGAACAAGCTGTCTTGCAACCAACAGTTAGTGTTACTGTCGTAAATCAATAAAACGCCGTCAATGAGAAAATGATGGAAGGTGAAGGTTGCCTCATTAAGGGGCTGAGTAATCAATCACCTGATAAAAGCTTGGCGCCACTTACCCAGATCACTTGTCCATTTTAGGACTAGTTGGGATCATGCTCCGCCATAAGCCGCACTAGTCCTGATTTGGTGTATAAACTCTGCTGGCCTCTGATTGGCTGCTCGTTTTGATGGCCCAAATTTATCCGCAAATTCCACGTTTGAGCTCGTCCAGCACAATCCAAACAACGTCGCAAGAGCAGCCAAGTCACAGACACGCAGATATTAAGAAGCATCCCCGAGATATAGCAATAATAATAGCTAAATATAGCTGTTTATGGGATAGAAGACCGACAGACGCCTGTACTTGACCATGGGCCGATCCGCCATTGTCCAAGAATATGGCCCTCCACCCCTCGCCAACACAACCATCACATTTGACCGCAAGACCGCTGATGAGGTGGCTCACGACATCATTAAAAGGCCGAAGGGGTACAGAGTGTCATGGCACTCAAATGCAACTGTTGAACCACACCATTTTGGCCAGTCGCACCCTATGAAGCCATGGCGCCTGACGCTCACAAAGCAGCTTGTCATGGCCTATGGGATGCACCACGCCATGGATCTTTACGTCGCCAGAGCAGCAACTTACGATGAAATGGCCGAATTCCACAGCACAGATTACCTCGACTTTCTGAGCCAGGTTATTCCCGCTGATATGGACAGCGCAGCGCAACAGGATCGGCTAGCCGGGTTCAACTTTGGCGATGACTGTCCCATTTTTGACGGCCTTTATGACTACTGTGCTCTTTATTCCGGTGGAACCGTCGATGCTGCTCGAAAACTTTGCAATAATCAGTCAGAGATTGCCATTAACTGGTCCGGTGGATTGCATCATGCCAAAAAGACAGAGGCAAGCGGGTTCTGCTACATTAATGATATTGTACTCGGAATCCTTCAGCTACTAAGACACCATCCCAGAGTGATGTATATTGACATCGATGTCCACCATGGAGACGGAGTTGAGCAGGCTTTTTGGTCAACAGACCGAGTTCTTACCGTTTCGTTCCACAAATATGACAAGGATAACTTCTTTCCGGGAACTGGTCCGCTTGATAGCACTGGGCCAACACATCCACTCAATCCTGGTGCTCACCATTCTTTAAATGTCCCCTTAAACGACGGAATCGAAGATAATGATTATGTCAACCTTTTTAAAGCCATTATCGGCCCATGCATTACCACCTACCAACCTACTGCGATAGTCCTACAGTGCGGTGCCGATAGCTTGGGATGTGACAGACTTGGTTGTTTTAACCTCAATATTCGTGCTCATGGCGCATGCGTTGCCTTTACAAAATCGTTCGGCCTACCCACCCTCGTTCTTGGCGGTGGAGGATATACTCCTCGCAATGTCTCTCGGCTGTGGGCTTACGAGACAGCTATATGTGTTGGAGCTGAGGATCAGCTTGATCCCAAACTTCCCGAAACACTACCCTTTCGCAGCCATTTCCAGCCTGACTGCTCACTCTTCCCGCCGTTATCAGATCTACGGAAAGTTGAGAATAAGAATACCAAGCAGTACCTAGATTCTCTTGTTGAAGGGATATTGGAGCAGCTGCGATACATTAACGGTGCACCTAGCGTTCAGATGAGTGTGATTCCACCGGATATATTAGGCATTCGCGAGGAAATCGAGAAGGAAATTGAAGAAGAAAACCAGTTGAACGAAGAAGAAAACGAGGACCGAGGAGTAAACGGGACATCAAGTCGGCGAAAGGATGCAGAAAGAGGGATTGCGACTGCTGGTGAACTTTATACATGATATTTGGGCAGTATGATTCGACTTTTGTCTGTCTACTTCTCACCGTTTACATTTCTTCCCTTGCATTGGAGTTTAGGTGTTCCTGAGGCATTGGTTTCTGATGGGGATCCCTATTATGATCAGGAATGCGGCACCTTATCCGCGGTGCCTTTACCTTTCGTTTGTACAGGCAATGGCACCAGTTGCTCTGGAGTTTTTTTCTTTTATTTCTTTAGATGGCCATTCAGATACCCAAAACACTACCCTATGTTTGGTACTAGCATTAGACCCTAATACATGACTTATTGATGGCTTCTTCGATTCCATCAGCACTAATTACCCGAACTCCATGAGCAGCCATATCCATCTTTGAATCCTCCCAGCCCTCGTCCGGATCCACACACTTGGTGGCCTCGTCAATAACGTAGGTCCTGAAGCCACGGTCCGCAGCATCAATGGCCGTAAACCTGACACAATAGTCCCCCGCGAGCCCGACGATAAACACATCCGAAACCTGATGCTCATTCAGCAGAGCTTCAAGATCATGGCTGGCTCCTCCGGCCTCCACGCAGTTGCTGTTTCCGAACGCATCAGTAAAGGCCGAATACATTTCTACCCGTTTGTCCATCCCTTTCCTGACCATGGCATCCAGCTTTTCAGATTCGATTTCAGGGATGAAGCTAGCTCCCTTGGTACCTTGGATGCAGTGTGGTGGCCACAGCCGCTGTGTTTTAGTCTCATCTTCAGCCCCGGCCACAGGGTTTTTCGTGTCAATCGTCGATGTAAATGGTACATTCGACGGTGCCGGGTGGTTCGTGGCAAATGATATATGGCTCTCTGGGTGGAAATCCTGGGTCCCTATCTTGACCACGAAACCCGTCAGAGAGAGTAGCTTGTTGATCAACGGGGCGATTGATCTGCCGTCCTGGATGGCAAGAGAGCCGTCCTGTTGATTGTATTTTGATAAGTATGCATTGCTAGGTCCTATAGTAGTATGAGCAGACTGGTTAAATGGCCGGAACGCACAGGTGGACAGAAATCTTCCTGCATATCAACCACTAGCAGGGCAGCTCTCATCTGGGTGTCTGGCTCCATGTTTGCTTTGCTGGTGCCTGAATAGATTTTCTGTAGTATGTTCAATGAGTGATCAATATCTGCTAAAAGGATAAGTATGTTGGTGGCAAATATGCACAATATATATACACGCTGCGATGCATTTGAGTCAGTAACGGCCAGCATGCATGTATGTAATTTTAGCTTAAGAAAGTGCAACTAGCTTGTGGCAACTCCAGAACTTTTTTATGTTTGTCAATATGATCAAACTCACTCTTTTTTTTTTTTTTTTTTTTTTTTTTGCTTCAGGTTTATATTATTGGATTCGATATAGATCCATAGACTGTACACGGCGCTTTCGGCTAGAGGATATGGCCAAAAGCTCGGAGATAGCTCCCACACAGGCCGAGCCGGAGGGGCTACCGTACTGGCTGGTGAATGTACCCCGGGATCGATGGCCAGCTGAGTGTCCAGACTATCTTTGCAACCTGCCGGCGAAGAATATCAGTATCCTGTCGACTCCAGATAGCGAATATGTTCGGCAAGACTGGGATCTAGTACGCCAAATAATCGGTGTGTTTCTCGTCGACAGATTCAACCTAGTGATATCTCATACTCAACTGACGCTGGCCTGGGCAGCCTCCAACCGGATTGATCTGTTCCGCCGTGTGCCCTCTGATCTGAGAAGATATCTTGAATATACGTCCTACGTCAAATCCAAGTATGGCTCGGTCATGAATTTCGTTGTCCGCGAGAGGCTGCGTTGGGAGAATAATATGGCACCCAGAGGCTCACGGCCATTCGATAACCCCGGTTTGTGTTGCTCGAACTCATCCTATATCTTTCTTTTTCTAATTTTTTTTCTCGCTTCTTTCCTTTTACCTTTTTTTTTCTTTTCTTTTTTTCTTTTTCTTTTTTTTTTTTTAATCGCTTGTCCCGCCTCCAGCCGGCCGTTTATGCATAAACTCCAGCGTCGAGGGGGCCATTTGATTCCTCTGCAGGGCCAATATACCAACATTATTTGGTAGCATAAGCCGTTCTCGCTCTTCTACTTATTAAAACCTGTTGACCTTTTTTGATACTATGCAAGCTGATAACTAAACTACCGCGATGCACTGACACTGACTGCATTACGGGCGATATCCAGATGACCACAAGATCCTATACAACGACTGGCCCTATGGGGTCGAAGAAGGAATCGTCCACCTGGTAGTGTGGACGAAGTTTACCTTCGAGGACGATCCGGTAGCAGACGATCTCACGCCTCGCGCGCGAAAGGAAATTGACGACTTTGTGGATTCGACCTTTCGCAGCAGGGTTCCTGCAGAGAAGGTATGCATAAATGAAGGAGGGGGTCCGAAGTGTGGTCCAAGGTCACTTCAGGCACACACACACGCACACACACTCCTCAATCCCGCCGCGAGTTATTCTTCCCCCCTGAGTGAAAGCCGTGGTAAACTGACATCGTCTCTCTTGGTCTGCAGGTCATTTGGTTCCGCAACTGGAAGTCCTTAAAGTCTGTCCATGCTGTTGAGCATTTCCATGTTATGCTGTACCGGCCTGATATGGAATTTGTCCACGAAGTCACAGATGGGGATGTCCCGCTGATTGACAAGGGCCTGGATGAGTGAAGGCATATGTGAGTACGTCGGTACTCGGGAGTAAGCCTGCCTAGTGACTGAGGGATCTCCCACGATCTTCTATGAATCTTGCTGTCTTTTTCTATCCCTTGTTCAGGTCTTGTGCCTCCAAAAGGGACCAATCTTGCCAGTGTTTGGCCATTTTCTTTTCATATTACCCAAGATCTAGGACTACTATATACAGACCGTAGACACAATAGAACTGTTTGCATGAGCAGTACTCTGTAGGACCTCGGAGGAGCAGAAGTTGGCTATTCAGGAGGCAAAAATCCGCAGGATCAGATATTCAGTTGACTGCGTCATATCGAGCCATAATCCATGCAGAAGAAGCCAGCCAACATGGCAAAGAAAAGCAAAGAAAAGGGCCCCGCGATCATCACTTAGTTAACTAATTCTTCCCTATGAGCCGATTGATGCGGGATGAGAACCAGCACCACCAGCACCACCACCAGCAGCCAGGGCGAGGGAAAGAAAAGGGTATTAGCCATTAGATATTCCCAGGCCTCCATGTCCCCGTCGCCTGACCTGCTTGCCGGTGTAAATAGTAACCCAAAGGCCCCCCTGAGATATCTCTGTATACCATAGAATATAATTAATATAGAATCGACAGCCAGCGACTTGCAGCGCAGGTCACTTTTGTATGGCGTGCAGGCGGGCGGAAAACCCCTCACGCAGGTAACTCGTTAACTAGTCAAGTTATCCTCAAGCAAAAAGGAAAAAGAACCGCCGGTCTTTCTTCCAACGTCACCGACTCGCTCGCCTCGCCTTGCTCGCTCAACCCTTTTATATTCCGAACAGCCCAGGATTCGCGATTCACCAGCTCAGGGGAAGCGGCAGACACGAGCCTTGCAGTATCTATACGCTCTTCTGGCCATTCTCCTGCTGTTCACGAGTTAGTATAACTCCGTTGTTCACCACTGCGCCGCCGTCGACCGTCCATCCCGCCGCATCCCAGCTTTGCCTCCTCGACCATCCTACTGTCAATTCGCAGGTGCAAAGCCGATCCTGCGAAAGCACTCAGTAGTCAGCCAGTTCAGAGAGCTTTCCAGGCTGCCGTTTACCTGACCTGCAGCTACAAATCTGCTTTCCCTCGTTTCCCGGCCGCTCGAACGTCATAACCACTTAACTAGCTAGTTTTGTTACGCTTTGATGTCTTACTCGCCCTGAGCTGCTGAGCATACAGACATAACCATCAGGCAGAGAGCACGCATAGCTAACCAGCCGATACCGCTTATATCTATTTCTACCATGTTGCCCAAGCTTCCAATACCGGGGATCAGTTCCCACGGCCATTCACCCTCCAACTCTGTGTCACACCGCCGGACCCCAACGAACAACAGTACGTCATGATAGCCCTAGAGCTGGAGAGCTGGAGAGCTGCACAGAACTGCCTTTTCACCCTCTGTCTCTTGTTTGCTGGAGCTGTTCGATCGCCGTTTCTTGAACCACGCTAACCATGGGCTCCCCGCATTTGTTGGAATTAGGCAGCCGTTCGTCGGTAGATGAGTCGAGCAGACCCCCTACTCCGGGAGGGGAAGAAGAGATCGTGGAGCCGGAACAAGGAAACAGTGAGTTTTGGTCTAATTTCTGCCGAAGATGCCTTGATTTTGGAAATCAGGCATCCAGGCGATGAAATAGTTACGATGCTAATGTGCTATACCCCCACTGCTTGCAGTACTCTATCACATCATCTCTCAGCTGAGGCCTGGGGCTGATCTGAGCCGTGTTGTGCTTCCTACGTTTCTTCTGGAGCCTCGATCAATGTTGGAGAGAATTACAAAGTACGTCTCTTGTGTCGTGGTCATTGTTAGAGCGTGGTGGTGGTGGATGAGGATTTGGTAGGCCCAATTGCTGACTTCTTTAGCTTCATGGCCCATCCCGAGACATTATTACCGATGCCTGAGATTGACGATCCCCTCCAACGGTTCGTGTCCGTGGTTAAATTCTACCTCAGTGGATGGCACATCAAACCTCCGTAAGCCTCCAAATCCTTTGACAAACAATATACTCTGGCTGACAGATCCAAAACAGCGGTGTCAAGAAACCCCTTAATCCTATCCTGGGAGAAACATTCACAGGCTACTGGGAATATCCCGATGGCACCAAGGGCTATTATATTGCTGAACAAACGTCACACCACCCACCCAAATCCAGCTACTTTTTCATGGCACCAGAGCATAATATCAGAATCGATGGTACTTTAAAGCCGAGGAGCAGATTCTTGGGCAATTCCGCGGCAAGTATGATGGAGGGAATCTCATACATGGAGTTCCTGAATCGGGGAAAGGAGAAAGGCCATGGCGAGCGATAGTAAGTGGCCTCTCCCCCGAATATAACCGAAAAATCTTCTAATTTCTCTTTTCAGCATTATAACCCAGCCAAACATGTATGCCCGTGGAATTCTCTTTGGAAAAATGAAATATGAGCTGGGAGACCACAGCTATGTCAAATGCCCAGAGAACCATTTTGTTGCGGACCTGGAATTCAAAACCAGGGGTTACTTCTCCGGGACATATAATGCCATTGGAGGTACGATCAAAAATGACGAAACCGGCGAGGTGTACTATGAACTATCAGGTCTCTGGAACGGAGAAATGTTCATAAAGGATGTCACGGTATGTCGACTCGTATCTCGTTAGACAAGTACCTCTTACTAAATTCCATGAACAGACTGGACAAAAGGAACTACTCTTTAACGCTACACATGCAAAGCACACTCCCCCTCTAACTCGACCCCTTGAAGAACAATCAAGCCGCGAGTCCCAAAAGCTTTGGCGCAGCACCGTTCAAGCGTTGCTAGAGAGGAACCAGGACCTTGCAACCGAAGAGAAGACTAAGATTGAAGACCGTCAGCGAGAAGAAGCTGCTGCTCGGGCTAATGAAGACATCGAATGGAGACCCAAGCTTTTCCGTGCCGTTCAAGGAGGTCCCGGAGGGTCTGAAGAAGGAAGAGAGAACCTTGACTGGATTATAAATGCCCACATGTAAGCTATAACTCCGAGCCAAATTCCCTCCTCTGTATCCGCGTGAGGCTGACATTATCTTAGTGATCCTCATAACCCTTCTAAGGCTGTAGAGCAAATCCTCGCATTCACTGCGATTCTCCCTGGCCAAAAAGTAAACCACGAACTTGATATTCCCCCACAAGCGCCAAAATCAGTAAAACCCAGCCAGGTTCAGGAATCACTTCTTGACCTTGACAGTAATGATGCTTCGCCAGGGAATGCACAGCACAATCCCCAGCCTTCCGAGGATCTACTCGGGAATCCTGTTAAGAACCATAATGGAAGTAATAACCCTGCCGGTGTAGGCGCTGGCTCTGGCATGATGGCTCCTCTCCAGCCGAGTATGTCAACCAACAATACGGCGCAGCAGAAGCCCACTCCGAACCCCGGTATGGGTGGACTTTTTGATGCCAAACCTTGAGTGATACCCTCAACTTCCCCTTAACCCCTGTTGTTGGCGATACAATGCGTATCCCCCATCGCCCGCGTGACAACTCATTTCATCAAACCTAAAAGGATGAGTCTGACTGGTTTCTCCCTTTTCTGGGTTGGAATGGCAATGGCATGTTCTGGCCCTTCATCAGTGCTCATACTTTAATCGACGGGTATACTCGATATGAGCGCACTCTTTCGTTACTCAGTTCAGACATGCATTCGACAACTTTTTTTTTTTTTTGGCTTCAGCTGGATGTGCATGATGCCGGTAACTAGGTTAAGGATGTCATCTTTGCGTCCTAACATTAATTTCCTCCTTCAACCTCAGAGCCGGTGTCTCTTGCAACCGAATCAACTCGACTAACGACATCATATTGGGCCATTCTTCTCTCCATCCCTCACCTGTTTCCTTTTCTCGTTCTTGCATTCAGCATTTTCGAAACACCTCTAAGCATGGCTAGGGTATCCAAAAATTATTAAAGTGGAACGGAGATTACTTGGATGTAATCGGGAGTTTTTGATGCGCTGAGATTTCCCTTGATCTAGGGCAGATGGACATAAATAAACATATATTACAAACTAGATTATATATTTTGGGGAGTGACGGATATACTTGACATGGTATTACGATGATCTAAGTAAACAATCTTCTTTATCCATTCATTGTAAAGGCTATAAATCTTTCTTGATTAAAACATAGAGATACGTATTTGCGTTGGAAAAGTGTAACGGGGGCGGTTTATAAACGAGCATTTCCCGTCCTTGCGCTATCCCCATATACAATCCGGCTGTCCAAGCTCGCTTCATCTGTCCATGATGTTGAAGAAATGACATATCTGAGGATCCAACGTCTAGCAATCTCTTTAGCAACCCCATCACCATCTCTAGACGCATCTACGATGAGCAGACAACCGCATACAAGCCGCTCTAAAACTTTCAGGCATTTCCTGCCATACCAATTGAGTTCTTCTCTATCCTTTGTTCGAACGTATGATAAGAATTCAGCCCATAGTTGCTGGAGAACAACCGCCTCATCACTGAATGAGTGTGTCCTGGCTACCCTTAGGCCATGGGCCACCCAATTATCCAGGGCGTTCAAGCAGTCCGGACCCTCGCTGCCTTTTACAACTCGCATTAAGTCATCAGCCATGACCTCCGTAGTTCCTTCCCAGATGCTGAGGACGCAAGTATCACGGAATATCCTGGCAATATTTAGGATAGGATCTTCATTTTCAAGGTAGCCAATCCCGCCGAGATTCTCCATACTCGCTCGTACCCCTTTAATAGCACGGAGCGCAGTTCTTGCCTTTGCCATAGGTGTGAGCAGCCGGAGTAATGCAAGGGTACTATTTTTATCTCGAGGCAATATATTTGTTTGTGCCGCCATGCAGGAAGAACTGCTTCTGCCTTCAGAGATACCAAGGAGGGCAACAATAAAAAATGTCAGATGCATGCTTGCTGCATATTTGACGTGGTCTCTTGCCAGTGTTCTCACGTATGATGGCGTGTCTTGAAGGAGCCTTCCACTTGTCACTCTTACTTTAGAATAAGCTCGACAGATAGCTAATGACCTCCCCCAATAGCTGACTGATGCGATGCAGTTTCCGGTCCTGGTGATGTTGAGAATAGTTGAGATTTCTTTCACCCCTTGCCCTTCTTTGCCGACAAGGTAGCCTCTCATCCCCTTTATCTCCAATTCCGCAGTAGGAAGTGCTTTTGTGCCAAACTTGATTTTTAACCTCTGGATACGAACTCCGTTTAGTTCGCTTTCCCGGGGATTTCTCCCCTTAACTTGCCTTCTTAACGGTGCGTAAAAGGCACTGATGGAATGCTCCCCCGTTTTGGCTAGTATAATGGACATGTTTGCATCCGTAGCCGAGGAGAACCATTTAAACCCATCAAGTCGCCAGGGACCTAGTGGCATGCCCACGGAATCAACCCCATCGTCCTCCTCCATCTCTTCAGGCGTAAGTTTGCGGGCTACAGTTTCAGTGCCGCGCACGTCACTTCCACCCGAACGCTCTGTCATCCACTGTCCGCTTGTCCAAGCAATAGCTGGGTCACAACTTGTGAGCCTTTTCAGCGCCTCAGCAAATATCCGACCATTTTTACTGTCAAGGTGTCTGCTAAGCAGTTTTGCAGCACCATCCGTCATGCTACCTGGGCATGTCACCATTGCCGAACTTGGAGTCCAAAGATGAGTTTTGATGCCCTTGGACACTCGGGTATTCCACTGTGTACCGTGGCCAGTCAATCCCGGCTCAGGAGCAAGCCCCACAAGGCTTTCTCTAATACTGATTTCTAGAAGTGCACGCCATCCTTCGCCAGTAACTAGTGGATCCTGTTTATTCTCAATACCAAAAGTAGACAGTGGTTTCAGGTATGGCTGATTACGTTCAGCCTCAGCGGCATAATCAAGAACTGGCTTGGATATTACCAGGCTAGAAAATCTAGTAAAATCTTTCTCCAGGTTCGGTGGCAGAGGGGATGGCAGGTGCAAAGACACGATTCGACGAAGCACTGCATCCTCCTGAATTTGGGGTTGAATTGACGGCTGGACTTGGAAAAACCCTTCCGTCGAGCTTGATGCCTTCATAACTTCAAAATATGACAATTTGATTTCAAGATAGAAAGTTATCCTGGTAGTGACAATGTAGAGCTTCATTGACGTCTTTGGCGGTTACCTTTGAAGTGAAAGTTACCCGGGGTACTTAATATGGGGTAAAGGTAACTATGTAACTACCGAGGCGGCAGCTTAACCGGGGAAAGCTTGTGAATAGCCATGGTAGTTGTAGTTACATCGTTGGTCGCTATGCCCATATATAACCTTGTAGTATCGAAAGTGCGAGGCTGTAAAAAGGTTAGCGACCACACCAGTAGACACTCCCGATTATTAATGCTTGCTTACGCCCTTATTAAAAGGGACTTTCACAGGTCGTATAGAGTATATTACTCTGTACCACGCGAGGGTTGAAGAAACGGTTCCTGGGTCTCTCTTGAAGGATACGGCTTCTGGGCCAGGATCCAACAACCCCAGAAACAAGCCCCCTTTTTCCACTTTGCCAGCCAGTCAAGAACCGACATCTCTGAGCCTCTCTAAATCTCAAGACCTTGCGGTCAGGACTCTTTTATATGCCCATATATCGTATCTATACGTATATCTTTTTGACGTTCTTTTTCCTTTCTTTTCCCGAGACGTCGAGATAGAGTGGACGGTGAGAGAGGTCACATGCCCCTTCTCTCATTGGCCCAAAAATTCTCGAAATTCTTTTTTTGTGGCCGCTTGGATGTTTCCTCTTATGCGGGATTGTTTCGCGGCCATGAGCTCATTGCTCCCTCGCGGCTGATCGCGAGGTTGCTTCTCTCTATATATAAGTCCATATACCTCTTCGAAGGCAGTTGGTTGCCAATTACCACCTCCATCCCTCTCTTCGCGTTTTCTGGAAGCTCCTAAACATGGCCCAGTCTCCTTCAGCAACTGGTTCAACAGATGTGCCAATTTCACCGCCTCCCCAGGTCAACGGAGTCTCCCATGCGCCGTCTGTGGCCTCGTCTACTGCTCAATCCGTAACCCCGAATGGCCATGAATCCGGAAACCAAAGCGAAGGCGCCGAATCGACGGCCAGAAGTTCGGTTCCGAGCAACCACGGGGCTGGCTTTGTCTACTCCAACCACGAAGATGACCATGAGACGGACTTTAAGAGCGGGTATAATGCCGTATCGAAGGAGGAACCAAAGGAATTTGCGAACACAGACGCGGATGGGAAGCAGATGCCCGGTATCCCTGAAATATTGGAGATGCTGGCTACTATGGAACGAAAGTTTCAACAGATGGAAGCCAGGATGGACCAGCTAGTCCCACCACCCGTTGATGAGCCGCCGTTGATTTCGCAGATTCCTCGTTATGTCCACAACCCGGAGATTATTGATCGTAGCATCAATGCTGAGGTGCCTGTCGAAGATACAATCACTGCTTTCCGCTCCCGAGCGAGTCTGGTGGCGCGCGCCAAAGTCCTGCATATGGCAAAGAAATTTCCAGACTGGAAAGATCGCGTCTTCGAGCAGGCAAAAGCGGCAACCTGTCTGCCGATACTGGAGGATGGACAGGAGGTTTGCCCTCCTGATTCACAAGTTCATCCAAAATTGTGGGAGGTTCAAAATGAATGGCTCTACGATTTTATGTACGAGTCTATTGGCCCACAGTTCAAGGATGAAATTTTCGAGCCACCAAACCGATCAGCGTACCTTCTCTGGAGGCAGATAGAATCATATTGCAGCTTAGTGAATGAAGATGACCGGCGATATCTCATTCAGAAGCTCATGACCATCAATGCCAAGAACGATTTTGATTACATTTCAACGTTCTACAGGTACTACTCCAAGATAAGGAAGCTGGGCTTTATTATACCAGATTGGATGGCTCAAGACTTGCTTTATCTGCGAGTCTCCGAGAGGGCAAGGGAGATGATCCAAAATGAGATCGATGCCGCCCGCAATGCAAAAGATGGGCCGTTAACGCTATCGGTCGATAAGATGGTTGCACGGGTTCTGAGGCCAGCCTTATCACGAGGACCGAACGAAGAGGAGCCTCAACCCGAACCTACTCCATCCGTGACTTCCTCTGTTGCCAATGGTCCTCATTCTGCAGGCTCAAAACCAGATAGTGTCAATGCGTCAGGCTCTCAAGCTGACCCCATCGATAAAAAAGGGAAGGCCACTTGCGGATATTGTTCAATGCCTCATCATTCAGAGGATGGATGCTTCTACAAGTACCCGGAAAGGACCAGCCCTGCATGGCAGAGAGCCCACAAGAGTGGCATTGAATTCTTTAGGAAGAAAGCCGAAGGCCGAGAGCAGCCTGAATCGAAAGAGCTGCAGTCGGTCACCCAAGCTGTTAAAAAGATCCAGATCGCGCAAAAGCCTCAGTCTGAAGCCGCGTCTGAATCGAAAACAAAAGCTCCAGCCAAGCCTGAGTCAGTGGCTGGGTCAAAGATGGAGGCTAGACTGGAGCCCAGGCAAGAGCCAGTAAACACTCAACCACAGGTCAAAAGCCCAGAAATTTACAGTGAGAAGCTCTCATGCAACTATTGTGGCCAAAAGGGCCACTCAGCTAACGGTTGTCCCTTCCAATTCCCCGACCTGGAAACTGCCGATTGGCGCCAGAAAAATAAACACCTTATCGAGTTCCACGCCAGGAAAGATAAACTGCGAAAGAGAAAACTAGAACGTCTTAAAGCGAAGCAGGCCCTGGAAGGGAGTAAACCGGATACACCTTCCGCTCCCAAAGCTCCCCGTCCTGTGTCTCCCGAAAACTTGTTGATTTTGGATTTGTGAGGCGGTTATATACATAATTGATAACCCTCCAATTATTTCGGTTGTTTTTATTTAAGCGCACAACGGGGCATACTATGCTGGGGCTTCTTTCACTTTAGCGATGAGGTAGCATCGGGGTTACTCCACTGGAATATATATATATATATAATAAACGTGAAATATAACATCAGTATGTAGTTCCCCCGAAATAGCTAAGTTCGGGGGAGTTGTCGTAGTGTAACTAGTAAATAAAAATAATATATGCAAAAAAGAACTACGTTAATATAGAAATTCCTCTTCATTATATAAGCGGGCTATGAACCAAATTCGAATCACGTGCTGCGTCCATAAGGTCAGGTTATGGGTATCGTTATATAAAAAGCTCGCTAAGTTGAATTTCCAACTTCAAGTCAACAACGCGACCCTTGCCAGCTTTGAATCGGAGGAAAGTTACTTAGACGGCGGCTATACGATGACAACTGGTGCCAAACTGGAATATACATATTAAGGTATGTCATCAAGTCGTCAATTCCCAATTCCGCTGCTTTGTTTATTATGATGAATCTCTTTATTGGAGCTGTCCTATATCTCTTGAGGATAACTTATCATACGCAACTTACTCTCTGATTATTATTTCAATCCATGTTTTCTATTCGCCATTTTACCGTCTTCTGAATGAGTATTTGAGCGTTGGCTAACCTACTTGGCCATAATACAGCTTTTCTGGTATAAGAAGTACTCAGTGTTGAACTGTCATTCCCACTCAACATGGACGCAGGCACGCACCAGGCTATGACTATAAATCCTCCTCCGCCTCCACCACCCCCTCCACCGCCTGCGGAGCAGCTTGATATATCGTCGGCACCAAATGAAGGCACCGTAGTAAACAATTCAACCCCTCCTCATCCTGCATCAACCTCCTTCAAACTCAAATTTTGCACGGTTTGTGCCGCAAATCAGAACCGATCCATGGAAGCCCATAATCGTCTATCTGCACCTCCATCATCATACTCTGTCATCTCATTTGGCACGGGCTCCCTAGTTCGTCTGCCTGGGCCTTCTATCACACAACCAAACGTTTATAATTTTAATACCGTATCTTATTCGCAAATATATGATGAATTACAAGCGAAAGATCCAAGATTATACCGAAATAACGGAGTTCTTCCCATGCTAGAACGGAATAAGGGCGTAAAATGGGGTCCTGAACGATTTCAAGATTGGTGCCCTGGAATGCCTCGCTTAGAGCACGTATCGAGGGGTGATAAGGGTAGCCTTGGAACTGAAGGAGGTGTCGTCGATGTCATCATAACATGCGAAGAGCGATGCTGGGACGCTGTGGTGGAGGATCTCATGAACCGTGGCTCTCCCTTGAACAGACCTGTTCACGTTTTCAACGTCGATATCAGAGATAACCATGAAGAAGCCTTAGTTGGAAGTAAGGGAATACTGGATTTGGCGAACAGACTTAATGAAGTGGCTGATAAGGAGCGGCGACTAAATGGACCCAATGGATGGGATCAGGGCACCGGCGATGCCCGGAGAGGCTTTGACGAACGAGTCCCTGAAATACTTGCTAAATGGCAGGAGAAATGGCCCAACCTGCCTGCTTTGTGGACACTCTCTTGGTTTTGAGTTATTAGTTCCCGTTTCGGAGTTTTTGTTACGGTGAACGGCGGCAACAATATGCATTTCGTTTTATACGCCCGTGGGAGCGTGGAGTCATGGATGGGATGGTATTGGTATTGAGTTTTCTAAGCAATAATAAGTAAGCCTCCGCTTGCTCTTTTCATTCAACTCTTCGGAGTATATCCTTAAACCCTTCTTTTTAATACTAGTAGCCTGACAAGTCCGGCATAATTTGCATGGGTGAAGAAGCCGTCCATGCACCTGTCTTGATTCCACTGTAAACGTTGATAGCGGAAAGGCTAAGCTGCGGTATTCTTCGAAATGTGGGCAGTAATGGGTCAGGTACTTAATTGACCTACTTTAGTCTAATCAATGTTGTGCCGAAGGCATTAACCGCTCCCATGGCTTAGTAGCTATAGTTCTTCGTTTAACTAGCCACTATGATAATATCAGTCCCCAGCCTGCTGTGGTCTAGTAGCACCTCGAGAATCCTTGAAGATTCCGCCACCGAGTAGCTTCTCTCTGCGTTCTTTATACCAGTTCTCTAGCCAGGTTCTCCGTTGTGCTGAAGTCAAGCCTTCGACTGTAAGTGCAAATTCTGTCACATCCCGGAAACCATAACGAGCCGCCATGCTACAAAATTGACGTTTCATAACCTCTGGAGGAGGTCGGTACTTAAACGTAGCAGACTGTCCATTCTTCCCACGAACCAGAATGCTAGCAGGCTTCCCTTCCCTAGATTCCGGTCTGAAGACTTGTTCTTCACCAATCCTCTCGCCATCATTAACTAACTCGGCACGACGGCTGAGCTGAGCTTCAATTTTGGAAGAACCAATGACCTCTGTGTTCTCATGGGTATATTCAACACCCGCGCCTGCGAGAATAGCTTGTATAGGGTCATGTTTAAGGATTGGTACAAACTTCTTGTTTTCTTCTGCAAGTCCTTCACCACGAACCAAAGCCGCGAGCTGGCTCATTGCGAGGTCATCATTTTCATCTGGTGTGGTTAGATTAAGCTTGTCATCTCCACCATCATAATCACTCTGGCTTTGTTCTCTCTCCATCTCGAAATCGATTACCTGTACGCCAGCCTTGCTTTCAGCTATGTTAGTTTTGTTAACGATATCTCTTAAAACAACATTATTGTTCTGGTATTCGAAGAGATTTGCTAAACCAAAAATCTCTCCCTTCTGATCTTTCTTCTCTTGAACACCTTTGAAATAACGTCTTTCAGTACTAGCATTGTAGCCGATGTTTGCCTGTTGCTGCTTGTATATTTGACGGGCATATACTATCTCTTCGATGGTGCCGGCAGAAACAAGTCTAAAGACTTCCACGTCCCTAAGTTGGCCAATCCGATACGCACGGTCTTGTGCCTGAAGATCATAAGCAGGGTTCCAATTCGGGTCAACAACAACGACCTTATTTGCAGAGGTTATGTTTAGCCCTACTCCGCCTGCTTTCGTGGATATAAGGAAAACAAATTGCCGGGGGTCCGAATTAAACGCGTTAACAATGTTTGACCTGTCTTCATAGCTCATTGAGCCATCCAAGTAGCTCACGTTATAACTTGTGTGATTGAAGAGCATCTGTAGCATTTTGAGTAGCCTGACGTTGTGGGAGAATACCAGGACTTTATCTCCGTTAGCGTGCCACCATTTCAGAAGCTTCTTCAAGACTTTCCATTTTCCACAGAATTCAGGATTAGAGTAGTTCATGATTGATCCCCGGGTGCGGTATAGTTCCCTCCATTGATCCGGGACAGCAACTTGTAACATTTCCAAATCTTTTGCTTGCTTGTCTTTCGGGTCCATTGGTTGTGGTATTAGAATCGCAAGATGGTTGCTGATCTTCTGGAGGTTTGAAATAGCAGGAAATACGTAGCTCTGCCATTTACCTTCTTGGGGTAAAAACATCCGACAACACCATCCCGCTTTCTTTCCAGACCCACAGCTGCAGTAGTCAGATGAGTTCTTGATATAATCAACTATGTCGCTATCCAGAAAATTCTCGTATGCGTCGGACTGTGTTTCGGTAAGGGGGCAAAAGACAACCCTATCACTCTTTTTTGGCAACTGGTCCGCAATAAGCGACTTCATGCGCCTTAAGAAGAATGCAGGGAGAAGATTCTTCACCAATTTCCGTGCAGTCTTCCTCGCTCTGCTCAGCTGATATATTGTAGCATCATGGGATTGTCCTACTTTTAACGGTTCACATATTGTAGATTTCCAGGTAGAGATAGGTCCAAATTGCCCAGGGTTTGTCCAGTTCAGTAAGGTCCATAGTTCTTCATATTTATTCTGTATGGCAGTTCCAGTTAGCCCAATCCTGCACAAGGCATTCAACTCATTCATAGCCTTCGCAGTTTCTGATTTTCGGTCCTTTATTATGTGACATTCATCCGCGATCACACAATCCCATTCCACCATGTTAACTGCGCTTCGATTTAGGCGGTACGTGGTGTATGTAGTGATAAGGATCTCCGCTCTCCCAGATGCGGCAGATTTGAGAGCAGCATCCTTGGAGTCGCCATGATATACATCCACATGCCACCAACCCCATCGATCAAACTCGTCTCTCCAATTTTGAATAAGTGTTCCAGGGCAAACAATTAGAGTCCTAGGATACCAGGCATATTCTCCTTTTCGCCTCATCTTTCGCATTCGTTTAGCATCCCTCTCATCGCCGGTTTTACCATATGCAGCGGTAAGAAACGCAATGACTTGGACAGTCTTGCCTAGGCCCATATCATCACCAAGAATGCCACCTTTCTGATAAACGAATAACTCATGAAGAAAACCAACACCTTCAACTTGATAATTCCGGAGCCACTGAGCGATCGGAGCGGGTATCAAACCTAAAGAATATGGCAGTTGGACATCCTCATACTTACGTGACGGCTTTGCATGCGAAAACGAAGGCTTTTCTATCAGGGAATCGAGTTGTTCGTCATCTGAGAAGTGCACATCATCAAAATCGGGCGGTAGCTTTAATCCGGCTTCAAGAAGCTGTTCTCTTCTTTTGTCAAAGGCATTCCGGCGTCTTTTCAAGTAGTCAGGCAGGGTATCTTCCATCATGTCATCGTCAGAACTGAGGTCACCATATTCTCGGGGCAAGCGAGCTGGTTTGCGGCTTTCAATTCCGGTACCACGGCGGCCAACGATAGAGTCGCTTTGGATTTTTCGGCGTTTGCGCATTTGTGCAGCTGATCTTTTACGCTGGACAGTCTTACGATTCTTAAACTCTTTGTACACAGCCTCGCCATTGTTGAACTCATCGTCACTCCCTTCACTTGTGGTCTTTGACAGATCAATGAAATCATTCTCTCTACCAGCCGTTACAGGGGACTCCAGTAATGATCTCTGTAGTTTTTGCGGCTTGTCATCTTAAACCCGTTGTTATTAGTCTCATTCAAATGGCATCTACATGCACAATAGCATCACGTACTAGAGAGTGGCACGGGGCTACGACGCTTTCTCGGAACTCTAGCGACACTTGGGTAGCCCAGATCATCATCGTTACTATCTTCCGTAGTCGCGTCAGTGTCCTGCAGTTCCCAGTGAGTCGGCATCTTCTAGTCATGACTTCAGTCGTCTCTTTCGAATGGAGGCTTGATCAATCTCGAACGAGATGAAGTGACGCGGAAACGACTCGTCGTCACGTGAACTGAGCCGCCTAATTGCCTCCAGGCGCCAATACCCAAACACATGGAAACTTCAAGACGCGATGCATAGAATAACGATCTAATCGCGGCTAAAAATAGATATGTGTCCGGAGATTGATACATATACAGCTACAATTTTCATTTTTCTTTTCATTAAATTCATACTTGGGCCTGGTCTGTTAGTCCCGACAGCGCTTGGCTTATCTAATCTGTCGCTTGGCATGATTTTCACCGAAAAAGGCAAATTGCTGAGCTTCAGATAAAAAAACATTGAAGCCCTTTAAATTTGAATAACTCCTCCTTACCGCAAATATAGGCATTTCAGCTAATCCTACTGTTTTATACATGCTTCACTCTCCCTCTGTATCTCCGGTTTAATAAAATGCCTCTTGACACGTCCACAACCTACCGTCTCACACGATTGCGACTAGACGGACGACGATGGAATGAACTACGACTTCTTCAGGCCCAAATATCTACCAACCCAGCAAGCTCTGGCTCATCGTACCTATCAATGGGCAATACTGCGGTTCTTTGCACCGTACATGGGCCCGCGGAGGGTAAACGCTCAGAAACAGCTGGCGCAGCTGGCGCAGTAATAAATGTCGTTGTCAATTTAGCTGGATTTGCGAATGTGGACAGGAAAAAGAAGAGTGCTACTGGCAGTGGCGGAGGTGACAGGTATGCCATTTCTATGTCTTCTAATTGTATATTAGTGGTTAATTAATGGGTGATTAACAGGCAAGCCACAACGGAGCTAGCTAACTCGCTCCGGGATGCCTTTCAACCACATATACACGCCCATCTCTACCCACGCAGTACAATTACGGTTCATGTATCGGTCCTTTCCTCGGACGGTTCCTTGCTCGCTGCGTGTCTGAATGCATGTACTCTCGCCTTGGTTGACGCCGGTATCCCTATGCCCGGCCTACTATGTGCCTGCACAGTAGGAATGAGCGGCCGTGCATCTACCCCAGCAGTAACGGCTGAATCCGCACAAATAGGAGGAATAAAAGAGAGCCTCGATCCTCTGCTTGACATCTCTGCTCCTGAAGAAGTCGAGTTGCCGTATATGACTGTCGCCAATACAAATCCTATGCCAGACATAACTGTTCCAAAGGATGAGGAAGATGAGGAAGATGATGAATATGATGCCGAAAACGAGAACCAGATGCTATCAATTGTGCATATGGATTCGGGAGTGCATGTGTCGTATCTCGAGACCATGTTTGCAGTTGGGATCGACGGGTGCAAGCAAACAAGGGAAATATTAAACGGGGTACTGAAGGCAGCGGGGAAAAGAGTTTTGATGGGAGAAGCTGCATCCGGCCCAGATTATGACGATGAGTGAGGAACTTGAGTGCAAACAATACTTATTTAGTCTTTATCGAGAGATGCCCGAAGGCTTCCGGGTCTTGTACAGCCGAAGACGCAACAGGCATATGATGACTAGCCCATCATGCATGGCCTCTGTTGTAAAGTCAATGACGATCCCAGGGATTTCTACCTCCGTGGTGCGGAGTTTGCTCAAAACTCGCCGCTGTGGGATTCGGGCTTCCCCATTTGAACGCAAACAAGTGCTGATGCAATGCCCATACTCAAAGAAATAGACGTATGGCCATTATACATGTCATACTGCATGCCGGCATGTTTCATCGCCGGGTATCATAAAGAATGAGGTCAAATTAGAATGCATCCATTGGGGAAATTACGGCGTTGAAGGGATGTTTTTCTTTTTATCTTCTCCATGTGCAGAGGAAACTCAAGTGGCAAACGTTCATCCAAAAGTCAAACCCCACCACCTACTATCTCCCGAGGTCGATGCAATGAAGAAAACTACGAAAAAAACAAGAAAGTAGCAGAGATGCGAAATTGTACAATTGAGAGCGAGTGATACTCCTCTTTAATTTGTAGGTATGTAATGTAAAATGCCGAATGATTATGTGCTTTGTCTTCGTACTGAAACAGCCGCCTTGATATGTTGCAATCCAGAAAGAATAGGTATGGCAATTAGCTTCTTGACAGAGAAAAAGAAACGTGATCTGGTTATCCTTTCCAGCTATATCCCACCACATGTTGTTCTATCCCTTCGAGCCATACTGCCTTTTCATAACAGAGAGATGAAAAGTAGAGATAAACAAGGACCACAACGGTAAGAAAGAATCACATAGAGGATCATGCCATAACGATTTCTTTTCTCAGCAAAAGGCTAAGGCTGTGTCTATTCGGGCGAAAAGAAAAAGGCTAGCAATTGTTTACAAGACACCGCAGCTCTTGATGCAGGGCTTGTGGCTGGTCTTGATGGAGCCGGAAGCACTGCCGCAGGCCTCGAGACACTTGACGATCTCCATAGAGCTGTCATCAGCGACCTCGCCGAAGACGACGTGCTTTCCATCAAGCCAGGAGGTGACAACGGTGGTAATGAAGAATTGAGAGCCGTTGCTAAAAGTTGAGAACGCGTCAGTAACGTGATAGCAATTATGGAAATGGAGACTCACGTGTTGGGGCCGGCGTTGGCCATGGACAAGAGACCGGGGCGGTCGTGCTTGCGGTTGAAGTTCTCATCGGCGAACTTCTCACCGTAGATGGACTTTCCACCGGTTCCCTGTATACAACTCAGCGTTAGCCACTGGTCACCAGACTATATAAAACAATAAAATGACAAGAGACATACATTTCCACGGGTGAAGTCACCACCTTGGATCATGAAGCCTGGGATGATACGGTGGAAACCAGAGCCAGCGTATCCGAAGCCCTTCTCGCCGGTGCAGAGGGCCCTGAAGTTGGCAGTGGTCTTTGGCACAACATCATCATAGAGCTTGAAGTTGATGCGGCCAGACTGAACTATAGAGAGCAAGAAAAACAATAACGTTAGCGTGCTGTATAATTTATAGCTTTGTCTGCTGCCCAATTGATGCAATATCACCGCCTGGGAGCCCCTTTGTGGTAAAGAGAGTAAACAAAACACAGGAAAGAGGGGCAGAAAGCGGGACAACAGCAGCAGCAACATACCAGAGTTGTTCTTGTCGGTGTACTCGACCTCGAAGTAAACGTTAGACATGATGGGCGAAGTCTTGTGAAACGACCTGGATAGTTTTGGTTGAGATGCGATGGATTGGAGAGTGTGAGGACGACGGATGGAAGCGAGCAAGAAGGAAGAAGAAAAAGAAGGACGAGCAAAGGCCATGATGGCGGCGACGGGTGGCAGAAAAACAGAGGTGGGGTGGGGGGGCGGGTTGGAGGGGTGTTTGCACTGTTTGCTTTTGATGATATAATACAAAAATGAATAACAAATTAGTAATACAAAGTCTCTTACTAAGAAGTTTGAATGGAAGAGAAAGGTCGCTCTTTCCTTCTGCTTCTCTGGGGCTCCTTCCTTCTCTTTATACTAGAGGATCATGTGACTCAGGGGCGCGGGAGACCCACATGGGAGGCCAGGCCCAAAGAGGAAACGAGGCCAACGAGAGAAAAAAACTCTTCTGCATGTTTCGATAGCTCATACCTACGAAGGACGGCCTTAGTAGACATGAAAGCGATGCAGGGAGAACAGATAAGAGGTAGGTAGCATGATTGCCCGTAACTGACATTAAAATAATAGTCGGATATACGAAATACCTATCTATTGAGAGAGAATAAAAGTACATCCATCCGATCTCGTCACCGTTGCCCGTAAGTCTCCCGCTGGGGATAAAATAATAATAATAATAATAATAAAAAGGGAATATAAGAGCGATTGCAACTAGTGGCTCCGAAAGAGAGAATCGAACATAAACGTAGAGCTGGATCCCAGAAGAAGTTTGCAAGAGAGAAAAGAAATCAGTCGCCAATGAAAAAGCAGGTCATTCCGCTGGACAAGTAAGAAGCAAAATAAATAAAGAAGTAAGTCTGTAAGGTGGTGAGATGAGAATCATATCAATAGGAATGATAGAAGAGCAAGATGAGAGTGAATGGGTAGGTTGGAAGTAGGCATTGAGTGTATAAATCGGTTAACGGAAGTCATCTTCCTCGCTGTTCTGGCTAGCGTACTCGATCTGATCGATGCGCTGGACTAGCTCCTTCGTCTCCCGGGCAATTTGGAAGGCGATGGGTGGAAGTCTGCTGTTCAGTTCACGAATCTCGGTTCCGTCAGTGAGCTTGCTAACTTCAGTGCGTATGTCGAGCAAACTATCGCGAAGTCGTGCCAGGATCTCAACGACAGGGACTGCTCTGTCACGTAAAGCAGGGTTGGCGTTAGGTTTAGCCATGGCTGTTTCTGTAGACGTGACGACCTTCTCGACTGCGTCTGCAATAGTGTTGATGTGCAATTGGATGGCGGAGACGGAGTCCTCCCCGCGGATACTAGCCACGAGGGATTGTATGGAGTGAACCAGAGAGCTGGTCTGATCTTCAAGGTGGAGCTATACAAAACTGTGTTAGGCATGATCAAGGGTGACTTCTAGTGTTATATGGAGTATAGATTGGTGTAACTTACCCTAAGCTCTTCTAGGTCTTTGTCAGGAGATAGTCCCGGATAGCCATGTTTAGCGCCCGAAAGTCTATTTCGTGACATTGAATGGGAGTTTGTTCTTGACCTTAGAGATGGCGGAGAGCTGATGGCGCTGTAGATGGATTCATTACCGCTGAACCTCGTCAGGCTGGGAGCCACACTGAAATATTCCGGCGACTGCATGGGAGGAAGTTGGTCTTCCTCTCCTTCATCAGCAAGCTCGTCCTCTGGTGTGGGTCTGATCTTCACCTTTCGAACCAGCTCGACAATAGCAGCAGTCAGGTGGGATGCAGCTGCATCTAGCAGAGAGACAGGAGACAGGCCATTGGAGTTTCCGAAGTTTTTCGAAGCCGTAATCAGATTGTTCGCTGTGGCTGACACCTGTGCTTTGGCTCGAGCACGGATTTTTGTCAGCTCGTCATCGGTAGCTGTGTTAACATTAACAGCACTGTCGATATCTTGTGTTATATACCGAACAGCAAGTACAACCCCTTTCATCTGACCCAACACGAGGGACGGCTCGTCTGAACGCGCAATGCGCAACAGCTCGTCGATGGCCATTTGGAACTTAGTGATATGTACGTCTTTAACCAGTCCGTCAGGCTGGGTCAGCGCGTTATCTTTTGCTATGGTGTTCGCGTCGTGAATGTTATCAGGTAGCCCGATAGAAGAAGATCGTAAATGTCGCAACTGCGTTTTTGATTTTGCATAGCGATTCTTCCAGTGCTTGACCTCTGCCTCCAGCCGATGTACGTCCCGTATAAGACGTTCTTCACGGTCCCAGTTTGAGCTGTGACCGTCAGACAGCGCTCGCATTTCTTGTAAGAAGGCTGCTGCTTGTTGCCGTACTTGCTCAGTGACCTCTTGTTGTTGCTTGAGCTTCGCTTTGAGGGATTCGTGCTCTCGGTCGAGATCTTCAAACCGGCTTTTCCAGTCATCATCACCGCCATGGGATCTGCTACCGCTAGCGATGTCATCAACAGATTGCTGCTCCTGGCGAAGCTTCTCTAGTTCCATCTCTGCGTCCTTCTGCCGATCCCGGGCCTCCTCGAGTTGAGAGAGGACTGCATTGTTCAGATTATGCGTATTAGACAGCTGCTCTTCTAGTTCACGCTTCAATTCTTCATATTCTGCCTTTTCTGCCTTCCAGCTCTAAGGATTCCATTAGCAATCTACTTATATAGAAGAATTGGAAAAAAAAAAAAAAAAAAAAAAAAAAAAAAAAAAAAAAAAAAAAAAAAAAAAAAAAAACCTACGCTTGAGCTGTCGTTGGATTTTCTGAGAGGGTTGACTTCTTCTTCTTTCTCTTTGTGCATCAACTCCAGCTCTTCTACTTTCTTTTGCAGCTCTGATACTTGGGCCTCGGCGTCAGCAAGTTTCTTGTCACGTTCTGCACTTCCTGCGCCAGTCATCAGGTCCCTTCTATGGTCAAGCACTTTATCCAGCGCAAAAGGCATCGCTTCGTCGATCATCGTCATCGTCAGCGTCATCGTCTTCCACCATTGTACTCTTTATTGGGCACAACTGTGTTATTCTGGAAGGACTTTTGATAGGGTGAGTTGTCCGGCATGCCTTCACTATTTATTCCCAGGCCGGTCGCAGAAATAGCTCCGAGAGAGCCTTGTCGTGGGGGAAACCGGTTACCTGGTCCGGGACCAGAATGGTATCCAGGGCCTCTCGGGCCCGGCGGAGGGCCGCGAGAACCGTTTGGTGTACCCGGGTATCCGTATCCTTGCCCATTGGAGTCGGGTCGTGGGCCACCAAAGCGCCCACCCATACTAGGTGCAGGACTAGCCCTTCTGTTCATCTCTGGCCCGGCAAAATGTGGGAACCGTCTCTCTAGTTCGCAGAAAACGTCTGTCGCAAGGTCTTTGAAACGCTGGTCCTGCAGGGAAGACAACTTTTGGCGTGCCTGGTTTCGCTTTTTGTGATATTCTTGCCGGGGGAGTAGGTGAGGAGGAACCTCTGGCCGTGGAGGCCCTGGGCGAGAGGCAGCAACGACAGCTTGCCGTCGGAGCAGTTCATCGTAGACGTCGGTACTCAGCTCAAGGAACAAGACGGGTGATAGCCGTAG